AAGCTTTTTGGTTCTCTCTTTAAAATGTTTGGGTGCGACGTGCAGGTTTAGGGCTGGGGTTAGGGTTCTTGTTGCTTCTTGTGCCTCGGATCTTTCTACTGGTTTCCATCTCAATACGAATCTAAAACTCTCTGCTGTTGGAACAAGACAATTATTTGTTGCCCAAGAACAAGAAATCTATTCTGGACCTAATTTTGTATGCTTCATATTTCATACCTTAGGCTTTCTGAAACCCAAAGATTTAAAATTTGTTTCCATGTTTGTCGGTTGACAGCAAGATTCCATGAAATCCGCCCAAACACATTTGCATCAATCCAAAACAACAACCAAAATTTGATAACACAGCGGTTTCAATTTCAACAACAAAAGAAGTCATGAAAACCAGTTCTGCTGTTGTTTGATTTTGCTCACTATCCAATTCAACCTATTTAGGGTTTAGGGCTTAGGGTCAGGGTTTAGGATGTAGGGTTTAGGGTTTTGAGCCGAAACACAGGAAATCCTGGGCTTGTGTTGTTCCCCTCCAAGTCCAACAGTGCACAAAGAATGGAATAATATTACTCCTGGGAGTCGTTTCCTTTCAGTGTCACGTCAGACACACACTGACAAACGCCGTGGGTTTTTGAGCCGATCCTAAAGTTTTTTCTTTCCTTCCCACACCACATCAAAGGACAATCTGTACAATGTTGAGCACATATCAGACAGCGATCTGTACATAGAGAAACGGCAAACCAACGGAGCCACGTGCTTCTTAGTTTTTTTTCTTAATCGTCCCAGGTGACCTTGGGCGCAATCAATGGTTGGCTCGCTCTCCATTTCAAAACCATCAGAGGAAGCTGTGTGTTCAGCTTAATAGCATGATGTCTGGTCTTGAGCCGCTTTAAGGTATCTCTTAGGGTTTTTTGGTTTCCTTCCGATGCCACCTCAGGCAGTCACAGAACTGTACACGGATTGGAAAATAGTGGTTCTAAGCTGACAAAAGCGGAAGCCAGATGCCACGAAATTGGCGCCAGATGCCACGAATATAACTTAAACCCAAACCCTACAATATGGTGTTTTAGTATTATATAGGCCGTTTGAAGTTTATATTGCTATATAGGGGTACGCATTATATATCCCTTCCCAATATAGGTTCGTTCCCAACACACCCAAACGTGCCTTATTCAGGGCTTCTTTCCAACAAGGAGGATGCTTAAGTGCTCGAGGGGCTGTGTGGCATGCTGCCTGGCGAGTGCTGTCTCACCCAAGCCGTGGCACGCGGGGCACATAGGGTCTTTTCTAAGGCAGGTTTACAAACCCCTCACAACCCTAGAATATGTGGCTTTAATTCGTGTTTCCTTGAATGGTATATATAGGGTTTATTAGGGTTGCTATATAGGGGTTTTCTGTATATATCCTTTCAACTTGGATGCCTTTAGTGCTGGGGCTGTCCGTGCTGCATGCTGTGCCTGACGAAAGCTCGTGAGCGCAGCGAGCGGCCGGCAAAATGAGTGATCGCAGATTCTGTACTTAGGGTATAGGTTTATAAATGGGTTTCGGGTGTACTTGGAGGCCCTATTGGCTTAGTAAGTCTACTTATATAGTATACCCGATAGAAACCCTTTTTATTAGAAACCCCATAACCCACCTTGTACTAACCCTATACTTACTAAGTCAACAGGGCCTCCAAGTAGGTGAATACCAGACTTTTCCCTCCGAAGTCTTGAGAAGCCTTCCGTAAGCCCCCTGAAGTCTGCATGAAGCCTTATAAAAGCCGAAATCGTACACCCGAAATCTTTTAAGTTGGTGCCCAGAAAATCAAAACAAATCCGATCTGAAGCCTATAATGCCGGCGCAACTTGTTGTGCCCAAGGGCCCATTTATAACCCACACAATGCTTCAAACCCCTGCGAAGCTCAACTTGCTGTACGCCATGTCATTGGGTTATCTAATAGGACTCATTAATTAAAGGGGTTCAGAGGGTTGAGGTTTAGGGTTTGGGCAGAGGGGGCTCCCGGCCGAGTGATGAGGCAAGCCCGCTAACAACATAATATGTAATATCTGAAGCCCCGACATGTACCAGATTTGTTTATCCGAAATCTTGCAGTTTCGAGCCTCTGAAGACCGCATGAAGCTTGTATTCAAGCCGTCTGTATACCCGAACTGGCTTTACTCCCCGACTACCCGTTGTGTGCTCCACAAAATTCGTCTATATCTGAAATATATGCACGTACCCTATATAAGCCCCCTGGCATGCCCGAGCTGAGAGAGTGTACTGGCTGAAGCCTCCCAAATGTGTGGCGTATTGAAAACCGAAAACCCGCAACCCTGTAATCCTGGTCTGAAGACTGAAAGCCCATCGAATACCCGAACAGAGCTGTATTTCCGAATTCTTGTAGCTTGTTCTGTGCCCAATATAACCCTGCAAGCTATAGTCTGAGGTAGCTAAGCCCAAACACCTGAATTCTGAATTCCTGTTCTACTTCCGAACTCTGTTAATAGACCTGCACTGCCCGAAAACCCAAAACCGGAAACCCAGATCTGCATGGAGCCCATACAACTTACACCTTGTCACACCCCAAACCCCTGTAGACGCCCTAATACATAAGCCCAATTGTACCCAGATGATTTCGGCGCAACGTTGAAACGTGCCATTGAAGCGCACTTCAAATCGAGCTTTTTTTTTTTGGGGGGGGGCCGTGCAATCGAGCTTTTTTTGGTATGGGGGAGCATTGAAGCGCATCACGAAATGGAACGTTTTCGGTCGAATGCAGCTGCTGCCATGCGAGCGTTTCTGTTTAAGTCGTCAAACCCCTCAAAAACAGATCGAGCGGAAACAAACGAAGCGAGCGGAAATCCCAAACAGAAAGCGACAGAGCAAAAATTGTGCACACCAGGGTTCCCCAGGTAGTGGTAGCCGGGTAGCGGTAGTGGTCGTAGTACTCGTAGTGGTGGTAGTAGTAGTAGTAGTAGTAGTAGTAGTAGTAGTAGTAGTAGTAGCAAAAGCAATAACAACAGTTATATATATAATTATCATAGTCGTAATACTAAATGTAAACAGTAATAGTAGCAAGTCCAGCTATTACCACGTGCCACTGCTGGGACGTTAGGAGCTGGGCTCGGGATCCTTCGTCAGCGTTGACAGCGGGAGCCAGCAGCTGCTCGAAAAGCTGCAGCAGGACTTGAATGAATGACCTGGCAACTCAGCCATCAAGCTTGTCTCATTGAACATGCCAGGATGCAGCCATTCTCGTACATTCATGATGTCCTGGTTGCGAAGAGTCTCGACAAGCCCACAACCCAACCCAAGGCTCGTGCTTCAACACGAAATATTAACTCCTGATGCTATCATACCTGAGGCATTCCATTGTATTCGTTGTGCAGGTTGTCCCGGCTAGAGGCCCCTACGACAACTCAGCTGTTTCATCTTGCACTCGGGCTGCAAGTTGGCACTGATGATGCCAGCATTCATGGTCACGAGCTCGTTGAAATCCTGACTTTCCAGGGACGGAAGGCTGTCTTGTTGCTTCGTGCCGCTTGCTGGGCTTTCGCATGTTGCATCAAGTCTGCATGAGCCTTAAAGTGGCGTTGTGAAAAAAACATTGTCTCTTCTGTTTATACCAGCCAGCGCAACTGCTGCTGCTGCTGACGAAGTGCTGCTACTTCTTCTCTGCATCCTACTAGCTTTGCAGGGCTACCGCCTTGGTGTTACTTCCTCATATTCGAAACCTGCTGACTTACTCCTACACTCGTTCTCTGCATGTGAGTTCTCTCCCCCACTCGCCCCCTGCCTCTCTCTTTCTCTCTATCTCTCTCCCTCGGTCTCGGCGCTTGGTAACGCATGTGCATGACTGTGGAAGCGAAGTTGGTGTATGCACATGCATCTGTATAGGGGTGTGTGTGTATGTATGTATGTATGTGCGTATATATATATATATATATATATATATATATGGTTGTCAAAATTATAGTGCCTTTCTGGGTACCCTAATTGATGGGTGCCGTATTATAATAGGTACCCAAACAGGGACCATAATTTTTGACAACCACCCATATGTAATGACTATACTGTACCTGCTTGTTTGCTTTTTGTACTTAAGCTATCTGTCTATGCACCGATACAAATAGCAACTAAGTATTAGAGTCTCACATTTTTGCATATACAAAAGACACGGCCCTCTGCCATGTCTGTAGAAACCATGTATGTGTCATGCATCCAGTCTCTCAGCACATAGACTGAGCCTTGTCACAACCACACCGATCGCTTCCCACCACTAAAGCCCTAGCCCTCCTCCTGGTCCCAAATTCCTGAAATCCGAAATCCCTAAACCCCAAATTCGGCCCCAAACCATCCGAAGATCCTCGCCGAGCGTCCATGGCACCCATCACTCTTTCAGACTCCTCCTCCTCGCTCTTCTCCGTAGGGACACTGGCAGCCTTTGAATCCTTTGCCTTAGCTACACATTTTGCCTTAGGGCTTTTGGGGGTTTACAGTGTTTCAGGATTCAGGGATTCATTTTTTCTGGGGTTCAGGGGTTTCAGGGATTTGAATTTAAGGTCGTCGCCTTCACATGCTTCCATGGGGCTGTAAGCCACCCACCCAAACCAGGGTAGATTCACAGACCTGCAAGAACAAACGCATGCAAATGCTGAAAGGACAGCCAAGCTACGTTTTTGGAGCCCCATAAGCTGAAGGACTTGCTCTTGGAAGCTGCCGGCTTTGCCGGAGCAGCGGCTGGCGCGCTTCCGGTTTTCTTGTTCGTAGGTTTCCTGAGCTGAAACGAGCTGACATCATCGTCTACTTATGGTTTGTTTGCTTCTGATCACGGCAGCTGCAGTCTGTCAGACATACATCATGCTTAGAGTCAATATTTACTTGCCATCTGCCATAATTAAGGCAATAACTGATGGCAAGCTCCAGACAAAAGCCATGTGACTGGAGGACCGTTCCCCGAAAAGGCTCAACCGTAACATACCTCCGATCCGAACATTCGGCGCCCGGCGCTCCTTCTTAGGATGAAAACTCAGGATTTCACCAACTTGTACCAAAGCTCTTCAAAGCCTTCGACCTCGCAGAAATGTGCCTCAGCTGCGGGTGGCACTGCCGGCGTTCCGGCTTCTCTGGCGGTGCCGGCACAACAAACCATTTGCACGAAGTGGCACAAGAACTTCACCCGCTCCATCTCTACAGTTGCTGCCTTCGTCACAGGCAGGTGTCATATTTACCCCCAGTCCCCTTCGATGCATATTGCGTTAAGCCACGAACCTACCGCCCAAGCCTTGAACCCCTAAACCGTAAAGCACAGCACCAGCTGGAGTACTTCCAGTCTTCAGCCACGATCTTCCTCTCGGCTTCGTCTGGGAAGTTGATGGCGGAAATGGGAGCCTTAGCAGACTCTTCTGAGAAATAAGGAACGCTACTATGAAAGCCTGAATAACAGCAACCATTCTGTGAGGTTCTTCAACAGGATTCCCAAACTTCAGAAACTCGCAAGGCCGTGACGGCTTTTATTGAAGAGGTTACGACCATTGGTCATATTTCCTTGGGATCCATGCAGTATGCGCACGCGACTTCGCTGTCGCCGCACTTCCTCAGACCCAAACTCCCCAATCCAACAATTCATACAGCTCAAGAACAGGTAGCGTAGCCTGTCTGTTCAATGCAGAGGGGCATCGTAGTCCATCATGGCTGGCAGGGCATCCAACCCCGACCTCGGTCCGGAACCCTCAAACCCATGTGCCCGAGATCCGATGCAGTTCCTTCCAAAAAAAATGGAGTATGATTTTTGGACCCATTATACTATAATTATAACAAGGACCCCCCAAAATAGCATAGGTAATCATTAAGGCCCCTATATTATTGCCATTCTACTGCGGCCCCAAGCAAGGGAGCGATGCCTGCAGCCTCGGCAAAACTTGGACAAGGCTCTGCAGCGAGCCAGGCGCCGCTGAGGCCATCACACCTGCGCATCTCCACGGCCACTGGGGGACTAGTAATCACTGGTTACTGGTGGCTCATTGAGGCCGTTGCAGTCGCGCAGTGATTAATCCAACATGACAGGAAGGTCTCGAGATGCTCCGATTCCTTGCAGCTTCGCTGAGCCATCTCGGGCCCGCCTAGAGCCTGCTCCAGGTATCTGACCGTGGCAGGATCGATGCCAGGCAGCGTCTGCAAACTCTGTATGCCTGGCGTCTCTGCTCGTTTGCCGTGTGTGGAATTAGCTGGAAATGCGACCACATCGCCTTGTGGATTCTGCGCCAGCTGCCCCATGGCCTCCGGAAGAGCAACAAGATAATATGGAATAAACACACCACGGCGACCACACGAATGGTGCGAGGATGAACTACTTAAACATCCAAAGCTTATACACAGAAACGGGACAAGACAAACAGAAACACCGGCAGCTCTGCACCACTGTCATCATCTTGCTCAACGTTTACGCGCATTCCGACGTACTGTCTACCCTGGAGGCCTGGAAGGCAGCTGCCTTGTTTCCAGCTTGGAAGGCTGTAGTGAGCTCGAAGAGAGCAGCGCGCATCTGCTTGGTACCTGATGGTTGCAACATTCCGAGATCCTTCTCTACACGCCCTGTCGGACATTGAAGGCTAAGCCACCTCTTAAGCCAGGATGGATGGATCCAACAAAGGATCCGGTCTGAACCAGCAGGGGCAATTAGTCAACTCCCAGACCCTGCCATCATGAAGCAATCGTTTGTATGCCTCAATGTGCAATTCGCCTTCCACATTTCTAAGTTCACAGCGTCAGGATGCCTCAGGGTCTTTGGATCCGGACATTTGACGCAACATTTCCCAACAGCCCTGCCGTCGATCTTTCCCGTGCGGGCCAAGTCAGGCCAGGTGCTGTCGACAGGTTCGCCATGTGTTTGGCGCACCTCCAGCTGCAAGCCGTCAAGCTTTCCCAGCTGCCTTGGCAAAGCCACTTCTGGGTCTGGGAACACTTCACAGAGGCTTTGTGCTTCGAGGCTCCAAAGCACCGTTCAGCTTGCATGATACACGAGCACATGGGCATTCAAAACAAGATGCGGAAGAACTGTAAACCAGCATAAACAAATGCAAAGGGATGACGACCTCCACCCATCTTGCAGCAGGGTGCAGAACTTCCTTGTTTTCCTTGTCGGCCTGCGCCAGTTCAGCAATGCCCCTTTCAGCCGAAAGCCCCTCTAAAGCCAAACAGCCCTCTAGTATAGGGACCTTAATAATTAGACTAGGGTTTTGTTGGGCCCATTTGACTATAATCATAGTAAAGAACAACCCCCCCCCATTAAATAATATTAACTATCTAGGCCCCTATCGTAAAGCCCCGAGCAGGGACCTTCTTCTTGGAGCCTTGGCTTCCCTTCGAGGGCTTGGGCTCCTTCGAGGAAGGCGTCTCCTTTGCTTCTGGCTCCTTGGCCTTCGCCTACCCGGTTTAGGGTTTAAGGTTTAGGGTTTGGGTTTAGGGCAAAATTCTGGGCCGGGGGATTTTTTGGGGGGCTTTTACTTGGCTTTGACTGGAGTTGAATAGGGGACGGCGGGCGGAAGTGAAGGAACGAGCGAGTGAGCGAGCCGGCTCTCATTCTTAATAGTAGTAGAAACCAGCAATAGTAATAAGAAATAATAACAACCAATATCAGAAATAATAATAATAATAAATAATAATAATAATAACAATAATGATTCTGATGCTGGCTGGCCCGGGCTGGCGTGTGCTGTGGGAGCCATCCTCTGCAGGCACGACCTTCTGAAAGTAGAAACGTAACAGTCTCCCCTTATCGTCCCTATACTAGACTTATTATAGTATGCAATATCCTGGACTTAAATATAATATAATAGCCACCAATAAATACCATAAGCCCGAAAAAAGCAAAGGCCCTCGAAAGCTGCACCTTCTTGACGGAGCCCGCTCTTTTGGAGGCGCTCGGCTGCGTCTCTGCCTTGCTTTCTTTGCTCGGCCGCGACTGGCTTTCGGCTTTCTCAGCGGCCTGAACTACAGACTGGGTTTAGGGTTTAGGGCCGTGCAAGAACAAACAAATACAGAAGCCCTATCCGGCTCAAGAAGTGCACATCCCCTAAACGAGATCCCAGGCGGAGCGCACATTGGATCACAACCTCCCCACCTTCAGGCCCTGGGAGGCCTTCGACACTTTTTTTGGCTCCTGGACTGGAGGATTGGATGTTCCGGCTCTCCCTGTCTTCCTTTTTGGGCTTTGGGTTCAGGGATGAAAGGTTGGTGGGATTGGATGTTGGGGCCAATTTTCGTTTGGGCCGTGGGCTGCAGATGCAGTTTGGACTTTGCACAAGTTTCTGGTGCAGGGTCATGGCTATCGGTGTTTGGGTTGAGGATGTCTGCTGGAGGGTCCAGCAGTGTTTAGCTTGTCACGTTCTATGCACAAGGTTTTGGTGGTGGAGGGCTTACTATTGTGTAGTGCTTGTCCGGTTTCTGCGAAGTAACCCTCAAAGAGGAAGCAGTCACAGCAGTGCCTCCGGCTGCACAGCCGGAGCCTTGGCTTTACCTTGGGCAGAGTGCATGTCGTTCAGGGGTTTAGAGTTTAGAGCTCCGGATTAAAGTTCAAACAAGAGTTCAGTACGTGTCGTCGATTCGAGGTATCCAGCATTGTTCTCATGTAGACCATGCCAATGCCGCTCAGCCGAGCATTTACGACGTCGTGCCTCGGCTTCCTACCTCATCGAGCATCTACGTTACGTGGTTGCCTTCTTGTGCATCCTGCGGGAGGTCCCGATCTGCTTGCAGATGAATGAATTATAGGAACCTCCGAAGGATCAGTTCCCGGGCCTGGTCCCCAAGGAAACGGCAAGACAAGAGCAGCATGCTTCGAGTTGCTGGTCGGTCTCTGGACCTCCTTCGGGAGGTCCTCGCCCAAAGAGATGATCACCATGGCACCGTCTCAGCAGGAGTGTGTCACATGACAAACTCTAGAGCTGCTGATTGCCTGTAGCTAGTCTGCGTCCACTTGCACCGGGTTGAAGTCAAGTTCTGAAAGTAGGATGTGGCAAAGCCCGAGATCTTGCAGAACCCGATCAACCTAGCAAGGAAGGTTGTTTCTCAATTTGCAAGCCAGGCCACTTTTCACGGTAGCAGCAGCGCGCCGAGGTGACGCCCCGGCTTGTGAGAATCGAAACTAGTATAGGTCTATATAATCTATATATTAATTGTAGGGACCCCAGGCTTCGACGAGATCGGGGTGAAGCCTTCAGTGTACGAACGGCGGGCCGCGAGTCCCAAGCCGTTTGAAGGTCTTCGTTGAAAGTCTACGATCTGCCTGGCTGCCGGTTGGCTGATCTTGAAGCTTTAAAAGAACAGCTGCATCAGGGGAAGGAGTAGACACATGTCTGGCAGGAATTTGGCCGGCTCGTCGCATTCGTTTGCATCAAAATACACACCTGGCTCTTCTGCAGCCTAATGTGGCCCAGAACAGGGTAGCCCTGTGCAAACTTATCTCGCTGCGAACATCGTTCAAGCACGCAGGCCCCGTTTTCTGGGAGCATTGAATCAACATCCCACATCAAGTAGATGACTCAAGCTGCAGGGAAACACCTCCATAGCAGAACAGGACTGAGGAAGTTTGACCACTGAAGCTCAGCGCTCTAAGAAAAGCTCCCCGTGCGCAAATTCGCGCCCAAGGTCCCCACCGCATCGGCCCCCGGTGTTCTGGGGGCTTCCTTAGAGCGGCCTGGCAGGACTGGCTGGGCATCTGCATCTGAGTCAAGGTAGGCGGGTTTGGCTTGAAGGATCGCATCAGCACCACATCCCAGCTGCTGCTGCAAGCGATGGCTGGTGCTGCCGGTTTTTTTGTCATCTCTGCTGCTGCTGCTGCTGCTGCTGCTGCTGCTGCTCATGCTCCACTTCGTAGACTGCGTCGCCGGCCGGTCTTGCTGGGATAAAGGCATCAAAGCAGCACAGACTGGTCGAATTTCCAGTGAATGAAACTGTGAGAGTGTCAATGACGGACCAACATCATTCATCGTGCCTGGCTTTGAGACCGTCGGGGACTTCTCCACAGGCACGATGCGCTCTGCCTTTCGAAGCGTGACTGCATGGAGAGCGCGATGCTTATAAATTAGGAGAAATTCAATCAGAATCATGACAACAGTCATAGTCGCAAGAACCATAAGAAATAATCATAGCGGTCATAATGGTCACTAATTATAGCCATAATCATCACAAGAATAGTAACACAAGTTAAATAACAATACTAAGAGGAAGAAACAGCAATCTTAACAATAATAACATTTATTATTATTGTATTATTATTATTATTATTATTATTTTTTTCGGAAATTAGTATTAGCAGCAATAGTAGTCGTACTAGTACTAGTAATAGTAATGGTAATCGTATTTGCATGGGTAATATTAAGGGTAATCGATAACGTATTAGTAGTAGTCATGATCGTAATCAGAAGAATTGGTTCTACTCTTCTTCTTCTTCTTCTTATTATTATTATTTCTATTATGGCAATCATGCTGATAATGCGAAGAAACGCAACAATAACAGTACCGAAAGCATCATAATCGGAACAAGAACAAGAAGATTAGACTACCTACTGATACCAATAGTACCACTCATTATAGTAATGAGAACTATAGTAGACATCCAGCGCAGCACTTCTCTGAAAGCCGGCCTGCGCCTGTGACGCAGGCCCACAGCACCAGCAAACCATGATGAGGCCTTCCCAGGAAGAGGGTTTAGAGCATAGCGTTTACGGGTTCGGAGATCAGGGTGTAGGGGTTTAGGGTATAGAGTTTGGGCTTAGGCTGCTGGTTCTATGACTATGACCTGCCACCATATACCCACTCTGCATTCTCACTCCCCAACCTGCAGGTTGGGGAGGATCAAAACCAAGCAAAAGCAAGAAGGAACGACTGGAAACGCAAACTTTCAGAAACATCGTGCGCTGCCTCTTGCTCAAGGATGTCGTTTCAAGTAAGCCTCGGGAGTGCTACTCGAAACTGTTCGTTGCAGGGTTCGCTGATTCGATTGAGTTCTGGCAAAATATGTTTCTGCAGCTAAGGTGCCGTGGTCTTTGGAGATTGCAGTAGGTTGACACAGCAATACTATAGGGGCCTTAGTAATCAAGAAAAGGGGGTTGGGCACCACTATACTATAATTGTAATAATCAGGAACCCCAAAATCGTATCGGTAATTATTATGATTATTAAGACCCCTATATTATGCAGCTCCGTAAGGCGACTCTTCACGAATCCGACATCTTTTGTGGAAAATGAACCGGATCAGTTCGGCACATCGATATCACGGCTGCGGGGATTTTTCCCTCCGAAGCTGAGGACAGTATCCAAGGAGTACGCTCGTGCCAGCACTTTCAGCCTGCGGGTCAGAGTGACTCGAATCTTGTAGTAACACACAAGTATGCTGAGAACTCGAAGCCCTAAACCCTAAAACCAAAACCCAAAAACCTAAGATCCCTAAACCCAAAACCCTAGAACCCCAAACCCTAAACCCTAAGATCCCTCAACCCCAAACCCTAAACGTAAGATCCCTAAACCCCAGACCCGAAAAACCAAAGACCCAGGAGTTCGGTTCTTTTCTTCCGCCGCTTCGTCGAATGGATCCACTCGTCGGACTTCGACGGACCATGCCTCGGAGCACACGGACTTCTCGCATCCTAGCCAGACCCCTGGGGGGGATCCGAAAAGTAGCTCTCCCTTGAAGGAACCCCAAATAGATCCCTTGAAGGACCCCTTAGGTTCCTATGAAGTACCCTTTATAGTCTTTATAGTGGTATAGGATCCTACGTTTGACCCTGCTTCTCAGATCCTCCTCCGGGTCTGGGTAGCTAGCGCCTGCCCGAATGATGGCTCGATGGCAGTTAGAAGACAATTCGAACCTCAAAACCATGAACCATAAACTCTTCAAGCCTAAACCCCTTGAAAACCCCAAACCTTAAACGCTTAAACCCCAACCCCCGAAACCCTATAAAGCCCAAAACCCTAAACCCCGGAACCCCTAAACCCTAAGCCCCGAAACCCCTATGTAAACCCTAGAAGCCCGACACCCCAAGGAGCCGATGCCTCGCGCCGTCGCTCCTGGCGCTGCCGCCAGGCTTCGGCGCTCGGGGCCTCGCGTTTGCCATGGTTCACAAGGGAGTCGTTCGGTTCAAGGGGCATTATATAGGGGTTTATATATGGGGTTCAGGAGTTCATATAAAGGCTTTCAGGGTGTCTATGGAAAATCACGGGTGCCGGGCCCGGAAGGTGTGTGCGTCGCGATTATAGGCTTCGCAGGTGCTGGGTTTGAACTGAGTGCCTTGCATTCACTGCGTCACGTGCTTGCTCCAGCGCGAAAATTTACTTACAAGCACTTCTGCACTCATACAGAAAGGATCTGCCATGAGATTGAAACCACCGGGAACCACTTGCAGAGACCACGTGAACAAAGCTGGGAGATGTAACAGTTGCTAAATGCATCCGCACAGCAGCTCGAGAAGCTGTGTGCCACGAATAATTCGGGGGTTATGTTCAGATGGAAGGTATTGTAGTCCTGGCTTTTGCGCTGTTGTTTGAGCTCCTGCAGCACCTTCTCTGGGCATGGTGCATTCCAGCTCCACTTCATGTATTGCCTCGGGGAGCTGTGCGGCTTCCCAGCATGATCCGGTGACGTCATCCATCTCTCCATGCAGGCTTCCAGGCGGCATTTGCAGTATCAATCCCCAGCATGAGCGCAGTTCAATCCATTGGCTCAATACGAAGCTAGCAAACAAACCTTACGAAGGAAAGCTAGCAAGTGTTCGACAGACTTCTTAGATACCTCAGCGCCAAGACTTCTGCACAATATAGAAGATGCAATCACAACAGGCCTTTGTCCTCGCAATTGTCTTTATAATCATCCACATGCTCATGAAAAATCTAGAAGCACTTGTATTTAGTTTGGCGGGACCGAAAATCTGATCGACCGGCCTTCCCTTTCTGGCGCTGAATGCGCTGAAGGCGTTTCTCGACCTTGGCTACAAGTCGCACTTTCGGTTCAGGAACGGTTCCGCGCAGGGGCTCCTGGGGTATTGCGGAAGGGTTGAAGACATGATGTCAGGTATTTGGCGCTCATACACTTTCAAGCCGCTTCTGTGGTCAGCAGAGATGAAGCAATCCCGGCCCAAAGCCTCAGAAGGCCTAAAACTGCTCTGCTTTCTTGCTTTTGGCACCACAGCCGATCTGAGCCGAACTTCGTGTAGGGACCCGAAGAGCCAACAGCCCCAGTCCGAATTGCAGATGCTCCTGGTTCCATACCCTGAAAAAACCTGAAGTACTGAAAAGGCCCTGACAACAAATTACATGCAGCGAACCGCCCAACGAACGATTCGGCCCTTAACCGAACCGCCGTGAACCGTCAACCGGTTCCATTCAGGTCACGCGAACCTTGGCCGAACCGAACCGTGAGCTCCCTGAAATCACACTCTTGCGCGAAACCCTTGCTGAGAACTCTCGCACACCGAACCCTCCTGCGGGCAAAGCCACGGCTTCCAGCGCAGTAGCGACCACAGCAGCTTCACCGACAAGCACAGAGCAAACAGCTTCTGCTAGCCGCCGCTGGTCCTGCGCCAGGATTTCTATATGGTTCTCTGCTTGAGAATTTTCAAATCAAGACGTACTGCCATTGCCACGTTAATTTACCGTTTATCGGCGCTTCTATAGTTGATCCTCGAAAGGATAACCCGCCGACCACGGGAAACCCTTCTACCCTGAACGCTGATGTCTCTGCTTTCGGAGCTGCTTTCGTGTCATGTGGCCTGGTCAGGCCAGTCCGACATCTCGTCTGTGTAGTCCGAGGCTCGCATGGTGGCTTTGGAGAGCGCCTGACATCTCAGAGCCAGTTGTGTGGAAGAGAAAGGGAGACCGTGTATAGCTGCAAAAGAACAACAGTAATTAGATAATTAGATCGTCCAGACATCCGTAATGTGAAACTGTTCTTTCGTCCGTAGGAAAGCTTCGCAGAAAAAATCAATGTCAGCTGTCAGCGTGATGCAAAACGGCAGCGAAACACATGAGAGTGTGCGACAACATGGCAGGTCTTTCACAGGTCATGTGCGGTGCCGGCCAAATGATACCTACATATCTGCATTCCATCTCGAAAAAACTGTTCGGCGTAAATCCCGGGCTGCATGCCTCCTGCAGCCACCCCTCAACGCGTCGCCAGCCTCAGTTTTAGCAGTTCAGGCAAAGCGGCAAAGTATATCTACCCATAGCAGAAATCAATAGCCGTAGCATTAGCATTAGCAGCAGCAGTAGCAAGGCTAGAAGCCGTCGTCGTTGTGGTGGTGGTAGTAGTAGTAGTGGTGGTGGTGGTGGTGGCACTACACTTGCACTTGCAAACGCAGCATCACTCTCAACTCTCATGTTACAAGCATTCCTCCGAAACTCACATCCCAGTTGCTTTGTTCAGCAAGCCCTCGGCCAAGACGCTTCGGGGCCTCCGCGCCTGATGGGTGCTTTTCGTTAATGCTGTACGCCGTCTTTCAACACTCTCCGATGTAGTCGATAGTCGGATGTTTGTAGCTGAGGGCTTGGGGCTTCCCGGAGTTTTTGTTTGGCAGGTTAGTAAGGCTAGAGTTCTGCGCAGATCTTGGCCCCAGTGTTTTGGGGCAAGTGTCCGGAGCTTGCCGAGAGTCTACAACGACCAAGAATCACCAATGTGGGACATACAGGCTGAGATGCAGAGCGTGAGAAACAGTTGATGTTGGAACACCGTCTTCGTGCCTGGGGTGTCCATCCAGAAGATAACGTCTTCCATCCTGGGGATGGACAGCCGTGCTCTTGCTTGGTCAGCAACGCAGCTAGAATCGCTAGAAACTGTACCACCTTGCCTGTTGTAGTTTCATGTGTGTGCGCATGTGTCATTCATTCTCTGAACTTCCATGGCGAGATCGGCGGAGAGGTATGTCTCTGGTGCAAAATTGGTAGCTGCTCGGATTGCACATGTTCCTCGAGACTTCGCAGACTAGCCAAGGAGCTCCGTGATCTCTTCAGCAGACTTCAGTGCAAGAATTCGTGACAATGCCAACATACCTGAGGACGCGGCACTTCTTGGGAAGACTGCCGACTGCGGCAACTGGCACCCGAGCCGCAGAGTCGGTTTTCAGGCCCAGGAAATTGCAAAAGCTATTCTCACTACTGCTTGCCCAACACAGTCAGCCGTCCCGCCGTCCGATTCGATGCCAGCTGTTTGTCTTCGGTAACCAAATACAGACCCTGAGCTGCCTTCATCAATGCAAACACGAGGCCACCCGAAGGGCGCAAGTCTTGCGGCAACGTGAAGAGCAGGGAGCTATCCAGGTTGGACCAGCCATGTCGTGTGAGACATGCCTGGGCTCTGCTTGGGCTTCGTGACTTGGTGTAGGTTGCTTTTTGGAAACAGGTGGGACTGGGAGCAAGGGTTTCGAATGAACATCTTGGCCAGGCTTTCCGTGGCGAGAGCCTTTTGTTCTACAGCGACCTACTGGAGCATCCAAGAAACGATAAGAGATATCGCCATGGTCTAGTAGGGCCTAGGGCTTGCGGGGATTGAGCCAAGCAGGGCTCAAAACCCTGAAACAACTTATTTGGAGGATAGAAGAACATTACAGGGCAGGCAGGTTAGACTTTTATAGCAACAGGTGAAAACCACTTGCACCCCAAAATAAAACGTTGTCGTAATCTAAACATGGTCCCATTCGACGCCCAAGCAGCCGCCCGCGCGGACACAAGTGACGGCTCTGGAGGCCTGCGGTGCTTGGCTACAAGGTATTCCGTCGTGGTCAGGATTTAGGATTCACAAAGTTGCTTGCAACACCGATGTCCATATGTGCTGTTCATCTACCCAGTCTGGGTTTCAGCGTTTCGTCTGAGAGCTTGCACTGCGCATTGGAAAGGGAGGGGGTCGAGATCCCATCAGCCATGTCAAGCTCAAGACTCGGCAAAACAAATAGGTACACACACAGCAAGAGACAGGGAAAACAACAAGCAACAACAAAAATGGACACACACGCACACGCGCACATTGCCTGCCCTTCAATGTACATTTGTTTACACGTACGGAGGCACAACGACAAATCAGGTTGAACGTTTGATATGTCTGTACACCGGTAGGTAGCTGGCTGGCCAGCTGGCTGACTGATTGAACTAAACAGAGCTGCAACATGCAGACAGGTCCACTTGGAAGGCCTGGTATGACCCAATGATGACCATAATCATTCCAGTAAAAGGCTCCTGCATACTCTGGTCCCCTCAAAACTCGTTCAACCCGAAACCTTAACCCCTGTACGCCATAACCCCTTAACCCCCAAACCATAAACATCACGAAACCCCCAATCCCTGAACCCTGAACCCGAAACCTCTGATTATAGGAACCCTAAAACCCCTAATCCCCCTGTACCCTTGTGTGGGCCCTAAAACGGATTCGGCACCCGGCGGCGGGTCCCTGCCTTGGCTGCTCCGGATCCGGAGGGGACATGAGAACCTGAGTCTCAAACCCTGTATAAACCTTAAAGGAACCCTTAAAAGGAACCCTTAAAAAGAAACCTTAAAGGAGACGGAAGGCACCGAAATCTTTAACTAGGGCTCAAAACTTCGAGGGTGTAAGCTAAAAGTGTTTAGCTTATAGGTTGTTGCGCGGTTGACCTAGGCTCCACTCATTCCCCTTTGGGCCTATATGACTAACTGTGTCGCGAGGGCATGCTATACGAAGTACGTACGAGTTTGGTCCTTCCGTCCCAGAGCCCTGAAGCCCTGCCAAGGATCTGGACGCTTCAGCCGGACTGGGGCATCGTGTTTATTTCATGCCCTGAACGCTGAACCCTCAAACTGTTCAAGCCAATAGAACCTGAAGCCCTCAACCCGGAATCAAAAAGCAGGAACTAGAGGTCTGTCAACTCCAAAGTGGCGTACGGACCAATGGCGACCCCAGCCTCATCGAAGGCATTCCTGCAAGCACGAAAGACTTAAAAGTTGTTGTCTTCAACACCGTCGCCACACGAAACCGACAACATCAATCATGAACGTCTCCGATGGTAGTTGATCCGATTTGCGAGCGAACGTGTCAACGTGTGTGCAGGGGCGGCATATGGCGGCATCTTCCCAACAACTTCGGTCAAACTGAATGGTATAGGTTCGAAACCATGCGGCTCTGGTACATTTCAAGCAGCAACCTTATTGTACCACGGTCGCTTTGCCAGCAGCCGTAGCAGCAGCCGTAGTAAGTAGTAGTATACTAGTCGTAGTAGTGGTAGTAGTAGTAGTGGTACTAGTAGTAGTAGTAGTAGTAGTAGTAGTAGTAGTAGTAGTAGTAGTAGTAGTAGTAGTAGTAGTAGTAGTAGTAGTAGTAGTAGTAGCTAGTAGTAGTAGTTAGTAGTAGTAGTAGTAGTAGTAGTAGTAGTAGTAGTAGTAGTAGTAGTAGTAGTAGTAGCTAGTAGTAGTACCAGTAGGAGTAGGCCCAGGCATTACAGCAGCAAAAGCGGAAGCAGAAGCGGCAAGAGCGGCACCATAGCTGCAATACTAGCAGCCGTAGCCGTGGCATTCGCAGTAGTAGTGGTGTAGTATTGGTGTTGGTGTCGGTGTGGTTGTTGTTGTTGCTGGTGCTGGTGCCGGTGCTGGTGGTGGTGCAGTGATGGTGGTGGTTGTAGTGGCGGCGGTGGCGGTGGCGGTGGTTGTGGGCAATAGCAGTACTAGTAGTACTAGTAGTCGACGTCGCCGGGCTCTGACCATGAGTGACATCACCGATACTACTACTCTCGCCCACAGCAAGATTTGAGCAACAACTCCTGCCTTTACCTTGCCGGCTATCAGAAATAACAACATGCACCGGTTATAAAGGCTGCTGAAACATTCGGCGGCCATTCCAAAGGCCTGGCCGGTGCACCCGCAGGAATGCCGTAGCTGCAGAGGAGCTCGGCATCCGAGAAGCGGCCGAAAAGTAAAGTGAGCTCCTATTCATTCCGAGTCATTGCTCAGTCTGAAAGCATTCGGAGATTCGAGAGGCGTCTCGCAGAAATGTTGGTACTGCAGGGTCATGATGCGAGGCCATTTTCCAACTTCAAGGATGCACAGACGAACAAGCATGCCAACAAGCTCTCTCTCAGATATACGGGATAAAGTCGCGCTTCCTGGCCTCGCCGCGGGCGATGGACCTTTCCTTGGCTTGAGCACTCTACACCGTAGGCAGCGGCTTTGCATTAAGGGATTCGGGCTCATCGTTCTTCTCTGCAGCCGGAGCAGTCTTAGGTTCTTTGGGAAACGGACCGTCGGTGTTCCAAAGCAGCCATGCTTCGGCAATCACTTCCACTGCATCCGATCGCAGCTCGTAGAAGCAGGACCAGGCCCTGAAACGACGGAGCGCAAAGAGTTCTCGTAGCATCAAAGCTGCACAGCGAAAGAGCTTCCGTGGTAAACCGGGTATGCGAGTTCAAGGTAATACTATCATGACACCGGAACAATATCACAGCGTGCGTCTTGTCGCACCATGGATGCTCCGCATCTGTGAATGTCTAATCGGTCAAGGGTCTTCAAGCTGTCGAGACGACGAAAGACCCGCGCTGGACATTTTCCTCCCAGTCTGGCCGAGGGGCTCGGCCGTCACCTCCGAGGGGGTCCAGTGGCTGATCAAGTCCAGGAGAGGTACCTTCACACCGGTCCAGGGCAAGGCTTTTAGGGATTGGTGCTGAAGCATGTAAAGAAGCAAACGAAGACCATGACTAATGTGACGTAGAAACCACTGATGCTGCAGGTGATGATGAGCGCAGTGCTCATTGATATGGTTGCCATGTGAAAGTGCTGTACATACTGTCGGTGATGGTGACGAAGATGAAACTGTACATGATGTCGAAACGATGTAACTAAGCAAGCAAGATGTAGAGTAGGCTTCTCGTTCATTTCTTCCAGTTGTCTTCGTTGTCGTGGCAACTGCAGCACAAACTGAACAACGACACCATGGGCGGGAGTAGCAGCAGCAGCAGCAGCAACTGCCGGGGCAAAGCGGGTAGCTTCGCGCGGTGCTGGCTGAAGGTAGCGCTTCGCGTCCCTGCTTGGAGCTGCAGCGGAGCCATAGTGCAAGCCAGCACATTCAAGGCACCAGGGACAGTCGCTCTTGATCTCCATGAACCAAATACACCTGGCACAGTAGAAGCGGGGGTGCTTGAGCAACAGTGTACATAGCAGTAGTCGTCGTCGTCGTCGCAGGAACAGTGGTAGCAGTAGCACTAGCAATGGCAGCAGCAGTAGCAGGAGCAGTAGCAGCAGCAGCAGCAGCAGCAGTAGTGGTGGCAGCAGTGGCAATAGTAGTAGTAGTAGTAGTAGTAGTAGTAGTAGTAGTAGTAGTAGTAGTAGTAGTAGTAGTAGTAGTAGTAGTAGTAGTAGCAGCGGCAGCAGCAGTAGTGGCAGCAGCAGTAGTAGTACTTACTACTAATACTCGTAGCAGCAGTCGGCAGTACCACAAGTCGATCAGTACCCCGTCGTCATGGTGGTGGTTGTGGTGGGAGATAAAGTTTAAAGTACGGCTGCAGCTGCAGCACCACTACACTGGTTTGCAGTGTGTGGGCTGCCACTGCCAGCACCAGATTTTCAATAGCAGCGACCGAAGCAACACTGCAAAAACTCAAAAAGGCAGTGCGAGGAGGAGTCGAAGGGGGCTAGGAGCAGTGGGACTGATCCCAGATTCCTGGCACTGAGCGCTGTGAAAATCGAACATACCAACAGTCTGCAAACATTTGGGTGGAAAGACTTGTGAGCAAGTGCTCTTCGAACTTCGTGCAAGCAACCACCACGGGACGTGATGTGCAATTGAAGCGGAATGCTGCTCAAGTCCGGTCACTGCCCGTTGTTCAAATCAGCGATGAAGCCCTGTACGATTCGAACGAAAGGATCACTTCTGTAATACAGATCTATGTGTGTGTATATATATATATATATGCATTTACACGTATTACTACACATTTGTACGATATCCAACATCGAAATCAGCTAGTATGCTTCGCGCATTTGTCAGGGCGGGACCACCATGACCAATGAGTATAGCTACATGCAAGCCGAAACAGACAGACGATTCGTCGGTGTTCGGAGCAGACCCATGCCACCAAAGTCAGGTCGGTGGCACCGATCGCGTCCATGCGGCGCACAGAGCCCAGCAGCGCGATTTCCACACCTTGCTGTTTTGGTAGTGCTGTCTTGATGCGAAGAAGGCCGTTGTCCGCGTGGTCTTTCTTGCATGTAATGCTTAACTCTGTTGCGGTTCTTACCTCGGTAACAATTGCAAATAAGATCTTTCCTGCTGATACAATTGCCGTGTTGTTGTTGCTACTACTGCGCTTGCTACTGCTATTGCGGTTGTTCCAACTGCTCCTGATGTGGCCATGACAGGATAAGCTTATTCACATCTTGCAGTTGCAGCTACTGCTTATTCACTGCTGCAACTCTGCCTCAGAATTGCTGATCACGTTCAGTAGCTGCAGGATGTGTCGGTTTTTGGACACAGCCTTGCCAAACCGCACGAAGTAGCGAAGGTCTGAAGGGCCCTAAGGCCGTAAACACCCATCATTAGTTCATGTTTTACCTGCTGAATTGCTGAAGCTCTCTTGGCCAAGAGGCTGGATCTGACGATTGCAGCTCATCCATGCAAGCCTCGTCACCTCAAAGGTAACGTCTGGGCGCGATTGATAGGAGACTGGGTTTTCTACCAGACTCCCACCTGTCCCGTCTTTGACAACAAATCCATGCAGAGCTCGAAACCCGTAACCCTTCGACTCATCCTATGACTCTAAGACCCCGCACAATCCGTTAAGCCCCATCAGGCCCTGTGTTGAGGCAGACCCGAAACCTGTACAGCGCGTGATCCATCGAAATCCAGACAGGCGAGAGGCGCTCCACCGTCGTGGTGTGCAAACCTTCACTGACCCACCCGCAAATTGGAGAAAGGCTTAAGCCTAGGGGCGCAGGGCCTTGGGATCGAGAAGCTTAAACCAAAGCGTGGGGCTTTCGGGCTCCGGGATGAATGCACGGCTGCTTAGACTTAGAGATCTGATCAGACTGGTCGACAATTCAAAAAGCAGGAAGAAGGCCCAGGAGTTGGAGTGCTTCAGGGCTTGGCTCTTGGGCTCAGAGCAATGTCGTAGAGGCTTTCACAGACAAGGGACTGGAACTTCGGGCCTGCAGTGCGGCAGTTAAAGGTTTCGAAGCCCTCGGGGCGGCTTTCCGTGGGCTTCGTAAGTATATGAAGCAGAGCCTTACGATTCTACAAAGTAGCTTTCCAAGAAGCTGCATTCGAAAGGTAATTACATAGGCTCGTGAATTAAATTAATATGGGAAAGCGTACATGTACACTGACGCACGCTATGGCTACGAACACGCTCATGGATGTCTGAGCCTAAACAGGATTTAGCATGATAAGTTATGCTACTGCTTCGAGCTTCGGTGGATGATGTGTCAGGCAACGCTGCAGCAGCTCCGAAGCAGCACTTAGCTTTGCTGGCCAGCGCAAGCGCAGAGGCCACAGTGGCGGCGGGTCCTAGAAATCGGGAAAATGAAACATGATATAAATCTGCAGGCGACGACGGCGGTGATGACTACTTGCTTGGCAGCACTCCTAAAAAATACCAGTATTACCACGAGTGCTGCGGGTACTGTACCAGTGTCACTGCTTGGTCTGTGCTATTGTGGATGAGAGTGGTGGTGGTGGTGGTGGTGGTGGTGGTGGTGGTGGTGGTGGTGGTGGTGGTGGTGGTGGTGGTGGTGGTGGTGGTGGTGGTGGTGGTGGTGGTGGTGGCGGTGGTGGTGGTGGTGGCGGTGGTGGTGGGGGTACTGGTGGGCGTAGTGGTGATGCTAGTGGTGGTAGTAGTCGTAGTAGTAGTAGTAGTAGTAGTAGTAGTAGTAGTAGTAGTAGTAGTAGTAGTAGTCGTAGGTGTTGGCAGCAGCAGTAGCAGCAGCAGCAGCAGTAGCAGTAGCAGTAGCAGTAGCAGTAACAGTAGAAGTGGCAGTAGCCGTTGCCATAGCCGTAGCAGTACCGATCGCAGTGGCAGTAGCAGTAAGTAGCATAAGCAGCAAAAGTAGCAGTAGCAGTAGGAGAAGTTGTCCAAGGCAAATCAGCAGCAGCAACGGCAGCAGCAAGAGCACCAGCAGAAGCAGTGACCGTTGCACGTAGCGGTACTGGAGGTGGCAGTGCCAATAGAACAAGCCGTGGCACTCCGTGTTGTGAGTTAAGACATGCCCGTAAGAAGAATGATGCTAATGGTCTGAGCAGTAGTTCATGTTTTCTCCTACAGTACGTAGTAGTCTCGAGGTTGCAGATCGCAGAACAAGTCGGCACCGTCAAGATACGGGTATTCGTTAACTGACACAATTGCTATCTAGTTGTAGTACGTCGTCCTCATCATGGCAAACACTGCGAACAGTAAGCAACACATGGAGGCATGGCAAGTCGAGGTCCGCTGACCCATGCTGGATACCATAAGGCATATAGCATCTGAACCCATCAAACGAATGCGAGAGCTAGGGCATAATGTCTAAATCCAGAAAAGCTGATCCCTTCATTATAATGCAGCATCTTGTCACCACGCAGAGCTTATGTGTTTGCAAGACCCTCAGCCAAAACCACCAGAAGTGTAAGTTCAAGAGCTCGAACACTAAACACAACAAACCTCAGCCCACAACCTCAAAGCCCTTCAACAAAGCAGTGCCCTCCCTGGCCACCGCACTCCAAAACCCTACACCCTTGCCATAAACGGTTCCCCAGACCCCAAACTCGAAGCCCTAAACCCCAAAGCCCACTAAACCCCTTAACAGTTGGCACTGCAACAGTTCCCCAAACTCTGACTCCTAAACCCCAAAGCCCCTTTCATCCCTCACTGTAAAAGGTTCCCCAAACTCCCGGGCCGCCGGCCGGCAGAACAGCCAAGTGGGGCCCTTGCTTCGAGGCTGCGCCAGCTCTTCGCTCCGCGAGCAGGAGCCTCGCCCTGGTCAGGGCGGGCCGGGGGGGGCTTTAAAGGGATCTACAAGGGCTACTAGAAGGGTACTATAAGGGTTACTATAAGGGATCTATAAGGGCTACTTTCGGGGGACTACATGGTACTATAGGTTTAAAGGGAAATGTAAGGGTGCTAAATGGTACTATAGGTTTGCAGGGCTATTATAAGTGCTAGTATAGGGATTCTATAGGATTTAACCGCTACTGTAAGGGCTACTATAAGGGTACTACAGATTTTAACGCTACGGGTACTATAAGAAAACTATAGACTACAGATTTCAAGGGCTTTGGGGGTTACGGCTCCTTAGGGCTTTAGGGTGCTTACTTAGGGCTTTGGGTTTGGGTTTGGGGTCTAGGGTTTAAGGATGTTTTATTTAAGGCTTTGGGTTTGGAGTTTGGGGCTTTGCAGGGCCTTATGGGGTTTAGGGCTCCAGTCTTCAGGCTGCGGTGTATTCGGGACACAGCTACGGGCTCCGATACGCTATGTCAAAGACTGTGTCAGGAGGGAAGGGAGAGTATGAGACGGAGATCACTAAAAGGCTCAGGGAGCACAACGCTGTCATGAGTAGAAACCCAAGCCCTGCACCTTAAACGCCTGATGCCCTGAATACCAAAGCGACCAGGGCCTAAGGCTTTTTATCTAACTGGGCTCGGCACATGTCCAGCATGGACTTCCGTGTCGGAGCGTCCACATCTTGCACACTCGCAGCCTCGAAAGTAAAGCTCAGGGTTCATGCAGGAAAGTGCAGAATCGCGTAAAAACAGCAGAAGCCGAAGATTGCATAGATTTCGTCGTGGTAGCCGCAGCAGTCGTAGGAGTAGTAGTAGTAGTAGTAGTAGTAGTAGTAGTAGTAGTAGTAGTAGTAGTAGTAGTAGTAGTAGTAGTAGTAGTAGTAGTAGTAGTAGTCGTCGTAGTCGTCGTGGTGGTGGTGGTGATAATAGCGGCAGCAGTACTAGCAGCAGTACTGGCACATGCAGTACCATGGTATAGTGAACCCCAGAAAGTTGGAACATGGATTGAGGATGATTAGTGCAGGGATTCCCTATACTTCTCCTGAAGTGCAAAAGGATAGCGATTTTCCAACTGTCTGGCTGCTACTCGTAACTTACGAATTGCTAGACTGTGTGGTGGTGCAATGGAAAGCAGTATGCTTCAAGTTCCGGAATATGACTAGTCGTCTGTATGATTTCTTACAGCAGCCTGAGTACAAGCGACTGCAATACTCGATAATGTGTTGCAATCCTGCAGATCCACACGATATCTTCGCGCCAGAAAGCAACTACGACATCATACGAGCAGCTAGGCTTCAACATAAATTCTGCACGTGTGCAGCGAACGAAACACGACATGTCTTTAAAAACCCGACCCGGGGGGTGCGTGGTCACAGTTGGCTGATGAGTAAGTGTAAGAACAGGATGGCAGCAGAAGCAGCAGAAGAAGTCCACAAGGGTGTCGAAACAAGGACAACATGGCGACCGTATCATGGGCCCGGGCCCTGGACAGGGCCATCTCGTTTGAGATGTCGCTGAACTGTCCTGCATCCACCTGCGAAGGTCTTGAGGTCAGTTCAGAGTTCTGGCAGACTCGGCTGTGCGCCGTGAGCCAATCAAGCTGCGGCGCAGCAGAAAGTGCTTGTCACGAATACGGTCGTCCTCTGGGCAGCTACCGAGCGCAAGGACTTGTGTGTCACTAGCTCGGACAGAGCTAGTTTGACTGTGGATCTTACTCCACTTCTTGTTAGCTTTCCTTGGCGCCGATGCTACTCATGCCGGCGGCACATGATTGCTATAGTCTGTGGGTATGAATGCGGAACAAGGGAGAAGTGCCTTCGGTGGCAAAAGGGCCAAAGAGCATGCATACATAGACACGAAACGGTCCGTGTACAGATGAACACAGATGAAACTTGCTGTGTAAGTATGTACCACCCTGAACCACGGGCCATCATGCGAAGCGCATGTGGTTTCGCGAAGCCTCTGGGGCTTGATGGGGCCTCGGTTTCGCTTTCGTCTTCTGCAAGGACCAAAAATCCATTGCCTCGATGAACAGACTGCGAGGTACTCGAAAAAGCGTCTCACCCTGCAGGCTGCAGGCAGACAAAACTCCGCGCTTATGGCATGGGTTTCGGTTGCAGCAACGGGCGGCAACAAAGCATCGCACACAGATCTGAACACTGTATGCATTGTATGCAAGTACATACCTGCCTGCGTACATCTGGCCGTCTGTGTAGGTGTTTCTGGGCATGCGTGGACGTGTCTACGGAGACCAAGGTCTACCGTCGAGAACCTTCTTAACTGGAGCTTCGAGCAGACCCAAGGTTTACAGTGCCTCGTCGAAATCCCGGGCCGCAAATAGCCCCAATCCTCGCAGAATCAGGTGCCGATCCACCTCATAACTTCATATAAGACTAAGACCGTGGGTCGGAGAACACGCATCCACGCTGGGCTGTAGCTTTGCCTCACAAATCACAAAAAAGCCGATTTGCAGCGTCTCCTCGGTCCGCTACTTTGCGCACATGGATCCCGCGCATGCTGACGCCGCCTCCCAGACGGAAGTTAACTTGCACATGCCCCCTGTATACAGGTCCCACATTCTAGGGGAGAGAAACAACGGTAACGATAAACAGAAAGGGGGAGGGGGGAGCAAAAGCTTATTTGGCAGGCAGATGGAGAGAGAGCACATCGCAGCTAGAAGATCTCCATGTGCGTCACTCACTATGTAAACGTAGAGAAACACAAAAACAAACAGATACATACTGGATACAGTAGTGAATTGACATGCTGTTTCGAGCTGTGCTTATGAAGCTTTCGCTGCAACTGGCAATGCGACTGACTCTGAGACCGTTGCTGCTGCTGCTGCTGCTGCTGCTGCTGCTGCTGCTGCTGCTGCTGCTGCTGCTGCTCTTGCTGCTACGACTGTGACTACCGCTATACCCCTGCCACTACCACCTCTAAGTAACACCACCACTACTACCAATACTACTACCACTACGGCAGCAAATACTCCAACCACTACTTGTACCAATTAACTGACACCACAACTGTAACCACTACCACCGATGCACTTAGACAACTCCAGCCTTCGCGCAGCCAGTCGCGAAACTCACCAAGCTGCCGTTCCTGGCTCTCCATCTGCAGATATCGTGAACATGTCCACGCGAGAGGATTGGGCTCGTGCTGCTGCTAGATCTCTTGCACCCATGACATGTCTTGAACACGCCTTGTTGAATTCCTCGCCGTCGTTGTCTACTCAATCCGGAGGCTGGCAGAGGCAGCATCAAACCAATCACCTACCTAGGGGTTGCACTTGCATATCATGGTTCGGTCAACATCAAGCTCATAGCTGCCGGGAAGCTGAAACATCCTTCTCCGTTGCCGTCGAAAGTGAGAGCTCTAGTCCTGAAGTGACACGAAATGTCTAGCTTTTCGGCTCCTTTCTGCGCAAGCATCTCTCACAGTTGCGGAGCAACGCAGAAGAGTGTGGACGCGCAAGCGAAGGACTCCAGCAGCTCAGGTTGCCTGCCCAAATCCCCAGAGCCTAAACCGCGACCCCGAAACCGTCCTTTCCCACCTTTGCCAGTCGGTGGAGCTGAAACAATTCCGGATCTCGGTGGAGATCCTTCATTGGTAGGGTTTTGTGCTGCGACCGGAAGTCTTTCCAATGCCAGATCCCATGCGGAAGTCAAGAAAGGTTGGTCGAGTTGAACACACGATATAATCATACAACCCTAAACGTCAAAACCATGAACCTTTCACACTAAATCACGCGAAATAAACATGAACTTTAAGCTTCAGGAGTGGGAGATTAGATCCCCCAAAAGGTACCTTCAGAATCCTTTATGCTAGCAATCCCAAGATTCTCTAGATTGTCATTCTCTCCTCCACTCTCCCTCAGCTTCAGTAGGTGAAGGCTCCTTGACGACTTCTCGGCGCAGGCGCAATCCCTGGGGCGGAGTTCGAAGGACCTCGCACGGCTGCAGTTGAGGAAGGTTGTACGGGGACTTTGATAGATGTACAATCTCGATGCATGTAAAACACACTACATCATAGCAACTCTTTCTGGGAAAGTTTAGCCATAAGCGTCGAGGAAGACATATAAATACACATATACATATTATGTATATAATATGGTTATACACATACATGTCCCTTTTTTATTGCGACTCTTACTAAAGCAGATACACACACATACGCAAACACATACAGTTATACTCATGCCCTAATTATACACAGACTTGTACATACACACGTACAAATAAGTCTGTATATATGTATGTACATGTCTACACAATATTATATTTGTACATATTGTAGAAGGTCTGGCCTCTGTCGCCCCCTCTTTGTGGTCGCAGAAGTCCTGCCGAGTCTGCACGGAGAACGATATATCTTGCGAGTTGCAGCAAAGATGGGAACTTTATAAGATCGAACAAAACGGATCTGTACTGAAGAGACCCCCCAAAGTAGGCAAAACAATGGCCCAACACCAATAAAAGGCTATTATTCTACATACTTTTGGTGTCCAGGTACTGGAGGGACCCCCATGATTCTGAATAATATCGCTGCTAGGATCCCTGCCAGACCTTCTTTGCCGCGCAGGTTCAGCCGCCTCTTTGCACCTGCCAAAGGAGCATGTGTCTAAAGCAGTTGTCTTACCTTTGCTTAGAAGGGAATGGAAGAATGGTAGTCATAGTAGTTATAATTGTACCCCCATTCCAGAATTCCCTACTAACCAAAGGCAGGTTGTTTGGCGTCTTGGGTTTCGGATTGACTGAGTGTTCGCATGAGGGAATCGGGATTTTGGGCTTAGTTAGTACTTTATTATATTGTATAGGGAGGTGACCGCACTCCACTTCGACCACGATGCTCCTGCAGGTACAAGCGTGCAGGCATCGCACATGAGAAGGTTGATCTCGAGTCTGGCATAATTGATATCATACAGGCCGCTTCCTGATCCTCTCAGATAGAGAAACCCTGCCTTCCTGCATAATTTGTTCAGCAGGGCTCCCAAGACAAGCCTACACCCTCAACCCGAAAGCCTCAAGCCAAGACAAGCAACAACACCGAGACAGCCAAACCAAGCTTGGCCAGGCCAGGCCTATCAAAAGCCGACCCCAAGCCAAGTAGCATTCAATGCCGAGCCGCACCTGGTAACAACACAGAAGCACCCTGAGCCGAAAGCCTAAAGGCCACAAAAAGGTGAAACCCTAAACCGCCAGGTCGGAACCTCGGCCGCGGGCAGCCGCTGGCAGCGCTGCCAGGGGCAGGAGAGCCTCAGGGTTTTCGGAGGGAATGATAAAAGGACAGACGAGTAAGAAGTGTAACTGTAACAAGAAGAAGAATTAATGCTGGTAAAATAACAATACCTTCAACAGGGTTCCTTCCGGAGGGTTCTTAAGAAGGGGTCTAAACATGCGATAACAAGGGGTCATGGTACTGCCAATCGGGTTAAGATAAGGGCCTTTATAATGAGCAAAGGGCTCTCTTCATGGGTTTCTTACAGGGTAATTTAGACGGGTTCTACAACGGTTTTGGTATTGCAGCCGCAATGATTGGAATAGGGTTTTGGGGAACAGTATAGGCAGTCCTCGACTGCTCTTGATATGCAAATGCTTCTCTGCAGAATATCTGCGCCGCCGTCAGCAATACTAGTGTGTTTTCCCTTGTTATATCTGCTATGTGACAGCGCGACAGCCAAGTTTAGAGTTCAAAGCCGAGACTGAGCCTCTCGTCGCCATCGAGGTGGTCGTGCAGGGTCCCGCCGCGGCACTGGGTGGTGCGCCGTCGGAAGCCATGACAGTGGGCAGAGCATGGAGCAAAGTATGAGAGCTCCTGCTTGAAGTAAGAAAAAGGCTGGAACAAGATGACATACGATCGCAACATGGGTATACGCGACAGAAGGAGGGACGGGAGAAGATCGTCACAAACGCACTTTCGACCTCATGTGTCCACCTGTCCGAATGATGCTGTCTGATGCTCACATGATCCGCATCCATGGCCTGTCACCCAGCCGAGTTTCTGGGCTTCAGATGGCAGAATATTGCAGAAGCCTGGGGTCACCTGTTCTTTCTGTGTTCGAGCCAGCTGCATCCGAAGGAGCTGTCTTGGTCTTGAGGGTGACTTCGAAGCGAAAGTATCGATTCCAATGTTAGTGCCATCAACGCCAGTCGGGTAGGCTCAACTACGTCCCGTCCTGGAGCACAGTTCGGAACTGTCTTGAACACACAAAGGCATGCAATGGAATGGCAACCGCAGGACGTGCTGGGAGATATTAAAGAGCACCTGCAGTTCTACGAGTTGTGCAAGGCCCGCACACTCAATCTAAGCGCCAACTAGCCGCCGATTCATGTAGGAGCCTTATATAATCATTGGAATAGGGTTTGGGGGGGCCCATTGCACTATAGTTATGATAAGGACCCCCCCCAAAAAAAAAAAAAAAAAAAACGGTATACCTAATTATAAGGCCCCTTTTTCAACTCACTCAATCTTTGCGGGAGTGGGACCTGGAAGCTGTGAGAAGCCAGGGGATCCGGCGCCTCTCGCTGCGCATCAGCAGGATGAGACAAACATTCGACGCCTCGGATTTTTGAACGGGAGTTTCTTAAAAATGGGGGGAAGTGTATTTTGGGGTTCTTATAATAAAGATCCTACTAATTTAGGGTACCATACTAGGGCCCCAATCATCGGAAACTCCCAAATCCATCTGCCCAAACTCGCCCGAGCTTGAGCTCTGGACATGGTGTGGGGAGTCTTGTTCCCCAATAATGGCCCAACACCAATAAAACGCTATTGTTCTATATACTTTTGGGGTCCAGGTGGGCCACTGGGCCCATAAGCCTTCCTAACTCCCAAAAGTGCTCGCCCTGTCACAGCTGAGGAGCTCTGGTTCCAGAGTGCCGAGATGTCTCACCATGAATATGTCCGGTATGGGCTAAGGCTTGGGGTCTGGTGCGAAGGTAATGCGATATCATAAAGCATGTATACGCCTGTGTATATATATATATATATACACATACATATACGTCTGGTATGGGTTAAGACGGTTTAAGCTTGGGGTGGGAAGGCTAGGTAGTCCGGGCCTCAACCCCCACTTGACCAATGCCTCCGAACAGATCCTCAGTTGCTGGATGGCTTCAGAACCTCTAGTCGGGCAGCTGCAGGCATCAACATTAACAGATGGAGCATGCATTCTCATGTTTTCTCACACGCTCTTCCTGTTGGACTGACAAGCGCAGCAACTTGAGCCAATTGAGGGCAGCGGCACCGCATTCAAAAAGCGCACACAGTGTAGATGTGCCGTGCTTCTATGCCTGGCGATATGAATTGTCACATGAGGGTTTGGGGACTTTTCTGGTTTAGGGAGTCCCCGTTGCTGGCAGATTGGGGGGTGCCTGCGGCAGGCATGTGTATCCTTGCGCCGCACGCCCATAAGCAAAGGCCCTAAACTGGCTCAGGGCCTCTTCTCAGGGCTTCGAGTTTAGGGTTTGGGGCATACTGCAAAATCTGGGATTTGGCATTCCTTTTGGTCTTCCTCGAGCGGCCCGTGCACTTTGGACACGAACATGGAGCAGGAGCCCTTGTGCCTTGCACTGAGCAATGGGATGGCAGTGCCAGGAAAAATTGGGCCGTTAAGTCGGCAGAATGCCTTTGCTAGGAGTCGAGAACACTTCTGCCGCAGGTCCGTGCCGGTCCTTCACCGGCAGCTTTCTGGTAGCACAGCTAGCAAGGGTTGCACAAGCTGAGAGGCTAGCTACCTGTCGCCAAGAGCTTGTCCAGTGGAATGCGCCCCCTTCAGTGCTATCTGCTGATGGAAGCGAGCAACAGAAGAGACCCTTGCCAGCCTGCTTGTGCATAAACCAGCTTGAAGAGCTTCACATAGATCAGATCAGTACACTGGAGTCTGCGTTTTAAATCGTGGAAAAGGCGGATTTCGCAGGCTCAAGCCGGGAGCAAAAATGTGTCACCGACAAGTCTATGGCGGCTTAATTACCCTGGACCCTATCATGCCCTCAACCCCTTTAAACTCAACCTCTCAGTTCAAAGCTCTCATTTCTGCCCCGAGTCGGGTGAAAGTGGAGAGAGGTGAGAGGCAACGGCATCTTCCGTAGCCCACCCCAAAGTTCTGAAACAGTGCTGGCCTGCTGGCTCAGCATGGTGCGCAGCGCAGAAACTTAATGCGACTGGGAGCAAGTTACAAGTAGCAAATAGTTGCAGCTGTTGCTACACAGCTCGGGGTTTCTGCTGACTAAACTGGGTGTTCATGGACTTGCAAACAGGGTTCACCGCCATGGACAGGATCCGATCCTTTGCAGGACAACCTGCCAGGTGACATCCCATTCACTGTGATGTCACTGGCATGAACCTATATGTCCCAGTCAACGCAACTCTCAAAAGTCAGCTCTTGGGAAAAAAATCTTCGCATCGTCGTCAGCTTGCCCAAGGGTTGTCCCTGGTCCTTGGCCCAGAAAGGAGGAGCCAAGATACCACAGCCCGAGACCTTCAGAAGGCTCTTTGTGGGCGGGGGAAAGGTGCATTATAAGCGCCAGGCAGCATTCGCACATCTCGCCAAGCTTTGTTCAACCCCGGGGTGTAGAGTTCAGGGTTTCATCTAAAATGCGTGAATATTGCAATAAGAGGTTCCCTGGCTGACTAAACCTGCTTGCAGCAAAATGAATGTAGGGACCGAGAAAACTAGAGTAGGGTTTCAAAGTATCTACTGTGCGGACATATAAAGCGATAGGGCGACGGTGAGGGAATCTCGAGCCCTATACCGATTTAACAAGTTCATCACCAATTACAACCCTGGTCCAAGACCCAAAGCCAATAAATTCTAAACCCTCAACCCTAAGTCCAAGACCCAAAAGCCAATACATTCTACTGTCCGGCGGCTCTCAAGCACCGGCCACAGCCGGAGCGGGCTCCTCGGTTGCGTAGCCACCTGACACCTTCCGAATACTCACGGAGTCTTCTAGTAGTAGCAGTAGTAGAGTAGTAGTAGTAGTAGTAGTAGTAGTAGTAGTAGTAGTAGTAGTAGTAGTAGTAGTAGTAGTAGTAGTAGTAGTAGTAGTAGTAGTAAGAGTAAGAGTCGTAGTAGTAGTAGTAGTAGTAGTAGTAGTAGTAGGAGTAGTAGTAGAGTGATAGTAGTAGTAGGGTTATAGTAGTAGGTAGTGGTAGTAGTAGTAGTAGTAGTTGTAGTAGTAGTAGTAGTAGTAGTAGTAGCAGCAGCAGTAGCAGCAGTAGTAGTAGTAGTAGTAGCAGCAGTAGTAGTAGTAGTCGCTGTAGTAGCAACAAGAGGAGGAGTAGTAGCAGTTACAGCAGCAGCAGCAACGGAGGGCTTGGAGGTACATCAATGGGGTGCAGGGCGCACCAAATCAAAGCACTTATTGGGAGTGCGAAGTCGTCGTTCCACGCAGCCACCCCAAGACCGATCACTTAAAACCGTCAGGTAGGGCTTGGAGGCAGTTTATAATGAAGGCTATAATACGACTCTCAAACAGATGATCTCATGCGGGAGCTCCCCAAACTTTGGTTCTTGTTCAATTATTCCAGGTGCTCGGTGGTGTGCAAAGTTCTCGAAAACATTAGGATTTGTTCTCTTCTGTGCGGAGACGGGCCCTTTGGGCCAGGGCCAGGCAGGGCAGGGCCACTCTACCTGGGGATCCCTCGCAGGTCTCGCAGAGCACTCAACCATCGCCCGCCTACCCCTGAAGACACGTGAGTGTGGGGGGGGGGTCGGTTTTGGGGAGTTTATGTCAACGGCGCTTAGGGTTGGGTCATGAAACTTCATATGTTGTAGGGTTGGGCTCGTGTTATACGGCTTCATATACGATATGACAGGTTTCCTGCAAGCTTCACTTCTCGATGCCGAAAGGGCTTGCGGTTTGAGATCCTGTCCAGTCCAGTCCACCGGTCAGAGATGAGATCAACCCGATATGGCTTGGAGTATAGACTCTAAACCCAAGTCCCTAAACTCTCAACCCTGACTGCCTTAACCCAAAACCCTAAGTCTCAAAACCCCCGATCGGACACAGGATTTCATAGAGCAGACCGACAAGGCCTCCGCCGCGGCCTTCGCGGCGGCGACTCCTTGCCAGGCGAATCCAGGGCGTCAGTGCAGAAATTACAGGTGTGGGGACGGTTTAGGGTTTGGGGGGGTAAGGGTTCAAGGGCTCTACGTAAGTGTTCAGGATTACTTCTTGCGGGCGTACGGCTACAACATGCAAAACTCTACCAGAAAGATCCGATTTTAGGATCCCTGGTATTAGCTTCTACATGCCAGCGGCCGCCGGGCCTCCAAACGCTGAAACTGTGACGCTCCATCAGAATAGCTTCGAAATGGTTGACAAGTATCGCGAGAAACTGCTTCTACAAGCTCGAACACATCACACGCACAGCACGAAAAGTGATTCTGCGAGACAGACGATTCTGGGTCTGAGGGTGCCCCGGGTTTTGGCTCCCAGAATTGCTTGCGATGGATTTGTCAGCATTTCTCGGGTTCAATCTTAGTTAGAGGCCTGGGGCAGGCGAGAGAGCCGGGCGCGATCCTTTGCCGTTCTTGACGTAGCCAAGGCCTCGTGCAGGGATACAAGCACAGATGTGATGATTTTTCGTATGGGTGTGCAAGTTCAGAAGCTCTCTGTGCTTTCTGGCCCTGGATGTTTCAGGCTGCGACCAGCCACGGCGTAGTCCCCAGGGAAATAAACCTCAGTGCTTCGACTGCAAAATCCATTGGGCGATATCAGTGCGATGACCATAAGCCGTCGCAAACGCTAAACTCTGAACCCCCATTTAAAGAATCCCGATTGGCTACGATTTCCAGGTCAGCTCTCCAACCGGCACATCTACAGCAAATGGCCTGAAGGTTTCTTACTGTTTGCTGTCATGCAACATAAGGCTTGCAGACAGTCTGGGTCTCAGCACTTGTTCGGCTAGAGATTCTGTCTGACACCCGGATCTCCGAAACCTTTAGCCCTACATCTCGAAGCCTGTAGCCGCCAGAGCTTCATCCCCAAGTTCGCGCAGCGAGTTTGCAACCAGCACGACTCCAGAACTCTCTATCCTTAATGCCCCCAAACGCCCCAAGCCCACTCGGTGGTTGAACACCTTTGTTGCAATGGTCTGCCAGCGGGAACCGACCCTGTAAGCCTGCACCAAAACCCTAAACACGGAACAGCCGAACACAAAATGGACAATCTTGACAGCTCTGTAACTCGGTACCAGCCATCCTTGGACGCCTTGCAAGGAAGCTCCTGCGCACGAATGCGCACCACTGGCTCAGCAATTTCAATTGAGCTTAGGGTGTAAACCTGCGTATCCGGGCTAAGGGTAAAATAGAGGTGAGAGGTTGAGGCTTGGGTTCAAAATGGTGGACATGTGACATATGCTCTTAGCTACACAGATAGCAGCCATGCTGTGCCTGCTTCGATAACGGTGCAGCGCTTCACCTACTTGAACACTAAACACCGAGAGCCAACGGCGGAGAATGACAATGCCGGAGAGAATGACAGAGAGAGACAGGGAGACAGATGGAGAAGGTCAGAGAAGGAATGAGGGAGCCAAACAAATAGACCGGCGCCACCGCTGGCCGTACCTATCTGAATGTCTGTCCACCTCCCGACCTAGATGTATGTATACGTGCACTTACACAGAGATTCATGTGTGTTGGTGTGTGTGTGTGTGTGCGCATTTATAGGCATGTATGCACACACGCACACTCACATATGTATAATATGCCTATTCTTGCATATTCGTATCCAGCAGCATACTCATGCGTGCAGATGTCGCTATGCGTAAGAAGAAGATATATCCAATGCCTCTGTCATTGAAGCACGTGTCCTTATATCATATATCTTTATGAATCTATGAACTTGTTGGCATATTGTTATCATTATCTAACTGCCTGTCAAGCACACTTCGTATCCACACAGAACCTAATAATCGCCGTTGCCCTGCCACCCTAAGGGTTCCCGGCCGACCGCCCGGATCGACAAGGCTGCGGGTCTCCCGCTGGTACACCCAGGGTGGGCACGGTCAGACTTGTCATATCCGAGAGCAGGGTTCGAGTCCGTAGAGGACGGACACCAAGAGCATCCTCCACGCGCTACTTCATACCGGATCTTCTTGGGTAAGGTGGTATATAAGTTATATAAGAGTTCCCACTTTCCAAAGTTTTCAAAACAAGAGCCGCAATAGGTCAATGCCACCGGAGTCCAAAGTGCCTCCTGTTTGTCTAGCTTTCTTTTTTCGAAGCCTTGCAGACCTAAACGAAGTCACGAAACAAACGTCCTCAAAGCATTGAGAAAACACCAGCCCTAGGCACCTCGCCGTCCGCCCGGAGAACCTGCACTTTGCACTCTCTTCTGGACCCCCTTCAGCCGTGAAACCTTATGTCCTCGACGCTACTTCCAAATACTGCTGCTGTAACTGCTGCTCCGGTTCTGTGAATCATATGCGGAATTCTGGCGACTGTTGCTTCCCTTTTCGATTGGCCTGAACCCACAGTTATACACTACCTGGCCAGAGTTCCGCATCCTAAAGGCCCGAAGCGCGAAAACCCTATACACCTTTCAACTTAAAACCCCTCTCCTCCCCTCCCAAACCCTGAGCTCCCAAAATTACCTGGAACGGATCAGACCTCTCCTCCCCTGACCCACCCCCCTCTTGGCCTGGAAGGTGGCAGCGAAGTCGAGCTTAAGTTCCTGAATTACAAGCGCTTGTCTTGCCACTTCCTGTTTGTTTGGGCTGTTGGGGTACTGTTGGTTTGGGGGTCCCACAACATGTAAGGAATCTCAAATTGATACCTGAACCAATGAGCAGCATACCTCATGAAACATACTGCCCTCCAACAACAAAAGCCAACGACAGATGTCCCCCCCCCTTCAGAGCTTGGGCCCTGAGGATTAGATTATAGCTTCGTGGCTTTGTGTTTTCGACTCCCTTCCGGCTCTGGGTTCATAGAAATTGCAGTACAGTGCTGCAGAGTTTAGGGCTTTAGTGTTTAAGTAGGTCTACTCAAGGCTGTGTGGCTGGAGGAAGAAATGGGGCTCGGTAGCTGTTCCTGCGGCATTCCGGATTTATGGCGCAGCATTTCCAAGCATGCACATTTGCATGCATCATGAATGCATCGACACACAACTGTAACGGGGCTTGAAGCAAGAACCGCTGAAACCTGAACTTCGGTATCTGAGTCCTTGCATCCTGTATGGTAGAGATAAAGAAGCCGAAATTTGCAGGACTCTACGAAATGCTGGAAAACAAGATCCGAGGCACGCCTAGCGTTCAGGCCTCTACCGGCTACCGCGTTGTTCGCTCCGTGATGATAGGACCAACGATGACCACATAAAGCGAGAAGGCTCTGTTGCATGACTAGCTTTACTAGAAAGGCGATTGTACTCACCGCCGTCGCCAGCATGATCCTGTTCTTGGGGCTGTGGGTGATCACAGGCCAGAGTGCCACGCAGCCCTCGGAGTTGAACGCGAAGTCCATCGTCTCCTCGGAACTTGAGCTTCAGAAAGAGAACTTTGGATTCAGGCTCTCGATAGCGAGTTTCTGCGAGCACGGGGTCGACGACTTGCGGTTGATGACTTCGAGTTCAAGCTCGGGCCTGAGTTAGACCTTGGGAATGTCATCGAAGAAGCCTACTTGCCCAACGAGTCAAAAACGCATAAACCACCTACACTAGCCACCGCATCAGCACCAAAGGGCATCTTTTGAGTGAGTACACCGGACACACTGACATGCCAAGTCATACAACGTGTGCACAGCCAGCATCGCCCTGGACCTCAACAGAGATGCATGAATGCGAAAGCCTATAGCGCCGCTTTGCGATCTCGCGAAGCCGCATACATCCGCATACTGGTAGCATAGACAGCACGCATAGAATTAATGGCCTGACAACCCCCCTTTCCACTCCTTTAATTTAGGGACCTTAATAATGAAAATCGGGTTTTGGGGGCTCCTTTTTTTGCATGTATAGTATAATATACCCTCAAAACCCTTTTCTAACTATTCTAAGCATTAAGGCCCATACATTAGGCCCAAACTACACTTCACGGAGCAAACCCGGCCCATGGCCTCCTTGCCATCTTTCCATGTCTGGAGTGCGATTTGCATGCCGGCCTCGGACGACACAGCTTAGGTATTTAGGGTTTGTAGGGCTTTAGAGCTTCAGGGTTTTAGGGTTTAGGGTTTAGGGCAGCGTTGGACACTGGGCCGTATGAAGGAGCGTGAGGCTTTCGAATCTAAGAGTCTGTAGGCGTATATGCTTCAGTTCAGTCAAGGTATGTGGGTAGCAACATCGACGAAGAGCACAGGCTCTTGCATGCTTGCTGCATCAAACTGACAAGGCGATCACATTGTCAACAGTGATCTGCAGCGGTCAAACGACATAGTGTTGAGCCCTGCCCTATGCGTCACCAAGCCCCCGGCGGGACTGGCCAAGCCGTTGGCTTCAAGGAACGTCGCGTCAACCCAGATCTTCACACCACCTATCGCTGTCAGGAGAATCGCTTCAAGGTTACACGCGTGAAACCGCGACCACGCTTCGACTAACAATACTTGCTCATAAAATGCTTTTCGCAGGCATAGTCTGGCACAGCTGTCGCATCCATGTTACATGATTTATCACCTATGTCGACTATGGCGGTGACAATAACGATGGCGACAGCGACACATGTTGACGACACCGGCGATCGCGAGCACGGCGACGGTGGCGACGATGCTGATGATGATCATGATGATGGTGATGTTGATGGTGAACATCATGATATTAGTCGCTGTCCTTGCTGCTGCTGTTGCTGTTGCTGCCCACCATCAAGTTCACCGATAATTAATGAAGGTACTGTTTTGAGTGATGGGTTCTGATTGGTGTAATACTTATATATGTATACATAATACATATGTGTATATCTGCACACATGCAGGTCATCAGAAAACTGTGCATCGCCCTGTTCAAGTTTTGATATTTGCCGGGTGCAGTTGACATGTGAAGATTGCTGCAGCATCAGTACGTGTTGCTCCATGGGCCTAGAATCTAAAGCTACATGTAGGGCCATAGGCTTTCATCATTCATCTATCACACAGGCAATTCCATATGAAACTGCTGTATCCATCTGACTTCGTACTACTGTTCTCTGCTATATGTTACAAAATATTCACTGCTGCCTCATGATGTTCTTGCGCGGCGTTGTCGGCTAAAGGACGGTCAACAAAATCAATATGGGCTGTGAATAAGTGTGCAGGCGAACAACAGGCAAGCAAACAAGCAACCAAGCAAGTAATCATAAATACTAGTACTAAATCAATAGCATTACTCGTAATGACAAAATTAATAAACGTAACGCTGTAAGTCAATGACTAAGTTTTGAAGGCATGGATGTATGCATGAACGCAAGCACGCATACGTCATACGTAACGCAGCTGCAATGCAGGTATATACACATGCATGCACATGTTACGAAGCTAATTATACGTACGAACATATATAACCACGATACACGGTATGTGCATATCACCAGGTGTATATGTAGCTATTTTTCACACACGCACTAAGCTACGATAAACAGCATAATGCTCTGTCATCCCTGCTATGGAGTATTCGTACGAATACTACGAGATACTCTACAGCACACTATCACTTCGCTTAGTTTTGCGGAATCGGACACAGAAGCGGGTTGCAGCTCGCGCTTAGGTGCCAAGCTACGGAGTGCGGTTAATCGCTTCCCCCTAACATTAAACCCCCCCCTAATATAAAAACTGCCGACCCCCGGAATTTCGCGGGTTCGGGCCCCACATTCAATTTAAAGGGGGCAACATTAGGGGGGGTGGCAGATCTGTATGTGTTTTAATTGAAGGAAGACTACCGTAGTACTAAAGACACCAGAGCTTTAGGGTTAAGGACTTGTCTGACTGTCTGAATGTAATTAAGCTTTAGGGTTGAGGGCTTCAGGGACTGTCTGACTGTCTGGCTGCCTCATTATTCCTGTCAGTCCGACTCATACCCGCAGGACCCGAAACCCCCCCTAATATAAAAACCAAACCTCCGAATTCCAGTTTTTATATTAGGGGGGGGGGAGCGGTTTAATATTAGGGGGAAGGGATTAATGCTTGACCTTGACAAAAGTTTGCAAAACATGTCCACTGTGGGATGCATGCTGCGTTGAATGCTGCATGTTTGACCTGATACGGTAAAACAACATCTGCAACAACAGGGTGCTTACACATGCCTCAGGCTCTGTATTCACTGCACACGACCGCAGAGCTCTAGCTACTCCAGCCACCAGTCGCATGGATCACGAAGTGGCAGCAGTGCTGAACATGAACACAACAATAGTTAGCGATAACTGTAGAAACATGTGCGGATAGTATGTCACAAGAAGATACAATAAATTTCCAGCTCTTCCCGTCTAAAGCCACCCTGGTAGGAAATCGTCTGAGCGGCCTTGCACCAGGCTGTCTCGCACCAAGACCTCCAAAAAAACGCCGCATACTCATAGTCAGAAGGACTTTTGTAACAAGGCCTAGAAATTTCGGTTCAGGACGATCAGAGCTCGAAGTTTGACTTGCGACATGCGTGTGGGGCTGTATAACAACATCGTACAAACATCCTTATCCCTGAATGTTGTTATCGTTTTGTGTTCGTTTTTTACTTTCTTCTTATCGTTTTCCACTGAAAACCATCAAAACCGAACACGGACATTTGAAGGCAAAACTTAATAGCACGTGGTTATTATACAGTCCCATGTGACGTCTTGGGGGCTGAAGGGTCTAATGCAGAGGCCTTAACAATTAGAAGAGGATCCTTTGAAGGGCTCTTTTGAGGATTGAAGGGCTCTTTTTTCGGGTTCTAAACGAGGGTTTTACTTTAGAAGCCGTAACAATTACGACAGGATTTCGGGGTACATGCAGGTCCAATTTCATTATCAAGACACCCTAATAGGGTATATCCCTCCCTTCATTAATGAGAGCAGCGTGTTTCGGGCTTCATAGGCGTAGCACGGCAGAAGTCCGAGGGGTCAATGACTACAAGAGCTACACTACCGGAGAACCCCGTAAACCCAAAATCCCTTACGCTCAAACGATAACCTGAATTACCCTTAGATTCAGAAACCCCCCCTTCGGTTTCAGCGCTTGCGGCTTGCAAGTTTGTGCTGCAGACCCTTCCTACGTCCTGTCCTACTACATACTAAGTTGACCCTTGAACGCCTCAAGAAGCCTCAACAGCTCAGATTTGGAATGAAAGTAAACGTCCACATCCTGTGGGCTTGGAATCCGCCGGTCCGTAAATTGGCGAAAACACCCACCTGCGCAGTTCTTGATGGGACATACAGCTTCACCTCAGAAATCGCTGGCTCTGACACATGTAGTCAGCGAGCGAATACAGGAACAAGTCAATGGCAGAGTCTGACCAAGAATCTGCAGAGCTTGGCCGTCCGAATCACCGTAGTAACAATCACAACCGTGACCAGACCATGACCATGTTCAATGAAAGTCACAATCATACGAAGACAGAAGGAAGGTAAGCTGGACAACTTGGGCTCAGGCCGAGTGATTGCGGCTGTGCGTGCCATGCCTGGGCAACTGCTTCTGCGAGAAGCAGCAAGAAACCATAGATGCCATAAATCCCCAAGCTCTAAACACAGCTCTCTGATGCGACCCGACTCTGCTTCTTATCCTAAACCCTGAATCCTAGACCTTGAGCTCTCTGATCTCAGGCCAGAGCATCGGAGGGAAGGGGTTTCCGTGTCCGTACTCGAGGCGCTGGTGGCCTCCGAAGCGGCCCTGACCAGGAGACGAGCATTTTCAGTAGAAAAAGATACACTACAACATATTAGGCTGCTGCAGCCTATTGTAGCAGCTTATGTATTATGCTATGTTGTACGGTGGAACAATGCTTGTGGGGGAAACAGTGGAAGAGTCGAACAGGGAGTCTTTCAAATTCCAATATCTTTCAAGATGGCTACTCGCGCCACTGATTAAGTCTATCTGCGTCATCCAGCAGGGAAAGTTGAAAGTGTCCATGCCTCATCAGTGTCCAGCACAGTTCGCATAGGCTCATTCCAGCAGCAGCCGAGCTGGTAGCCTTCGTAGCCTATCAGAAAGGAGGATGCAAGGGGCTGTGGTGCTGATAACGCGCACGGGAGACTTCCAACAGATAGTGTGGACGAGAAGGCCTCTGCAACCATTCACAAGTTGCTGGTAATTAGGACGTTTCGCTACTGCCACAACATACTATAGGGGCCTCAATAATTGGGATAGGGTTATATTATACTAGAAACATAGTCCTTCCAGTCGCTAGAAGCTAAGCGAAGTTCAACGTCGGCTCCAGTGGCTTCTGCAAGTGCAGGCGAGATGCTGTTGCATGGGTGGAAGTTGAAAATGAACAGCAAGTCCCCTCGCTCAAAGACAATCACCTTATCCTCGCTGTGCTTCAGGGTGACGTACCTCGGGGAGAGAGACATGCAAAAAACGACTTCCGACCTTATAAGGTGTATTAATGTAGGGGCCGTAATGATTAGAATAGGGTTCTGGGAGTTCCCTGCTATAACTATAATAAACCCCAAAACCCTATTCTGTTTATTACAAGGCCCCTATATTAGCTACGTACAGGCTGGCAACGCTTCGTGCCAGGAGCCGAGTGGAAAGCTGGCGCGGAACACGCGGAGCTGGAGTTACTGAAACCAAGTGTAAAAAAAACGAAACCAAGTGGCTGATGCCCTGAAGATAGGTACTGGAAGCGGTTCTCAAGCGCATTCATCAACTCATCGAAGTTCTGGAAGAACTTGTACCTGAGAGCATTACATATAGTACATGTGGTGGATGTCGCTTCCAACAAAAGCCAAGCAAGAAACTTCTTCAAATCGCAAGCTGAAAAAATGTCTGCAAACCCAGAACCCGGCCGTAGGTATATGCATATACACATAGCTCTATACATAAATGTACATGCAAACATAAATACGTACACAGACATGTGTATATATATATATATATATGCACACGTCCATTTGTATGTGTATACGCATACAAACATGAACACACCTGCACGGATACGTGTACATATCCACATACATGCATATGGAGGCTCGTAAGTATGCATGCACATGCGTAAATGTGTAGTGTAGGCATGTGTGTGTGCGTGTGTGTGTGTATATATAATTATATATATATATATATATATATATATATATATATTACACATATGCATAATAAAAGTATAAACGAATATATATATATATATATATATATATATATATATACATATATATAATTATATATATATATATATATGTACCACATATGTATATATATATATAGAGAGAGAGAGAGAGAGAGAGAGAGAGAGAGAGAGAGAGAGAGAGAGAGAGAGAGAGAGAGAGAGAGAGAGAGAGAGAGAGAGAGAGAGAGAGAGAGAGATAGAGAGAGAGAGAGAGAGAGAGAGAGAGAGAGAGAGAGAGGGAGAGAGAGAGATAGAGAGAGAGAGAGAGAGAGAGAGTTTGCGTTACTCAGCTTCTAATCGAAAGCTTAAGCGCCACCGACATCACAGCTTTCTCCCGTACTAAAGGCGAAGCAGCCGAAGCAGGTCATCCTCCGGCAAGTCAAAGCGGCGCCTGCCCACGGACTGTGATCTTCGAATCTTCGAGCTTGTATGTCGTGGGTGCGGATGTTACTTGTAGCATTTCTTGCGAGCTTTCAAGGTTGGGGTGCGTTCAGGGGATGAAGGTCCGCTGGAAGCCTCAAGGTCTGCCCGCTGGACTGGGAAAACCCACTATATATAAGTCAAGATACAGTCACAATCCCAAACAAACAGTTGTCAGCGCCACACGAAGACTCAACAGCCGTACAACTCGAAAACCCAAATGCCGCTAACATCGGAGTTTGGGAGCCAAAGGTCAGGCGAGCCGGCACCCTGTGCCTTAATGATTAGAACAGGGTTCCCGTTAAAGGGATCCTTAAAAGGGAACTATAGTGGTTCTATATTAGGAATTAGAATAGGGTTTCGGGGCCTATTACACGGTACTTATAACAATGAGCCCCCAAAATAGCAATTGCTAATTCTTTAGACCCCTGTATTAACACAACCCGAACAGGAAGCTTCAAAGCGGCAGGAACCCTGAGCCTGTCGATGTATTGAACGCCAACACCTGGAACAGAATCCCGAAAACCCCTACACATCCTTAAACTTTTGACAGAAAAGAGAACGAAAAGACACTAATTCCAGCCTGCAGTGGTGGTGGCTCCAGCCGTTCTCAGGGCGGGGGAAGTCCACCCACTCCGGATGGCCGAACCTCGTGGTTGGGACAGCTCGAGGGCTGCGGCTCTGCAGTTTAGGATTTAAGAGTTCAGGATTTCGGGGGTTCTGTTTGAAAGGTTTATATGATTAAGTACAAGAGCATGTGCTTGACTAATGGGTTATGAGATTTTCAGGTTTGGGGGTTTCATTGTTGGTTTGAGATTCTGCCCTCAGTACTTGTGATGCAACGGAGGCCAAATAACAGATGAGTTTCTGTTAGCACTCTGCTCCCTGCTTTAGACAGGAGTGCGGTACTGATGGTGGTGATGCTGATGGTGCTGTGGATGATGGGTTGACGAAAATGACACCCTGCTCTCAAGCTCAGGCCTGCCATCGGGCACCTGTCTCGATCCATTGTGCGAGGCTCAGGGTTTCGAGGTCCTCTGGGCGGGGTCAACAACACGGTCCGGCTAAAGTCGAAGTGTGCAGTGCGAACTGAACAGTCATGCTCGGTCTGCCCGTTGCATTGCCCAGCAGCTCGTTTCCCATGAAATTGAGGTAGCCCTCACCTGCTCGATTCACCACGACGCGAGTATCATGACAACGCACATCTTGAGCATCATAGCACCGTTTCGAAGATAGATGATCATCCTGATCATATTCGTTCTCGACATCAGCATCGTCGTCATGATTGTATCATCGTGTACATCTTCGCCAACATCATCAGCAGTTTTTCACCACCGTCAGCTTCAGAAGCAGCACACAACCCCTTCGCGGCAACCGTTGCAATCCAATCTCTTACTTCTTCATCAGTAGTAGGTTGTGCAATATCAGATCCACCGACACAGAATCATCATCCTCGTCATCCGATGCATCAATATCGTACCGCTGTTATGAGAATGATGGCCGCTGCCATTTCGAGAAATATCATCAATATCAACGTCTTCACGTTCAACCGCAAGACATGACAAGATAACACCCAGCAGCTTTGAGCCGAGAAATTCAGATCCACCCTGGTGCGAAACCCTCAAGACTCTAAGACTCTACATAAGACATGCTTCGTCGGAACTAACGCCTGCATCCAACATGGCTTCAAACAGCATGTCTGAAAATTTCAAGAGACGCTTGGTTCCGCTACCCCGCGAGACCTAAAACCGCTTGCCTCCGAGACCTTGCACAAGAAGGCGGATCATCTTGTGCCTGAAATGATCAGGAGGATATCTTCTGCAAGGTCAGAACTGACATGAAGAGAATATACGGGCGACACACACCTAGCACAAGAGTCCTGCACACTTGCCCGACCAAGGCCTGCTAAAGCGACAATTGGCTTTGGCCAAAACGACCACTGCCGAACAGGTAGTGCCCACTCTGTCGTCTCCCACAACAATCTGTCCGGCTTTCCAACCGCGCCCCAAGGTGCAGTGCCAGACCACGATCCACCGCCATGGTGTGGTGCGGATTTTGGTGGAGGCCTGACATGCTCAATGCACGATGATGGTACCAGCCAGACGCTGATCACAACCTTTTCAAGAAATACGTTTAATCGCTCGACACAATGGCAATGTTTTGCATTTTGGTTTGCTGGCAACAACTACACGATGCCAGTGAGTGCTGAGTCGTCACAAACTGTGGGTAGTTTCGTTTCCGGACGTCAGAGACAACAACCCGAAGGGTCTCTGCTGACTGCCGCTGTGGCTGGTCTGTGCAGCGAAAACACGAGCAAGAGCAAGGACGTCAACAACAGGGCAAACAGTGAGAAGGGCGGCAATAGCAACAGCAGTATTCAGTACTAGTACGTTAAGAAGTAACAGCATCAGCACAATAATAATAACTGATGCATCCATGCAACTTGAAACAATCAATGAAGCCAGGTGACTCATGTCCGTGTACATTGCAGCATCCATGAGCCAGAATGCAAGGGTCTTGTCACCAACCTCATGCAAGGCTACGGAACGTGGATGGGCAGATTTGAAGGCAGACTACCGTGGCGTTGCTTGAGGGTTCATGGGCATTTCATGCAAGCTTAGTGCATATTATCGGTACCTTGAGCGGGTTGTAAGCTATCATAACTGCATTATGTTACCTTGCTTATAGGAGCGTGGACGGCTTCCGAGCATCGGATGACATGCGTGCAGCATGGTTGGTGGCATGCGAAGCGTACGATGGCAACAATAATAACAATATGCATTTGTATGAGTATGCATATCTGCGTGCATATAGGTACATCATGAAGAATACAAATTCAACTATACAGGTGTGTGTGTATACATATATATATATATATATACGTCCCATTATACGGACAGATAGACAATATAGATATAATTATGGATGTAGATATTGCACTCTGCACTGCCGGTCCATGGAAGTTGCTGCGTCTCAGCTTGCGGCAATGGCTTGGTCGTGCGACTCGGCATAGGCGACCACCTCATGACTCTCACTCTATGCTGAACAGCACATGTCACTGAAGTTTCGTTGAAAATGCTATTGTTACTGCTAAAACGATAGCCCTGCAGCAGTTGGCACGCGATGGGCATCGAATACATGCTCAACCCCACCTTCTCCAGGTGTCGCCGGTTTGTCAGCCTCAGCTTGTTCTCCAAACATGCCGTCGGCAACAAGACGAATGTGCTATGCAGTTGCTCGACGTGTCCAGGAGCCTTTAGACAGACCGGTCTGCCACAGTCGTGGCAGCGACTATCAGCGACAGCTGTCGTTGCACCGTTTACTGGTGCAGGCACAGGCCCATGGACAACAGCGGGCTGCACAACGATAAACAATGCGGCCCAGGATCGTGTAGCAAATGTGCCCCATGTCCCATCCATCATCGCCGACTTCCTGCTCCGATGCTTTTCAGCTATTTGGACATACTAGATGATACCGAAGCACATGCGCCAAGGTAGAAGAACTCTCAACGTGTCGGCACCCGATCTGACTGCTAGCTTTGCGCTTTTCTTCTGGCTGTCTCCGGTGTGTTTAGCGATGCAGAAACCCAGCTCTTCAGAACCTCAACCCGGACAGCCATCCTGAAGCCTTAGCCCAAAACCCTCCTTCAGGAGCTTGATGAACATGTCTGGGATGGCCATAGCAAGTCCTCTCTGTTTGGAAAGTCATCGGACTTCTCTTTTCTATGCGGAGTCATAAGTAATCATATGAATCGAACTGTATACTTACGTAATCTACTGGCCTACCCGCATGAGCCTCGAAGAAACTAATCCCGAGTAGTATGGGCACCTTCACCAGAAGTCGTTATCCTCCGCCACCACTACAACACCCTCACCACTGTTAGACTACGACTGAGGCTACGATTAATGTGGCGGTTGGAATAATGGACCCCTCCCCCCCCTTCCCCCCCCCTCGCCCCCCGCCCCCCCGCACCCCCCCCCTCCCCCCCCCAACCAAAAAGTTTGGGTTTGAATTATCTGGAACCCGTCACGCGGTCGGGGGGGTCTGGGGCTCACCAAATGCTGGAAACCAAGCCCCGATCACTCCAAGATAACTACCAAGACTAAAAACCCTTCATTTTGAACACTTTTGCCTCCAACCTACACTCCCACACTCCCACCCACAATCGACCACGTCTGAAGCTTGGTGCGGTACAATAATGGTACAGTAGTACAGTAGAAATAATAAAGTAGTAGTACAGTAGAAGTAAAGTAGTAGTACAGTAGTAGTACAATAATAGTGCAGTAGTACAAGAGTAATACAACAGTAGTACAGAAGTAGTACAATACTAGTACAGTCGTGTACAGTAGTAGTACAGTAGTAGTACAGTAGTAGTACAATAATAGTACAGTAGTACAATTATAGCACAGTAGTAGTACAGTAGTAGTGCGATAATAGTACCGTAGCACAACAGTAGTAGAGTAGTAGTATAGTAGTAGTACAATAAAATTGCAGTAGTACAATAGTAGTACAATAGTAGTACAGTAGTACAGTAGTAGTACAGTGGTAGTACCGCAGTACTACAGTCGTAGTACAGTAGGAGTACAGTAGTAGTACAGAAAAAGTACCCATAAGCAAAGCATCATAAAGCCAGTGAGCACATTCCCCCAATAAGCAAAGCATAAAGCGCGCCTGGAACCCTAAACCCTAAACCCTAACAACCGTTAAACCCTGAACCCTAAACCCTAACAAACCCTAAACCCTAACGAATCCTAAACTCCTAAACCCTATCAAACCCTAAACCCTAAACCCTTCCCAAAGGGGGGTAAAGTCCAGATTCGACCCAAAATGGAATTTTTTTATATAACTTTAGTACTGGAGAGGCCTCTGTTGAGCTAGGGTCCAATTCCCGATTCGGCGGTTCACCCTAGCAGCCCCCCCCAATGAGCAAGGCATACAGTAGCAGTACAATCGTACAATCGTAGTACAGTAGTAGTACACTACTAGTACAGTAGTAGAACCTGACGCCCCAATAAGCGAAACAATTCTGCAAGAGATTTTCGGGCTTCAGGGCCAGGGGTTTAGGGTTTGGGTGGGGGTTCAGGTCGTGGCTGCCTTAAGATTGACCATCCGCAGACAGCACAGCCACACCCCAAAAAATCACCCCCGCCAAAAAACAACGCATTAAAGAGACCCATATTCCAAAACCAACCGCCACATTACGACGTCTACAGCTGCATTCTACTACAACGTCTACTACCACCACCACGACGGCGGCGGCGATGATCACTGCCACGGTGAAAACGATGACAACTATTACTACGACTACGACGACGATGGCGACTACTACTGCTGTGCTGTATTTGCCTCACGAGTCATCCAGAGAGAGTTGCCTAGACGAATACTGTGAATGTGTTGGTTGGATGCGTCTGTCGCGCGATGCCGGTTAGTCAGATTGCCATCGCTCGGCGTTGGACCTCTGATCTGCAAAGTGCCACGGTTCTATGGCGCTACCGCGAACTCTATCGATTCCACTATTGCCACGAAGCAACAAAGGGGGTAGGGTCCCGGCATCCAGGGGTATTTGGTAACAACAGGGTGGTGCAGAAGAGGTTAGCCACGGCTACAATCGCCTGGGGCCCTTGATGTTGAAGCTCAGGGTTGAAACCCTCGGGGGTCTGGGCGCCCTGTCTGCAGCAAAAGTGCGATAGTCGAAGCCGAAGCCACCATACTCCACCGGAAGGCCGATCGTGGGCATGCCACTGACATCCTCGCGTGAACCGCCAGGCAGACAAGAACTGCCATGTGGGAGTTTCCGAAAATAGGGGGCCCAACTATGGTACGATAACTAGTAGGATCCCTATTATAAGGACCCCAAAATAAGGTGCCCCCCTAATTTTTGGAAACTCCCATGTCACATCGGACCCTTGTCCTCTGCAACCGTGACAGCGGATGGCACCTGCTTTGCTCCGAAGCTCCGAGCAGACACTCGTGGAAACATTCCATCACACTCACCGTAAACACGCATATTAATGAGTACATATTATATATATATATATATATATATATGTATGTATGTATTCATGTATGTATGTATGTGATAATGTGTATGTAAATATAAAGAGCCACATACATACATACATACATACATACATACATGCGGACATACATTTGACATACATACATACCTACCTACGTACGTGCATACGTACTTACATACATCGGAATATACATATATATATATATATATATATATATATATATACATATATATACATATATATATATATATGTACATATATATACACATAACACACATGTTACATACACACACTTCACACCACGGCAACAGAACAAGTTGCGTCGCAACGATCCAGCTAGCTCCTCGGAAGCTTCTCTATGTCACGGAGCAGCTCAAGACTCAGGGTGCAAAATGCTCACGACGAGTCTCTGCAACTCAACTCAACATTCATGTGGGCTCACAGTCCTCAAAGCTCTACGACTCCCGGTCTCCGGCTCTCGGAGAATACAGAGCCCCGTGGACACGGTTGTGGATAGCGCAGGAATGTCCCAAGGTTTTATCGGTGAAACTCAGGTCAACCTTCACGATCCTGAGGGCAGCACCACGGTGTGGATCAGGTCGTTCGACAACATGAGGTAGATGTGACTGTCAATGTCGGCGTCTGGTCCGAAGTACTCATGGTAACCGCCGGTGTATCCCTTGCCGATGCCTAGGGTCATCACAGGCCCTTCGGTCTGACATCATGTCGGGTGTTGTCAGCAACACGTTCGTCGCATCAAGATGTAGCGACGAAACAGACTTTACAGCAGCCGGCCGTAACCGTGTAGTCTGTCCTGCTATCGGCGCACTGGGACCTAGTTCACCAACGACCCCATCATTCACCCCGCACCTTGGCCAGTCCGGGACTTGGGCCGTGTAATTTTCGATTTCTTACATTCCAAGAGTAGGAATGCATTCTGCCCAGAAACCATGAGAATGGTAGAGCATCGAGGTGATCCCGTCAAAGCGGAAGCCGTCGAACTGGTACTCCTGGTGGCTGCGGACCATCAGTTTAGACTAGACCTCCGTCATATACTTCTATCGCTTCTTAAGCTGTGTTGAGGACGCAGACATGGAAGACATGTTCTCGCTAGCTCATGAGAAATAGCCTTCGGGATTCGGCAAAATCTGCATTTTCCGCCACAGCCATGCATGGACCTTGTTTTGGAACAAGCCGGGTTGTCCTCCAACCACCACTTCACGTTGGACAAAAGGAAACGAAGCACCTGAACAGCAACGGCGAGCTCGAGCTGGTGTTTAACGTTGATCAGGGATGACAACGTGACAATTTACCGGTCCAGGGTTCAGTTTACAGATTTGAGTTTACCCTTGAAGAAGCCTTAAAGCCCAAACCCCAGTAAACTATGTACCCCGGCTTGCGGTTTGGGGCCAAGGTGGGCGGCTTCGGCTGGCCAGCCTCGTACTTCAGATAGTTGAAAATCTTCCTCGGTGGGCTGCCAGGCACGTCTTTGCCATAAAGGGGCTTGGATGCTTTGGATATGGGTTTCGGGTACACTATAGCATAAGTGAATACGGGCTTTGCAGCCGGATAGTACCGCGAAGTATTCCGACCTCTATATTGCTTTAGCTGCGGCTGCATGGGTATGCTGTAGTAATACGAACAAAACAAAACAAAAGAACCCCAAGGAACAACAGCGCAAATTTTCAGGCTTCTACACTCATGTTCAGGCAAGTGTCGAGTCCCATTCGCTGTGATGTCCCTTCGGTCCTGTGAGGAGGCAGATATGACAGCCGCCATTGCAGCATCCCTCCAAATTCTGGTTCCACGTGTGCCATCGAAACCTCAAGCCTCCGAGCTTGTCAGCCCTTCATCCCGAGGATCTCTGAGGTACCTAATATGCTCTGCATCGTCGATGTCTTGATACAGCTCAAACGATAGAATGGCTAGAAGCTCATCGTGCGGGCGAGCGAAGTTGCCGATGACGGCAGACCATCATCAGCCGTACAACAGAGACGCGTCGGAACCTATGCTTGACCAAGTAAACCTTCGAGTCTTAGTTGGTTGTCAGACCTGCCTTGACACCTTCACGTGCAAGCCCAAGGCCATTCCAGGATATCGCAACATGCCTCATAAAGCTGGACACGATAGCATGTCGTGTATGCTGTCTCAATCCGGCCTTCTCAACCTAAACTCGAAGCCGAACCATAAACCCTGAACGTGTGTGAAATGAAGAGAGACATCAGAGGGGTGGTGTCCTCCGTGTGTGTAGCCTCGGCTCAGGCAAAGTGCTACCGAGAGATCTTACTCTTCTGCGTCCGGATGTCTATTTGCATGCACAGTGGATGCATTCGTGATGTATGCGCAGGCAGTCACAAACATATGACGGAATTTTCAGTTCTACAAGCATGGCGCACATTAAGATACTTGTGTGATGTCGTGTATCAAGACAACGATGTTGATGATTAGACTGATGATGCTACTGACGACCAAGGTGATGATGACGACGGTGCTGATCATGATGATATTGGTGGTGACGAAGACGTCATGGTGTTGGTGCTGACGACGGAGACGACCATGATGAGGACAACGAAAACATGATGATGCTCATGACGGTGCTGATGGTGATTATGGTTTGATAGCACCTACGGTGTAGGACCTACAGTAGGATTACGACGCCTGTGGTGATGATGTTGAGGCCATCCCCAAAGGCATCCTTTCACTGGTTGAGCTCGTCGTAACCACACTGTTGCTGTTGTGTTTCTTGGCCTCTGACTGACAATGGCGTTGTCGAGCAGCACACTATTCCACAAACGGGAGCTGGGACGGGTCCTACAACAGAAGAAGGTACAACCAATAGGTATGTCAATCGCCAGATAGCAGTGGTCAGTGCCGTCCATCTGCGCGATCCCATCCAGAGTGTTGGAGGAAGCATGCGCGTGCACGAGGTCCATAAGCACGTGGATTCCGAGACCTCGGGGTTCAACGAGAACTTGCGTCAAGTCTCCCGACGGCTGGCACAAGCACCGACCGTCGCGAAGGAAGCCTTCCACTTCGGCATTCCTAAACATCCCAAAGAGTCTCTGCAAAGGAAACTTGAAGCATGGCCCCGAGCCTTAGTTGTAGTAGCGGTGGTAGTAGCAGTCGTAGCGGTAGTAGCAGTAGCAATAGCCGCAGCAGTCAGAAGCAGCAGCCGTAGCCGTAGCAGTAGCAGCCGCAGCAGCAGAAGAAGTAGCAGTAGTAGCAGCAGCAGTAGCAGCAGCAGCAGCATGAGTAGTCATAGCAGTAGAAGTAGTCATAGCAGTAGAAGTCGTCGTCGTAGTAGTAATGCGAACAATAATAACAATACAGAAAATAAGACATTACGGGCCCCATATTTACAGCATTACTGTTTTTCATGTTTTTGGTTTGCTTCAGATTTGAAGCAACATCACTCGTGCACACGATATCGTTATCCTCATATGCATATTCTTAAATAGGATACTTGTACGTATACCCATACATGTGCTTGTTTCAACTGTCGACGTGACTATAGAGCAGGAGGTTTGACTCACTTCTTGGCTGGTTTAGGCCCGAAGGGCGAGAACACTGCTACTAAGGGGAAGGCGGGGGGGGGGGGGGGGGGGGGCGGCCGAAAAAAAAAAAAAAAAATATGGAGGGGAGGGGGGGGGGGCAGCGCCAAAAAAAAAAAAAAAAAAAAATGTAAAATCGATTTTTTTTTTTCGCTGCCCACCCCCCCCGCCAGATTTTTTTTTTTTTTTTTTGGTAGCTGCCCCCCCCCCCCCCCGCGCGGGGACAGCAAGGCAAGCGACAGCCAACGCCATGGTGCGCCATACTGCGGGAGCGGACACCAACCAAGAGCCACATGATTTGAACCTGGTGTCCTTAGCCCTTAGCCCATGCAAGCCTCACTGCAAGTGAGTAGATACTCTATGCCGAATATTAAGATCAATGAGATTACAAATTTACCAGATAAACATCTATAGAATCTATAAAAGATCTCAGAGACTTACTGCGTATAGAAAAGTCGATATCTGAGATTACAGCTCACAAAGATGATAAACTATTTATGACTGATGACATCATATGACGAGGAGACCTTACATTAACATACATTCGATGGATGCGAACTCACGACACAACCACTGCCTGAGCAATGCCAGGTGGACAACCAGTTGAAGGGTCTGTCGTAGTCAAGCGATAACAACAATGCTTGATGTCGCACATGATGTGGTAGCATATGCGAGGACATACGGTCGGTATATATGCTGGATGTCAGATACATGTATGACCAGTCTCCTCGATAACATATAGAACAAACACTGTCTTTGCCTTTCATTGACAGGTTGCGATGTAAGGAATCCGAATCCGACTATCTTATAGGTGCATGAAAACGGGAGTTTGAATATTCCACTTGTGCGATGTTCGAGCAACATGGTGGGCTCTGTCGGGGAGTTTACAACTGGAAATCATTATTGGTTTATGTTCCTGTGATCAGGATCGGCTACTCGCAGTAATCTGAATATCACTATACCAAAACTGGCTAGATATGGAAACAATATATCTCATGAGCACGTCATGGTGAAGTATCAATCTTCACGTGAACCATGCGCATCATAGTATGATATGGCGTAACACACTCGTGCGCATGTAGCATGAGGTGCTAGGGAGATGCCATACGAGCTTGGCAAGCTCACGGGATGCACGAGGACATCTAAGTCAAATCTCATAGTGAAGATATGTGTCATGAGATGCTGCCTGCATCTTGCGACCTATTCATACTTAGCTGTGACTGTTGTAACTTCATGCGAGATTGGGTTTATGTGTGAGAATAAGTCTCCGGGCTTTTAGAAAGGTTTACCGAGGGGTTTAACCAATATGTGGTGCAATCCCGCTTGCCCGCGCGGCCGGAAGGCGTAAAGGAGGAAGCCCGAACGATGCGGGCATCTTATAAGGACACATACTGAGATGATCTATACGGATGGCTCAATATCATAATGATATGTTGAAGAAATTTCCTGGTGCTCTATGTTGATATGGCCATATTCAACACATAACATGCCTTTTACATCGAAGGAATGTGGCGAATATCCTGTTCAACTGCCGGTTGGGTGCCTCATTATGACGGCTCCATTACTCTTGCCAAAACTGGCATGCAGTTGCCAATGCAATCTGCCATGTTTACTTCCACCACAAGAGATACTTGACTTCTTGATGATGTCACATATTAAAAAGTTGGTTTTAGGCATAGTATAGTTCTTATACGTTTTCTTGGGTAACAGGATTTAGTTTACGGAGATATCCACAAGACACACGATGAAGCGCGTCATGGGCTTTAACAAGACCATATTAGAATGGTTGCGGCATACAGGTGCATTGCCTGCAGCATAGATATAACAAGCGGTATCGTTTACAGCTGATGACAATCGTATGTGCGTGTCGGTGTATGTTTGTGTGTGCATGTGCAAATAATGTGTTTTCACGGCAGCCAACTTATGACTAGATGGTATGAGCAACAAGACAGCGAAAATGATTAATATTGCAGGTGGATCTCCATATGTTTGCATATACAATAATGATAGCAAAGCACCATCTCCTTGAAAAGTATATTAACTCAATTATATCCTTATCCTTTGGGGGTTTGTGGGCTTCAGCCGCAATGATCACTAATCTGAATATGCCAGCATTGTAGCTGTCAGGATGTATACAGCAACATCCATGCGATGATTGTCTTCGAAGGTCGTAGGTTTTCAGTTTTCTGGGTTGGCTTCTGTGAGAAGCTATTGCAATTGAAATACACAATTCCGCACACACAGCTCCAAATACTGGACAAATTATTGGACTGGGAGCTCCGAAACAAGGACAACCAATGCAATAATAATCGCAAACAATATATACGCTTTTGAAGGAGGTTGCACTAAACAAGCTAGCATTCATACGAAAAAACGGTATCGAAACTGAATGTAGCAAAGACATCTATGCACATATATGTATATATGTACATATGCAAATGGATCCGGTAACACGATCCAGTTGATCGCCTGCATGTATACAGCTTGAGACGGTGGGAACTGTTTGAGCAACCTGCCTGTATGATGCCAAACTCAACTTGTCATGCTACAGTATATGCTGGACGTCTATATCCAAAATCATATGTTACCATGCACATGATGGGGCCTGCAAAAACCGATAGGATATGTAAGTGATTCTTTACGTTGATATACAAGAGTTATATAGATTGACCGGTCTTGTACATCATTCAAGGGTGGAGAAATGCACGGTTTCGCAGACGCATTGTATCTCATTTATCTGCAAGATTATACTATGAGACACAAAGAACAACCACAAGATTGAAGTGGCATTGATTTATCGGATAGTCTTCATGAGACTCCACAATGAAAGGTAGTCACACGTGCATCCCATGTTGATTGGAAAAGTATTTCCCATATCAGGCATCAAGAGCAACAGGGTTAAGTAAGCTTGAAAACCACTAGTATGCAAATTATGACGATTGTAAGTTTTTGTAATGAAAACTCTTAGAAAACAGCATTTTGACTGGAAAATATGGGGCCCGTAATGTCTTACACTCTCTAACAATAATAGTAGTAGCAACAGCAGTAGTAGTAGTAGTAGTAGTAGTAGTAGCAGTGGTAGCAGTGGTGGTGGTGGTAGTAGTAGTAGTAGTCGTAGTAGTAGTCGTAGTAGTAGTCGTAGTAGTAGTCGTAGTAGTAGTAGTAGTAGCAGTAGTAGAGGTAGTAGTCGTAGTAGTAGTCGTAATAGTAATCGTAGTAGTAGTAGTAGTAGTAGTAGTAGTAGTAGTAGTAGTAGTAGTTAGTAGTTAGTAGTTAGTAGTTAGTAGTTAGTAGTTAGTAGTTAGTAGCTAGTAGTTAGTAGTTTAGTAGTTAGTAGTTAGTACTTAGTACTTAGTACTTAGTACTTAGTAGTAGTAGTAGTAGTAGTAGTAGTAGTAGTAGTAGTAGCAGTAGTAGTAGTAGTAGTAGTAGTCGTGGTAGTAGTAGTAGTAGTAGTAGTAGTAGTAGTAGTAGTAGTAGTAGTAGTTGTTGTTGTATAGTAACAGCAATAGTAGACTAGGAGTAGTAGTAGTAGTAGTAGTAGTAGTAGTAGTAGTAGTAGTAGTAGTAGTAGTAGTAGTAGTAGTTAGTAGGAGTAGTAGTGGCAGTAGTAGTAGGCGTAGTCGTAGTCGTAGGCGTAGTCGTAGTCGTCGTCGTCGTAGTAGTAGTAGTAGTAGTAGTCGTGGTAGTAGTAGTAGTAGTAGTAGTAGTAGTAGTAGTAGTAGTAGTAGTAGTAGTTGTATAGTAATAGCAATAGTAGACTAGGAGTACTAGTAGTAGTAGTAGTAGTAGTAGTAGTAGTAGTAGTAGTAGTAGTAGTAGTAGTAGTCGTAGTAGTCGTAGTAGTCGCAGTAGTAGTAGTAGTAGTAGTAGTAGTAGTAGTAGTAGTAGCAGCAGTGTAGTCGCAGTGGTAGTAGCAGTAGTAGAAGTAGAAGTAGTAGTGGCAGCAGAGCACTTGAAGTGACAAGGAACACATAAATCCTGCCTGAAGATCTGTCAGTCTTTATTTGCGCTAGATAGTTTGAGGCTCGCAGGCTGGCCCAAGGATCACACCATGGGCTGTGTCCACCAAGTATTTCAGCTCCTAGCGGCAAGCAGGTGCAACAATCTGGCCACGAAGAGTGAACTGCTCAACTGTGGCACGCATCGGTCCTCAGGCGTTCCGGATCGACTGGCTGGCGCGAAGAAAGAAGTGACCTGGTGTCTTGCGCTCTTTCGAAGCCGCTAGTCATGGTATGCGCTGGGATTGGATATGTAGTCACGGATTGCAATCCTGAGTTCATTTTTCTCAGAAGTCGCCACCGGAAGTCGAAGCTCGCAGCGTCGCAGACCAGCTAAGCTACGTGAGGGAGTGGCAGTGCCCGGGTCACATTGCTAAGTACCTGCACCTTGGATTCCAAAGAGTCCACCTCAAGGAAATTGTTAGCGGCGATTGCGAGTCCAACACCGACGCAAAGGACGCCGAAACCGCAAATAGCAAGGATAATGATGAGCTCCGTCGTGGAAATGGCACCAGCTGCCCCTGCACTTGCAGAGCCGGGCTCCTCGACAGCTCCGGATGCATCAAGCTTCTTAGCCTTGCCGTGCATGATGTCAAAGAGCTTCTCGTGGCGGTGGGCGGCAGCATATGCTTCCTGCAGCAGCGCAGTTCCTGCATGAACTTCACCCAAGGCGAGAAGAGACGAGCCCTTCTGCACCTGCTCCAGAATCTGCTTAGCTTTCTGAACCTCGGGTGCCTCGGAATCGGAAATGTTGCCAATCTGAAGTGCCAGGCCCTCTACACTGGTGTCCCCCGAGTCATCCATGCCTTCAGCCAACTCCTTCACCTCCTCCTCAGCCCGTTCGTCGCCTTTCCCAACGCCACTGGCTACAATAAGCCTCTCCACCTTGGCGGTCATCTGCAAAAGCTGGTGTTCGCCACCTAAGATGCTCAAATGCTCGTCAATCACTGACTTCGCCTTCTGCATGGTATAGCCTGGCTCCGCACAGAAGGTGAACTGCCGGTACGGGTTCTGGAAATTAATGCAGTCCGTGCCATTGAACAGCTCCACGGTATCACCCTCCGGAGGCTTCGTGAGGAACTCCAAGGAAAAGACTTTCTCGTGGCCAAAGAACTCCCGCACCTGGTCGATAACACCGACATCTTTACAAATCGAATCAGCGGTCCAGGTGATGGTGCCCTTCTCGATCATGATCCTGCGCTTGGACCACTCCTTGGCATCTCATATGGGTGATGCGAGAACCAAAAGAATTAGAAGCCTGTCTTGGGTGTCCACATACTAGAACTGCATATGGACTCCAGGGGGACACCATTGTAAAGTATTCCGACCCCTACATGTTATGGTCATCCAGATGAAGGTCGAAGCAGCCAGCCACATCACGATGCCCCAGACTCACAGATCAATTTGACTAGGGTTCCGTATTTATGGCCAGGGGATTACGATTGATTTCTACTGTAAGTGCTGGCACCCTTGTTATTCTGACCGGTACTCCATATAGTCCTGCGAATTCGGCCCAATAGCTCCTTTCCGGCTCATCTTGTTGACGCACTGCACGTGGGTCGAAGCATTGCCCCACTTGACTGCCTGGTCCTCCAACTCCAGACCATCGGGCTTGGCCAAGGCATAAACCTGTTTCCGTAAGGATCGCATGCGATTGGAGACTGTAACGCCCCGTCTACTTACCCAAACTCACAGCAAAAGGCATAGTCTCTTTAACTTTGATTTTTTTAATGACACCAACTCCAGCTGCCACTGGAAAGAAGCCAAGCGGCCATGGATCCCATGAGATCGCTTGTGGAGGCCTCATCTTCAAAGGCTGCTGTCGCTGGTGGCTGGTCGGGACATCCTGCCAGGAAGAAGCGCCACCAGGTCGTGTGCTTCTGCCTGGCATGTTGCTCTCGATTAGGATCTCCGGGCACCATGCATGGACACAACTCCGGATGAGCACACCACTTTTGCGACTGCGACTGCGACTGCTACTCCAAAAACAAGAGGAACAACTACAACTACAAGCACAAGCACGAGTACCCTCCGCCTGCTCCTCCTGCTACTGCTACTGCTACTACGACACACCACCACCATCACCACCAAAAGAAGTGTAAGTACTTTGGTTCACAACGCTGGCTTGCAAGACCATATCCGAGGCACTCGTAGCCTTCGGTAGCCTCCAAGTCCTTCCATGCCTGCTTCAGGAAGCACAGGCCAAGGGGAGACATCTTCGTCAGGACTCGGAACAGACCTGGGGGCAGTGGTTTGGGGTTCAGGGTTGCGTCCGGGGTGCTGATGGTCATGAACTGATGCTTGAACCCCCCCCGGCCTAACGGTGCAAAGAACAGAGCGAGCAAAATCCGCTGGACAATGCTGTCGTCGATCACCTGAACAAGCTTGAATAAGGGGAACCGGTTAAGAATTTGGGGATCCGAAGATGAAGCCACTTGTTTGCTCAAGAAGGGCAAAAAACTTGCTTGCAGACAGTACAGCGTCTTGAATCTGTCGAACATGCTTCTCAACAAAAACAAGTCACCTTGAGGAAAGTCCAGACGGTCTTGCGCATAGTCCCACGGAAGGAGTCTCCAAGTGGTCGACTCACACTTGGCAGCATAGCGACATCGTCTTGGGCCGCAAACGACTCAGCGACGATCGTCTTCGCATCAGATCTCGCCAGCCAAGAGTGGTAGATGATTTTGGTCCAAATCAGAGGGCAAGTCATCATGCAGTACTTCACTCGCCAAAAGCCTCTACCATCGAGCACATCCTGGGAACTCGTATTCAGGGCAGTCAGGTGGCTCATTAGCGAATCCGTTGAAGGGATCATCTCAGAGCCGGCAGCCTCGACGCCATCAGCCATGGTGCCTTTGAAGCTCTGCGAACCCTGACGGCCGCTGTGGAGCACCAGGGAGTGCATGACCTTCGCGGACTCGACAGTGCGAGACGCCTCTGCCCCGGCCAGCATCAAGACGAAGCATAATGCCACACACTGACGCCGCTGCATTCCGGTAGCGAAAGATGCAGGTGATGTAGATTTTGCAAGCAAGCTAACAACACAAGCTTGAAGCGGGAAACAGCTGCGACGGGCAAGAGGAGGCTTACCTGCCCTGATTAGCAATCAGCCGATGCGTGCAATCCCCTGCAGCCCAGGGGCATGGTAGCCGAAGCAGCCGTAGTGCGCGTGCTCGGCCACAGCCATGAGCTGCACGCAGTTGTAGCCCATGCGCTTGATCCGTGGCAGCACGTTACTGGGCGGAATGCAGGACGGGGGGTTGGATTTTGGCAATGCTGTGTGTCCTACACCTGTCTGTTCTTTATTGTATCGGCATATCCATGCCGCTCACATCCGCTACAGCAGAGTAAGACAAAGCAGTGAGGGGCTTGAGGACTACCAGCAGGAAGGTAGCAAAGCGAAGCCAACCTGCACCAAGTTGTACCGAACCATGGAATACACAGTGTCGGAATTTGGGCTCCAGCATATGCCGCGAATACAATCTGGCATGAAGGAACTTCGATGCATGAACATGCGCATTTACGGCGATGTGACAAAAACATACATACTTACACACACACACACACACTCCTGGGGTGTGTGTATATATATATATATACACACATTAATATTGCATAATATGACATAATTAGGTTCCTGAGTAACTCCTTCATAACCAGGGTACCGTCTTCCTAATATTCAGCTTTGATAAGGGGACCCGAGTCCAACAAGGGCAAAAGGGTACTACTCAGGAACCTAGATAATAGAATACCACATAGTATAGTATAATGTACACTATCCTTTGTATCTTATACTATACTGTACTGTTCTACTTTTTTGTGGCAAACTGTACAATACTACAGTATAATATAACATGATGTATTATGATATGTTCTGGTATTCTATACCGGGTATGTGGTGTTGTAGTGTGTTACATTTTACTACAGCATATTTTATGACTTCATAGTACAGTATGCTGTCAACATATCTTAAAAGACATTCTACTTTCATGACACATAGCGTCTTATCTTAGATTACACTATGACGAACTATGTTACACTATGTTGAATTATACTGTATTATAGTTTATATTTTATGTAGATTTGTATTTTGTAGTATATTACAATATACTTAAACATATATATATATATATACCATCTAATGACAGCCTGCCGTAATTAATGTACAGTACATACCTATAGAACATCGCATGATTACAGTATAGCATACCATGGTATCTCGTCTTGCGTTCCACTATACTATATTCTTCGTTATATAACACTATGCTGCACCGTATCATCTGACAAAATACGTACTCTAGTATATCAACGTATCCCCCAAAATGACTTGTACTGGCCCTGCATGTTCATGCGTTCACTCCATCACTCGTACGACTACGCATAAATAGACCTCTATTTACATGTGAGCTCTCTTGTTCGTCCATCGTGAAGTTTTGGCGTTGTTCACGCGTGCGTGTGTCTCTCTCTCCCTCTCTCTGTATATATATATATATATATATATGTATATCATGTAGTATATTATAAACGTATGCTAACCCACCCCCCACCCCCCTCTCTCCGCCCTACCTCTCACATGAAGAAATACCGACGATTCCAGAAATTCAGAGATTCCAGAAATTCAGAAATTCCGAACATTCCAAGGACTCGAAACAAATCGAAAATCCAAAGGTCAAAACAATCATAAACATTCCAAAACTTCAAAACGCTCCGAAATGTCTGAGGATAAGCTCTGGAAGTTTTGGAATCCGACTTTGCCAAACTTGGTTCCGTAGGTTTTGGAATTTTTGAGTTTTCGGATTCAATGTTTTTTTTTAAAAAAATTCAGGAGTTCCAAAACTTGCTTTCCGACGGTTTTGGAATGCTTGCGAGCTTTAGAACATTGGACTCCTTTGCATTCCCACAATATCTCCCCAAACGGTCTTGCCTCTCTCTTGCGTGTACTCAGGGATCGCTGTTAGATGCGTGTAAATATCTTGGGTTGAGACTTCTGTTTGTCGAAAATGGACTTTTTGGAGAATTTCATGTTGCTTAATACTCGTATGATGCTCAAGTCGAGTTCGAGCTGCTTATTATGTTATATATATATAACTCATTTAAAGTCTACTACTAACGTTTTCAATGTCGTAGACTGCTTGCTGATACCGGAATGTGTGTTCTATAATACACTCGATACCTTCTTGATGTTAGGTATTGAACTGTACGCATTGAAACATGTCTAGTCGCTGGTCTAACAAAACGGAAAAGTAGTTCAGTATCCGCCTAACAAGTGCTTAGCACTTCATCTTCACAGACAGCTTGTCCAACATCTCATGTCTGCTTGTCTAAATTTGAGCTGGTATTGGCATACAGTTCATCGACATTTGCACACAAATAAATGTTAAAGCAACTGATACGGTGTGGGTGTTCAGTTAATACTCGGTCATACATGACAAGTTGTCAACGGAACCTACAACCGAATCTTAATGATCACCTCGCGCAAGATTCATGGCCCACTCAGAGCCGAGTAAAATCTCAATACCCCGCAAATAATGCTTGTCACTGGGACAGTTTTTACTTTTAGCATCTAACCTGTATAGGTCTTCGATTGCTGCTTTGGTGTTTGACCAACGTGTGTTTTTTTCTGGTAGAACTGTCGATAACTAAGAATCTAGCCTTCGTCTAACAGGGGCTTAGCACATACGACTTGCACAATTTTGTGTTTTTCGCGAGTACAAGTACAGATTACTTCATAGCTGAGCCGTGTATACATATTAGTTCAATATTTCATGCTGAGTGACGACTAGCTACGTCGATTTCCCTTGCCAATAGAAAGGAGTCGAAGTTATGTTCATCTAAGATGTGATGTGTACAAAAAGTCAACCAATCTTAAACCCTAAACCCTAACCCTAAACCCTAAGCATCAGATCTGCGGGGCAATAAACGGTTTTCCATTCATACTCAATCACGAAGTATGCAAAAAATATGGAAGCAGTAAAACTGATTGTTAACCAGCGTGTAGTTCAACACTATTTAGATTGACAGTATTTCTTTGATGCTTGCAAAATGTTTAGTTTATATCGTAGGAATGTTTCGCGCATTATTGGAGCTACTTGTTGATATCACATGTTAGGATCTGGTCACTGACGAACCCTCGGTTGGTTCGTTTTGCTTTCGTCTCTTCATGACCTAGCCAAGCATGAATTAGGACTTAAATTCTACATGGCTTTGAACCTAATCTCGTTCGTATTGCTGCAACGACTATTCCAGCACAAGCTGAGCATTAGACATGTATGAATATGTTCTCGTTTGTTAATAGCTCAGGCTTAAGTATACAGCAAAAGGCTACGATTTGTTTCTTCAACCAAAACTGATCCGACATTAACTTCGTACTCACTCTAATAGAAGCAACAAGGCATGTATCGTCATTGTCGTCTGGATATCTAATAGCCGGTACTGGTAACTCATTCATACATCCGTCAGAGAAGTACACGATGAGCAGTTTTTCAATACGAAGGGAAACATTCAATGAGTGCTAATCCAGCACTCGCTGCATAATGACTCTGACAGAAGCAACAAATCATGCATCGGAATTGCTGCTCGACTGTTCGGCAGCAGGAACATACCGAAAACGCATGCATACGTACGCCACATGACACAAAGCACATAAAACGACAAGAAATGAAGCTGCAAAGCTGGGACCTGAATCGCTGTACTGTAATCAATGAAGCCCGTATACTGTAGACAACAATAATGGAAACGGAACTTAGCGGTATTTACTTCGACTTCCATCCGCAACAACACAGGGAACACACCTGAGAAATTGCATGGCCAAGGATGGTCCTAGGGTGGAGGGGTTGTGATGTGTATGTATGCAGAAAAAACACACAGAGAGAGAGAGAGAGAGTTTGAGAGAGAGAAAGACGCAGAGAGAGAAAGAGACAGAGAGAGAGAGGTAGAGGGAGAGAGAGGGGGAGAGAGAGAGAGAGAGAGGGAGAGAGAAAGAAAGAGATAGAGAAAGAGAGAGAAAGAGAGAGAGAGAGAGAGAGCGAGACAAAGAGAGAGAGAGAGAGAGCGAGCGAGAGAGAGCGAGCGAGAGAGAGCGAGAGCGAGAGAGAGAGAGAGAGACAGAGAGGGTGAGGGGGAAGGAGAGGGAGAGCTGGCCAGAAACAGGGAGATCGACCGATATCGATAATGGATAGAGTGCAAAAGACCATGTTATTGTTCTGTCGGCCTCATCAACGTATGTCCATAAATAAATGTATTTGAAAGCATGCAAGCATGTGTGTATATATATATGTAGATAGAGAAAAATGTTATATCCTTCTTGAGTGCATGGATAGTACGTATATATATATATATATATATATATACATATATATATATATATATAGGTATATATATATATATACATAGATAGGGAGAAATTATACATCCTTCTTGAATACATGAATAGTATGCGTATATGCATACACACATACATGTACATGCGTACACAGTGTTTTTGTACTTGCCCGTATTTCTCAGGTCCAAGGGTCTCAGCAAACTCGACGTATGTAGAGACTTTCGGCTCGACGGTTCCCATGCCTGGTCACTTCTCATTGCTAAAGCCCCTATATTACAGTACCCTTATAGTAGTAGCCCTTATAGTAAGACAACCCTTAATTATGGGTCACTAGAAGGGCATTGCAAGAGTTTTCAGGGGGTGTTACAAGGTTCGTCTCCTTGGTGAATACATGCAGACTTTGAGAGGAGCGTAGAATCTACGGCGTAGAAGGGCGTTGTCTCTGAAAGCTTCCGTCTGTAAATTTGGGCTTCAGGGCTTTCAGATTAGGGTTCTCGCGGCTTGCACGTCAAAGTTTGGGGCTTTCGACTCTCTCCCAAAGCCCTCGAGGGTACGGTCAAATTTGCCCACTGCAGCGCTAGAAAAGAGTTCACTAGACCATCCAAAAGTTGACCACTTAAAAGTCTTTTGCTCCGACAAGGCAACTCCACACACTGGAACCCAATGCTCGAAGGCAGCAACACTGCCTCCAAGCCTGTCACCCCGAATCGGAAAATCCACAACCACCCTGATCTACAAGCATATCAGAACTCCCAAACAAAGTCATCACCTGCGTCCCCGTTGCGGAAAACTCATCACGAAAATGTATTGTACTGCGGGGCATCATGAGTCACATGTTCGGTGGTAACATAATATGATGGTGTTACAAGTTTACTGCATCGTATTATTATTACATTGCTATGGGGCTTTCTCGTACTGTCTTCTAGGACAATCCCCGCCATCTGGAGTTGAAAGCCCTTCAAGCCCATAACTCGCAGCCGAGTCTGAGAAGCGGCCTACATGCGCTTCGTAGATCTTGAGGTTGGCAGGCTTGTCCGGCCGGGCATGCTTGAAGCCTAGGCGAACGCTGTCTCAGCAGTGTTCTTGTAGCGGTGATTCAACAGATTCTGGCAGCACTACGATGGCAATGAGATCTACGACTCCACTGCTTAATCCCTCTGCCGCAACAGGAGAGTCACGACATTCACCACTGCCAAGAACGTCGAGTAAGGTATGCATTTCTCGTCACATCCATGATTTCGAAAAATGGCAAACATCCAGAAGCACGGGCAAACTTGCGAGCATCGTGGCTGAAGCGATCCTCCTCTTTCGGCTCCCAGAAAACGCCGTTGAACAGGTTGGTGCCTGTGAAGGCCCCCAGGATACCGATGCGATGGTTTCTGAAACTTTGGGGTCCCACGTTGGCTTTTATGATAATGGTGGGTCTGAAACATTCACTTTTGATCGGCCCCAAATCGGCCCTAAACCTTTAAATCCTGATTCTTGAACCCCAATCAGGGTACTTATAACTGTACTAAGTCCCATGAACCTCCAAGTAAGGGTCCATGTACTCAAATAGTATATAACCCAGGTCGCAGCCCATCGAAAGCGATGTCAGGCCACAAACAACACATGCAAGAACCCGAACCTGACAGCTGACATCGTCCCGCGAACCGATTCCCCTCGACAAAATAACTCTTACACCTTCTGCCACAGCAAGCATCCTACTGAGTGAAACCTTGCGAATCCGTACGAGCCTAGGCGCAGGCATAGAATGAATCTGAAGCTACAGCTCTTCCGATGCTCTTGCAATTTGTGCAATCGATGCTCGTCACTATTGCTGCTATGATGATATCTTCCATGCTCTCTTGCCGTTTTACAACGTGGTCGTGTTCCTTTCACTAGGTCACTAGGTCACTTGCTGCTGCTGTTGCTGCTGCTTCCTCTTCTGCCCCAAATCGAGCCAATCCCTTGCTTGGGATCAGGCTGTGATCTTGCCATGCCAACTTCGTCCTGCCAAAGGCGCACTGGCACCGTGTTGGGGCTCATGGCCGGCCTACTGAGAGCCACTGGAAACACTAAACCCTACCATGGTTACGACTAGTACTAATATTAGAAAGGTTAGTATTAGTATAAAAAGATTAATTAGTATTAGTACTAGTAACCCTAAACCCTAAACTCGCACATCCCTCAGTCCAGGCAGGGACACGGTCGTGCCAGGCACCATCGTTAGATTCCAGGCGGACCTGGCTGCAACGCCAAAGTTCGAGCGCGAGAACGACTCTGCATTGTCATCGACAGCCGAAGTTTCAAAAGCCCCTCTGGTGCTACTATCATGAGTACAGCTACTACAGCTGCTGCCACTGCTAATTACTGCTAATGCTACTGCTACGATTCGTAGAAGCGGTATTCGTAGTATTGGCAAAAATTTCTAGTTTGACAGACAGACACTCTACCACTTCCTGAACCTCAAGTCCTCCACCCAAAAAGTGCCAACCTTCAAGCCCGGCAAAATTTGCTGAGGTCACCTTGAGCTGGCTTGCATGTGGGATGAAGGGGCTGCCGTCCGCCTCAAGTCGGAGAGAGGCCATTCTGGTATGCTCTTCTGTTCTCAAAACATACATGACGCAGTACCCGTGTAACACATGCAGAGCACACAGTACCATGCTACGAAAACAAGAATGCAACATGGTCAAGAACTGCCATTCAAAACTGCCCTTAACTGCCGCACCCAAAACCAACTGTACGCCAAAGTTTGGGTCGATGAGTTTCTCAGTGCGGAGGCTCTTATGTCTTGAGGGCAACTCTCGATTTGAGCTCCGTTGAAGGTGCCGAGGTCCACAGGAACAACCGCAAGGAACCGGGACCCGTAATGTCTGACAGACAAGGCCTAACTTGTTTTCAGGCTCAGGGATGTATGGATTCGGGTCTCAAGGTTGCAGACATAGCATTCCATGACATGATGCTGTGCACAATTGGGCACGCACCAACAACAACTTGTAAGCACGATACTGAGCTCGTATCATGTTCCTCTTCTCCGTCCACATTTCTCCAACTGTGTGTTGGCGGCTCATTTCATTCCAACTTTCTGTCTGCTTGTGCCGTAGTTTAAAGCAGGCCTGCTCAAAGCTGCACAGGCCCGAATTCTGTACCACTATGACTATGACATAACTGTTCCCAACGCTTGGACTAGACTAATTGTTCATCTTCCACTAGTACCTGCCGTTGTGGTAGTAGAACCACTCGGAGGACGCGTAGTCATAGCAGACTCTACATAATCAGCAAAGATGGGGAAAACAAACATCATAAGATGCAACAATGATCACATCTCATTGTCTTGCTCGGCTTCTCCTACACTCGAGTCTTGCTGTGCTAGTGTCCGTCCACTCGACCCCTGACCTGTCCTTGTCTGGCAGGAACACCTTCCAGCGCCCGAAACCCTCATTCTCCAAAGGTGTCGAGTTTTGCCAGCCATTGAACCTTGGCACCACGGACTTGGATTGGGCGATGGCTGTTGAAAGCTCAGAGTTCGGGCTTTGGCACCCGTGCAGAACACGAGGGTCACGAGCGGAGTGGGGGGGGGGACGCAGTCGTGATACAAGAACTAGGAAGTACCAGTGGCAGCAGCTGCACCAGCAAAAAGCAGCAGCAATAGCAATAACAACAATGGCAATGGAAGGGGCAGAAGCACTAGGTACAGTAGTAGTCGTCCGCGCTGTCGCGTTGTCAGCATCGCAACAGTGGCAGTGGTAGTAGTAGTGGTAGTAGTAGTAGTAGTAGTAGTAGAAGTAGTAGTAGTAGTAGTAGTAGTAGTAGTAGTAGTAGTAGCAGTAGTGATAGTAGTCGCAGCAGCAGCAGCAGCAGCAGCAGTAGTAGTAGCAGTAGTAGTAGTAGTAGTTGTAGTAGTCGTGGTGGTGGTGGTGGTGGTGGTGGTGGTGGTGGTGGTGGTGGTGGTGGTGGTACTAGTAGTAGTAGTAGTAGTAGTCGTCGTAGTCGTAGTCGGACTAGTAGTGTAGAAGTAGAAGTAGTAGTCGCAGTAGTAGTAGTAGTAGTGGTAGCAGTAGTACTAATAGTAGTAGACGTAGAAGAAGAAGCAGTCGTCGTCGCGGGCCTGGTGGTAGTAGTAGCAGTAGCACGAGTACCAGTAGTAGCAGTGGTAGTAGTAGTAGTAGTAGTAGTAGTAGCAGTAGTAGTAGCAGGAGTAGTAGTAGTAGTAGTAGAAGAAGAAGTCGTCGGTAGTAGTAGCAGTAGCAGTAGCAGTAGCAGTAACAGTAGCAGTAGCGGTAGCGGTAGCAGTAGCAGTAGCAGTAGCAGTAGCGATAGCAGTAGCAGTAGCAGTAGCAGTAGGAGTAGGAGTAGGAGTGGTAGTGGTAGTGGTAGTGGTAGTGGTAGTGGTAGTGGTAGTAGCAGTAGTCGTCGTGGTGGTGGTGGTGGTGGTGAGCAAACGTCGTCGTCGTTGTGTTCGTGGTCCTCTTTGCCGCAGTACGTCTAGTACGGGCCAGCAGGACCGGGACTAGAACGGTAGGACGAACATACCAGTAGTATTCGTGCAACATTATTACCCGCCTTGCTGGTATGAGCACTGATCGCAGCTGCAGAAGCTCGGTCACTGGAGGTCGAGTGCAGGACTGCAACACGTAGCAAGACTCTTCGTTCTCTCAGTGCTCGGCTCACCAATGAGGAAAACCTGCTTGGCATTAGGCAGCCATTCGCGGTAGATGTAGCCACCTGCGGCTTGGAGCCCGGTTTGCGTCTAATACCCACCGAAACTAAAATCTGTCGCTTGGATCCAAGAGGACCTGGAGAAAACTAATCACTCTCCGCCAGGCGAAAGGCGAAGGCATGCGAGGTGCAGGCCTTCAGTTTTGTTGAAGCCGAAGATCTTGTATCCCTCGGCGAACTTCTCCATTCCGCCTTCTTTCTCAGCAAGCTCGTTCTTCCACCACCTGCACCATGGGCCCATACGAAAGGCCAAGGCTACTTTGATTTGCTCAAAGTACAAGCAGTCTTCAACAGGAGCATCCTGTAGAGGCATAGCATGTACAGTACCTAGCACAGACGGGGCATCAGAGCATCTTTGCACTCATGCCTGTAGCCGTTGACGCGATCCCAGATCTGCCCCTCGCAGCCACGCAAGGTACCATCGATTTCAAAGATCTTCAGCGACATCTGAGATGGGATGGACAAGGCCGGGGCCTACTTCTTGCCACGTGCACTACGTGCTAAATGCTGCAGGACGCATGGCGTCTCGGAAATGCTCCCAAATTACTAGGGTCGCCTCCGGACAGGGAAGCGGTCTGGAACTGCAGGGAGTGTAGGTCCAAAGACTCCCGGGATGAAGGCCTCCAAGCCCTCTTCAGCTCGCGCTTTTGTCTCTTCTTAAAGCGCTCCAGCTGGCTGCTACAGATTTGCACCTGTGCCCGCCTCGACCGGAGACTTTACGATCAATGGTGAATGCTGCGCTTGGGGAGCGCTGGCGGTGAAACATACGAAGCAGTGAAACCTACTACCAAGCGTGCATCTCATTCAGTCCTCTCGCAGACTGTCGGAATGCAGGCCGGAATGCCAAATGAATACTGCAAGCACCAAGCACTGCGAATGCTTGCATAGCTCCATCTGTTATCCGCACAGCTGCGAAAGGATCGTTCACTTCGTGTTAACCGGGCTCCAGCACACCTGCACACTGCACTGAACGATCGCTTTTCTTCAGACTGTATTCGGGCGATTTCACTTTGCAGCCGCAACAGACTTGACTTCAATGACAGGAAGAAGCATAGATGCCGTCAGATCTTCGGACACATGTTGCACTGCACGGGCCAGAAGGCACAGTCTAGCTTGCGCGCCATCCCAAACTGTAAACCCCTTTTTCCATAGACTCTAACTAAAAGCCCAAGCAAAACAAAAAAAATGAGATCCTAAACGCAATAAGCCTTTGAAGCCCTTGACCCTGAGCCTAACCCACACAAAACCAAAGAAACTTCATGGGACACCCTAAATCAACCCTAAACCCTGAATCCTATATCCTGAACCCTAAACCCTAAAACCCTGAATCCCATTTAAACCCTAAACCCTAAATCCTAAATCCTATATCGTGATAAACCCTAAAACCATGAATCCCATTTTATAAATCCTAAATCCTATATCCTGAACCCTAAACCCTAAAACCCTGAAGCCCATTATATAAATTATAAATCCTAAATCCTCTACCCTAAAGCCGGAACCCTAGCATGGGACGGCCTTCAGCCGCTTCCTTCCCTTCCTCCGCAGCGGAAAGGAGCCGCTCGGTGACGAAGCGCTGGATCTCTTGCAAGGCTCGGGAAGCCAGCTCGAACCTGAGGGTTTAGGGTTTAGGATTTAGGGTTTAGGGGCCTAACCTAAACCCCCAACAGTAGGTAGAATAATGGCCCAATACCTCTAAAGGGCCATTATTCTACATGCTTCTGGGGCCCAGGAACTAATCATCTTTTCCAGGAATAGAGGCCTCTTTACCATAGCTGCGGGAAAGTCATACTGCTGAGGCTATTTTAATAGTTTTCATGGCAATGGGGTTTAAGGTTCCATCTAGGGTTGAAGGGCATGAGGACATTAAGACGGCACCCAACAAACGACTTCCACGGGCTCAGGGCTGAGCTCATGAGGTTTGAAGGTTCATGCTCCGATGTAAGGAAAGGCGGTTTTCATGACGAGTAAGGCCCTGCAGGGATGTGTGTTTTGCGTGTAGCGTTAAGTAGCAAACAGAGCACCAGACTCGAGGCACGTACCCGTAAGATGCTCCGTGGACTCTGGAGAAGTATGGTGAATCTTCATTGCAGAGACAAAGGCTGCCATGCCTTCACCATGAGAGTCTAAGTTTCTCAGCATGCAGTGGCTTCGGGTTATCGCTTTGCACCTTGTGTTTTCCCTGATTCTCAGAACTGCTACTGGCAGCAACTAATGCCCTTCAAACTTTACAACGTCTGGAGTGGGCACCACATGCACTCCGAATCTTCGCTTCACCTGCGAGGCGATAGTCGCTACCTAATCCCTGTGTTTAGGGTACACCTTTCAGAAGTAAATCAAAACGTGTTGCAGTTCAGTGTCAAGCCCATTGCCTAATTACGTGTGTCCAGTTTCTCTCAGGCACTGCATCTCCGGAAACAGCACGAAGCGCAGATTCACGTCAGCCTTCTCCTGGCCAAGTTGCCAAATTTTTGTAGGTGCGGAATGCTGCGCGCTAACGCTCAAGTTGTATCGGAGGAAAGACAGCAGAAGCAGCTTTGGTAGTTGTACTATACCGTGATGATGGTAGTGTTGGTGGGGCTGCTGCTGCTGCTGCTGCTGCTGCTGCTGGTGCTGCTGGCCTGTGAGCGTAGTGCTCTTGGTAGTGCTGTTCGTAGTGGGGGGGGTGGTGGTGGTGGTGGTGGTGGTGGTGGTGGTGGTGGTGGTGGTGGTGGTGGTGGTGGTGGTGGTGGTGGTGGTGGTGGTGGTGGTGGTGGTGGTGGTGGTGGTGGTGGTGGTGGTGGTGGTGGTGGTGGTGGTGGTGGTGGTGGTGATGTTGGCGGTGGTGTGCCGGTGGAGTGCTGGTGGAAGCCGGTGGTGCCGGCGCCGGTTGTGGTGGTGGCGGCGGCGGCAGTGGTGCCGATGGCATCAGAAGCTACCAGCGCGTATTCCGAATAGCGACAAATCAAGCAGATCAGCCCCAAACCGACAAAGAACACCGGTAACCTAGGCTGTCTTAACATGTGGCCTTCAACTTTAAACAACAGGTGTAAAGATGTGCACATCTGCTGGTTTGCCGGGGCTTCGGCTGCAGAGCACAACTTCGAAAAGGCACCAACACCACCCGTTCTCACATATCTACCTAACTGTAAGTACATGAACAGCCAGGCATAATCATACTCGCTCGCTTACACATGCATGCATGCATCTACGAATACATGCATACATACATACATACATACATGCATACACACATGCATACACACATGCATACACACATGCATACATACATGCCTACATACATGCACACATACACACATGCATACGGTGATAATATGTACTGACACGCTGCTGATATTAGTACTCGTATTGCAGTCATCTGGAGTCATCCTCATTAAACGTGACTGTACATAAATTCAGCAGCATTGTAACATCCAAAATCCCATTAACCCGCAAACCGCCGTAAGCCCAAACCCTAACCTAAAGCAAACCCTCGGCCCGTTGGCCTTCAAAGCCTTCGCCTGCTCTGCTGCGAGCCGCGGCTCAACAACGTCGTCGCGGGCACCGTGGCACCAAAGAAGCGCCTGGGAGGGTTTAGGGTCATTCAGGCTAGAGGGCTTAATAACTCAAAACCTGTGTTACAAGGGCTTTCAGGCTTGCTTATCGGGGTTTAACTCCGGCAAGCAAGTTGCAAGCTCGAGGTGATGCAGGTCTTGGCACTGGCACACAGCACGCAAGAAATTCTCGACACCAAACAATAGTAGGATCCTTATTATAAGGACCCCAAAATAAGGTACCCGTAAACCCTAATATACTACCCCAATACAGTACCCTATTATAGTACCCCTAATCTGCAAGAAGCCTCGCGGGCTAACAAAACTTGGACTTGCCCGAATATGTAATAGGGTACTGTATTGGGGTAGTATGTTAGGGTTTAGGGGTGCCTTATTCTGAGACCATGGCTGTGCTCCTGCCACCTTCCGAGATGTTGTCTGGAACGTCCTGCAGCTGTAGACAGCATTGCGAGTACCAGTGAGGAGTGCAGAGAGGAAGAGAGTGAGCGAGGGAGGGGGGGGAGGGAGAAAAAAGAACTGAACAAAAACAACAACAGAGAAAGAACGATAAGTCTAAGTCTAAGCACTGAAGGCTCTGGTGATGGCTCGCCAAGACGTAGTGACATCATTTAGCAATGCGGCCCAGAAGCGACCAGTACAGTGCGGATGACACCAGCAAGGGGCTCAAAGATGGTGACCGACCCAGGGTTGTAATAATACTTTGACGAAGAATCGTAATAATAGTATCAGTATGAGAAATAATTCGAATAATCAAGAAGTGTGTTTAGCATTGCTATTATGGGAATCTTTTGGTAGTTCATTTCTCGCACTGCAGCCATTGATGCAAAGCAAATCTGACACCGAAACCCTGCTGCTCAGCTGAGCAGAACTGTAAGACATGAACAACTGCAGCAACTGTCACATGAACGGGTGGGAAACTCGCATTGTAAGATTCGGACGCTGGAACCAGCGACCCAGCCGCTGCAAACCACACCTGCAGCGTGCCCAGTGCTGCACGCGAGGGGGTATTGACACGAAGTTGCCCGGTAACTGAAACATTGCGGAAGCCTTTAGCCATTGCATATGTGCTACCGTAAGAATCTTACATAATTCTGGCGGAATCCAGCAGAAGTGCGGCCGACAGCGCACTGGAAGCTGATGTTCGCAGACTCCGACGGCAAAGGGCTAATCATGTGCTTAGGACGCAGCTTCATGCTTGCTGCTAATGAGATGTAAGTCCTGAGCCCTGAAGCGCCGTGTATCACGAAACGCCTACACCATGAACCCGATGCCTAATATCCCAAACTCGTTACCGTGAAAGCCTGCTTCCTGAAACCCCAAATCTGAAGCACTAATTGCAAATAACATCCTCAGCGACACGGTCTTGATTTCTTCGGCCTCCTGCGAAAGGCTCCTGGGACTGCAGGACCTGACCAAGCACCACAAAGCGTCTTTGAAGGGTGATGGATAGATGGATGTATATATATATAATCAAAAATATAAATATAGATACAAATATAAATATATGTGTATATTTGTATGTATACATACATATATATATATATACAGGCTAGTACAAGGGTTACTATCAAGGGTTTACGGTTGAGGGTTAGTTTATGAGTTGTGCATTGGAAATTCCGCGAGTTCGGGCTTTTTGGTATTTGTGTTGGCGATGCCGGCTGCTGACTGTTTAGACGGGATTGGGCTTTGCAGATTCAGTTGGGTTTAGGGTCTAACTTCAATGTAGGGATTGCAGCTGTGGTGAACGGCAGCTGTCTTTCTTTTTGGCTGCCCCTTGTGGCTGTGCTGCGGCCGTCGGAGTCTCATCCGAGTTGTACTCCGCTACCAGTAGAGCGTCGACCCATCTGCTCAGTTCTCCATGTCCTAAGATCGTGGCCGATATCGGGAAACTAATCCTTAAGCTCAAACTTGAAGGCTCTGAAGCGCTGAAGCCTGCACAAAACCATAAGCACCACGTAAAAACTTCAACTCCTGAAGTGCTAGCTGCTAGAGGCCGCAAACTCATAAACGCATGAGGCCCGAAAGCCCATAACCCACAGCGAACCCTTCCAGACTACCGGCACACCCAAAGACTAAATAAATTCAAACTTCCACACGAGACCCTTAATGATTGGATTAGGATTTTGGGTTTTAATCTACCAAAACTATGAACTATGGTTTTGAGCCCCCAAAGTAGCATAGGCAAGTATTCAGGCCCCTTTAGTCAACTCCAAGCCAGAGAGATCGTGGAAAGAGGATCCGACTGTCCGCAGCACTAGGGCTGCTCCCTGTCCTGGGGACGGGGTTTACTACCTGGGGTTCGGGGCCTAGGGTTGAGGTCCTTTTCAGGGCACCAGGTTGAGGGGGAATGGTTCAGTTACATATACATGTGCCCAAAGAAGTATGCATGTACGTGTATATATACACTTAGGTACAAATTGAAGTATACATATACGTACAGACAGACAGACCGACGGACGGACGGACAGGACAGGACCGGACCAGGACCAGGACAGGACGAGACACAGAGAGGTACATATACATATACGCATATATATCTGTATATACATATATATATATATATATATACACGTATATACGTGTGTATTGATATGAATCAGAGACTTGGGGTTCAGGCTTTGCAGGATCACAAAAGAACCGAACCTTTTGTAAGATGTATCGGAAGTATATTTTCGTGCACGGTGCGGTGTGTTTGGTCGGTGTGCTTGTCGTGCATATGCGTGTGGGAACATTAGCATCGACACCGCTAGCGGTCTAATTCTAGCCGCTATCCCCGACATCCCCATAATCCGTCAATACAAGGTCCTGTCATGTGGGACGACTTGGTGGCCAAGCGAAAAGTATCACAGCTTCTCTGGGCATGTGCCTGTTGCACATATATACATACATGCAAATGCACACATGTATGTGTACAGGTATAAATAACTGCAGTATTAATTTAAGTATAGATGTAGATTTTAAGAACTTGCGTATAGCGATGATACCAACACTATATAGGATGATATATGTGTCGATGAAGTAGATATGATCATAGGTACTGACACGGAGACGGATTCGTGCGGCTTGAGTCCCTCCGGTTTAGGGTACATGTCAATGTGCTTCGGGTTGCTGTGGGGGGTTGTGACCGCTGCTCCTCAAGCATTCGCATCTCCCTTTAACAGAAGCCCAGCTGCCAAATCCGCCCAGGAGGATGCGACGGCGCGGTATACCTTCCACCTTTACGCAAGGATGGTGAGTTCTGGACTTCTTGACGATTGCACTGCCACAGAGAAAGTGCTGTCAAGTATCCAGAAGACAACCAAAACCCGAACCGAGAACTTGCAACCGTCATAAACTTCTCCAGGTGATCGCTTACTCTCTGGACTCCTAGTGTCCAGACACTCGGACTGGCGACTTGCCTCAAGGGCACGGACCATGGTCTCAGCGCGCTTCACTGCTGCAGAGACATCATTTTCATCCTCCACTCACAACTGGAAATGGCTGGCTTCGTCTTGAACTTGGAAGTCATGCGAGCTGGACATGTTTTTTGTAGAAACCGCGAACAGCTGGCTACTGCCCAGGCGGAGATGACCTTTGCCGCATGGGTCCTAGGTACGAGGTTATGCGCAGGCTTTGCAGTACCAGTAGCCCGTCTTCCATCCTATTCGTTCGTCGTTGATTGGAGAACCGGTTGTGGTCGGCTGCATCACAGCGAGGCATCCAAAGGCTCAAAGTGTGGAGTCTAAGATGAACGGGCCTATAGGCTTGCAGGCACAACAAAACACCTCAAAGAGGAGCCGAGCTCATGATAAACAGCCCCAGCGAGACCACATGGGCAGCTGCCTTGCATCTGGATTGGAAGCACTTCGGAGCCATGCGTTTTTGCGAAACTATTGGCCGCCCTCGGTGCCCCGACTGCAATGGTGCTCCCCCCAAAGACACTCCGAATTTCCCACTTACCGTCCTCCCCTTTGCGGGCTCGGTCAGGGATGGCACGTACAACTCGGCAAATTGGGTACTCCTGGCCGCAAAAGTGCTTTGCTTCAGCTGCTACGTGAACTGACGTCCAGCAGACACAGGCTCGACTCATGACATCAGGACCAAAGGAGGCAAACATTCTTACTCTTACCTTTCCGGTAAGCGCCCTACGATGAGGAGAATGGTTCAAGATGCCCCTGCTCGAAAGATGAGACTGCTGCGCTTCCCTGGGCACCTTGACGTCGAACCATTGCAATGTGGGGCTGTGACCCCGTATGCTGCTGGGCTGCAACGGAGCACGCGGCCTCAAAAGGCCATGTGCACACATGGCCGGACGTAAGCGCGGGCCAAGGAAAATGTGCAAACTAGTATCCTGAACTGACTTGATCATTACAGGAATAGCACGTAATTAGGGAGTAGCCCAGACCGCCTTTGGGGTCGATTCAATCGAGACGACTTACAAGTCCTGTAGACCGACGATGAACTAGCAATACTGCAAAGTATTGCCGCTTCTGTGTTCGTACATGTCTCTCGTAGCTACCAGCTGCTTTTCGTTTGATTACGATCACATCCGATCTTGTTTCGCAGTTTATCGATGTCTCCGGCTCACCTAAGCCAGGCTCCCCTGCCAGAGCCAGCGCACGCGCCCAACTTCCTCCGGCAGCTGAAAGTTTCGGAAGAGCATTTCCTGCATGGCCTGCAGGAGCTTTTGGGTTCAGGGCTTGGGGTAACAAGTTTGCCAGTGCTGTGGAAATAGAGTGCGGAAGGCCGCACTTGTGCAAGTTACCAGGCTGCAGCTACTGATACTGCCACAGCTGCACGACTGCACACTGCAGCAACCACCACCACTACTATTGATGCTACTACTGCTTCTAACTGCTTCTGCTATGCCACTGCCACTGCCACTGCTGCTACTACTACTACTACGACAACGACGACGACGACGACGAGTACTACTGCTACTACCACCACCACTGCTACTGCTACGGCTACGCTCTACTACTACTTCGAGTAAACTACCCGTAGCAGCAGCAGCAGTAGCAGTTGCAGTGACAATAGCAGTAGCCGTAGCCGCAGACAGTAGCAGCAACAGAGGCAGCAGCAGTAGCAGAAGCAGTAGCAGAAGCAGTAGCAGTAGCAGTGACCGTTGCCGTAGCTGTAGCAGTAGCAGCAGTAGCAAGAGCAGGAGCAGGAGCAGGAGCAAAAGCAGTAGCAGTCGGCAGCAGTAGGTGGCAGGAGGTAGCAGTAGGTAGCAGCAATAGTAGAAGCAGTAAAAGTAGCAGAAGCAGAAGGAGCAGTAGCTGTAGTAGTAGCAGTAGGAGTAGGAGTAGGAGTAGTAGTAGTAGTAGTAGTAGTAGTAGTAGTAGTAGTAGTAGTAGTAGTACCAGTAGCAGTAGTAGTAGTAGTAGTAGTAGTAGTAATAATAGTAGTAGTAGTAGTAGTAGTAGTAGTAGTAGTAGTAGTAGTAGTAGTAGTAGTAGTACAAGTAGTAGTAGCAGTAGTAGTCGTCGTCGTAGTTCTAGTAAGCAGCAGTGGTAAAGTAGCAGCAGCAGTCGCATCTGCAGGTGCACCAGCAGCTGCAACAGTAGCAGCAACAGTAGTAGTACCAGTAGCAGTCGCAGAGTACTGCACTAGACTCGGACTAGTAACAGTCGTAGTGGCAGTAGCAGTAGCAGTAGCAGTAGCAGTAGCAATAGCAGCAGCAGCAGCAGCAGCAGCAGCAGTAGCGGTAGCTGAAGTAGCAGTAGGAGTAGCAGCACAAGTAGCAGTAGCAGTAGCCGCAGTGGTACTGGCAGTGGTAGTGGTACTGCTAGTGGTAGTGGTAGTGGTAGTAGTTATGGTAGTTGTAGTAGCAGCAGTAGTAGTAGTAGCAGCCGCAGTAGCGGTAGCGGCCGTAGTAGCAGTGGCAGATAGCAGTCAGAAGTTTGCAGTTGGCAGTTACAGAAGCAGTTGCACTAGCAGTAGGAGTAGTAGAGGTATGGGTAGGAGTAGGAGCACTATCATTAATATTCTTAGTAGTGGCAGCAGTCGTGGTAGTAGTGATGGTAGTAGTAGTAGTAGTAGTAGTAGTAGTAGTAGTAGTAGCAGTAGTCGTAGTAGTAGTAGTAGTAGTAGTAGTAGTAGTAGTAGTAGTAGGAGTAGTGTAGGAGTAGTAGTCGTGGTGGCGGTGGTGATAGTGTAGTAGTTAATTCAAGCCAGACTGTTGTGGGGGAGGGGGGGGAGTAGGTGCAGTTCTCTTCCCCTGCTTGTCATAACTCCAGTCGGCGATCTTGCACTGGGCTGCACCTATAAGGACCCAAACTCACTAGAACATGCTTGGGAGTGCCAATAATTACGGAAATAGGACTCAGCTTCTACCCTTTCCCTGCCTCTGATTCACCCTGGTGGTGAAGCCAAATGACAGCCGAGCTGACCTTGACCAGATGCAGGGAGTTTGGGGTATGGGCTGTCGCGCTGGAAGGAACGACATCCGCTGCACCTGCAATGCCAGCATGCAGAACGCCCTTCGGACCTAATTCCTGAAATGTGATCATCGTAGTAACAAATTCCACAAGAGTCCTCGATGGCCCCATCCGCTGAAACTTCAGGGATTAGGGCTCAATTCAGTAATCTTGCAAATTAGGCTTAGGAGTCCTGCATCCAACCATCCCGGCCTGATAGCCAGGGGCAGCAAGCCATAGATTGGCAATATCCTGGGCTAGGAGGTCCTGGCAAACGGCGTGCAAGGATTGTGGATGTTTTTTTTTAGGGCCGAGGGCTTAGGACGTACATGTTTGGTTATAGTGTTTTGGGGCTTCGCATGTATTGCAGTTGCTACCCAGCTGCCCCCATCAGACATGCTTCTTGTCGCAAACACTCCCCTGTGCAGCTTCAAGATTTCGGAGCGAGTTACGGAAAGAAGGTGGAGCAGCCGCTGCTGGAGCAGCTAATATATTTAATAGTAGTATTATTAGAATTATTATTACAATTATTCTAATAGTATTTTTTGTACTATTAGACTTAGTATTATTAGAGCAATCATCTTCGCCATCGTCATCACGGCGCAAGCATATGTACAAGCATAAACACAAGCAGCAGCGGCAGCAGCAGCAGCAGCCAGATTTGCGTGATAATGATGCCTGCATACCACCACCACCACCACCAGCACCACCAGCACCACCAGCACCACCAGCACCACCAGCACCACCAGCACCACCAGCACCACCACCACCAGCACCAGCACCAGCACCACCACCACCACCACCATCGTCATCATCACCGGGACATCATCGAAACACCGTAACTCAAAATCACAAAAGAGCATGACAAACGCATTGGCACTGGCCCTGCTGGGTGATGGTTAGGTAAGTTTGTGCGGTACATGTGCGGAACCTGCTAGGCCCGGATCACGCCAGTATTCGAACGGGGAGTGGGCTTGCTCCAAGCAAGTGTCGATTTATCCCTCTGCGAAAATGCAAAAAGAGAGCACCCTCAAGCCTCTGCCCAACCGCAGCATGTAATTTTACAGAAACCGTGCAATGCAACGCTCTGGAATCCCTGGACCGTCTAGACTAGACACCAAACCCTAAAGCCCTGAACCCCTAAACCACCAGCCTGCGCAAAAGCTCTATTGTAGAGACCGTAATAATTTCAAACGGGTTTGGGGACCCATTAAACTATTATTAGAATAAGCAACTTTCAATCAGTGTAGGCAACAAAAATTTGGCCCCTATATATTAAGCCCACTTTCTCTCAGGGGCCTCTGGCGATGGCGGGGCCTTGGCCACACGACCAAGCTGCCCAGGTTGCTCGGACTCCTCGGCTTCCTGGGGCTTCTCACAGAAGCGCAAGGATCCAGGGCTTGGGGGCTTAGGGTGTATAGTCCAGGGTAGCCTAGGGTTGAGGGTTTGGACATGAAGGTGTGTTTTTTCGTTTAAGGTTTTGGGGCTTGCATGGTTGCAAGTTCCGCACGGTGGAACGGATCACAGCTGCGACAGTCATACTAGTAGGGTTAAACATCAACAGTACACGAACAGGTGAGGACGACCTAGGTTAGGATGCTGACTCTAGACGCGACATCATGTACAAATGAACAGGTTGAAAGCGGACGAGCTTAGGAATCAGTGGAACTGTTGCTTTTGTTGATATCATGTTGCCGCGGCCACCTATAAAACTCTTAGACCAAGCCAAGGCTTCAAGAATTGCTGAAAGACACGACCTTGGCATGACGATGGGACGCTACGAGTACGGCTAGCCCGGGCCCTGCCAGTCTCGGGTCATGAACAGCTCTCCTGATCCTCCATCGGCTCAGAGTCGGCCCTGGACTTGGCTGCAAAACGTGTTGCTAACCCATCGGACTCTCAATACTTATGCACGGCCTGTGGCTATGGACACTTCAGACGAGTGCTGGAGACTTGTCGGCTTTCGGATTGAGTAACAAGGCCAGCATGCTGAGATGTTGGCCTTCATCTTACCCATGAAGCATGGCGTCGAGTATACACGGAATACACGCTTGAGCAGTGCTTGTTTCATGCACCCTGTCTGGGTCATGTCGCCCCAGGATACCAACCCAAACTCTGCGAATGTTGTCTTGACATTGCTGCTGCCAGCAGTGCGATCTACGTCCAAATGCAAACTCCAGCCCGCTAACCCAGGAGTGAAGTTCAGCACCGAGTTTCCAGGAGCTGATGCATCTTGTGGCGTTCTTTGTGTGCAATTGCCTGACAAGTGTGGCTTGTCCGACTATTGTTTACTCATCACTTGTCTGTATGTGTGGCACATGTTGTTCCAGCAGCTGCAGCCCAAATGACACGAACATGCGATGAGATGTCATGGTCGGGCTCTCATCTGGCCAGTATGGCCCCGCCATTGGTGCAAGTGTCCACTGCGCCACGACGTCTGGTTCTCTGCTGCTTGGACCGCATGATTCTGCCGGAAACCCAGCAAGGCCGAAATCCGACACCATGCGCAATTTTCTGCGGACAAGCAAGCTGAGCCATCTCGTCAACCATGGCAGCCTGCGCCGGCTTACATGGCGGCAAGCGCTGCTTGCAAGGACAACGCAGCACCAATCTTGCTCACATGGTCTGGAAGTTGAAAACTGGTCCCGAAGTCCAGAATGCGTCAGCAAAGTGACAATGTCAGCAACCAAAACAGAGACCGCAAGTACCCTCAGGGAAACTGCCACTGTTTGCAACTACGTCGTCCTACATTATTGGCTCTCGGTGTCTTCATTCGTGCGAGGTGGGAATGTAGACACCGCGGGTCCTGACACGAGCATTGCAATCTAGTCCTACTACTTCTCCGCCTACTGCTCCTGTTGCTGCTCCTACTCATTGTGATTACTACTACTACTACTACTACTACTACTACTACTACTACTACTACTACTACTACTACTACTACTACTACTACTACTGCTTCTACTGCGACTTGTACTGCTCCTGCTGTCACTCCTAGTCCTGCTCCTACTGATACTCCTACTGCTGCTCTGTGTAGAAACAAGTGAACAAAGATTTTATCAACTAGTTCAGCCCCAAACCCCTAAGCCCTTAAACCCCCGCAACCCTTAATCCCAGAAACCTCCAAACCCTGCAACTCCAAGCTCTGCAGGACATGGCCTCAACGAAGATGGCATTCCACTTTCGGCCCTGGCCTTACCCAGGCCAAAAGGGCTTGGATTTCCGAGCAGGGGTAGCGAGAGCCTTTTGGTGCTGTGATGTTTTGGAGTGCCTTCGGGTCCTTAGCACCTGAGGACCTTAGGATGTCGTTTGACTTCAGGATTCCTCCGATGTCGTTTGGTGCTTGAGGGTATTGGGGTGCTTTCGGATATTCATTTCGGCATATACAGCTGAATGTAGTCTGAACCTGGCATTCCTTCTTGCTGCGGACTTGTTCCAACGCCCTGCGGGTGCTGTGCCAAGGAGGTATAATGGGCCTGTGGCCAGAACTGGCACTGTGTTACCGCAGCTTGTTGAAGGCAGGTCTTCTGCTGAAGCGCTCTGCTCACATGGCGAGATGGGAGATGGCCTTCCAGTTCGGCGGCGGCGGCTTGGTGAACTCGTGCTCCCGGATCTCCAGATGAGCTGCCCTGTAGATCGCCGTCCCGATGAGGACCACGATTGACGCAACGAGCGCGGCGATGCCCACGGGCGTGGCCATCGCAAAGGCACCCCACATGATCAAGCCGCCGATGATCATGCAAACGAAGTAGGCTGCAAAGGAATTGTCTCCACCACCGGCAAGAGCACCAAAGCCCATCATGAAGAACAAGGTTGCGAAGATGAAGCAAACGAGGCAAACGAAGATGCACAAGAGGATGAAGCCCACTTCCTGCGCTCTCTCAGATTCGTCCGATGCAAAGTCTGCCGTTGTCCCACTCTGCAGGAAGCTGATGCCATCCGGGCCCAAGGCACGGGCCAAGCGCTCAGACTTCACCTGCAGCAAGCCACCTTCACTGCTTTCGCTTGTCGAGTTGGACAAGATCCGCTGCCCTTCTCCGGCGGTCTGTACAATTGATTCGGGATCTGTGGCTTCTTCACTGACGAGAAAGTCTTGGCAGTGTGCGGGGAGATCCAACGTCAGGTCCTTCAAGTCATTGATGTTGTAGCCGGGGACGGACATGTAATAGTTCACGAAGGTGCCCAGGCGTTCTCGGTCCGAGTCCGTCTCGTCACTGAGCACGCACTTATCATTGGTCTCATGCTTGAGGAACCTGATGAGCAAGTGGGGGCGCTTCTTCATGAAGTCCACCAAGGTATTGTGCAACTTCGCCGGCACAGAGTAACTCTGAGAGCCGCGCAGAGCCGAGACGCTTTTGCTTCCAGCCTCCTTGTACTGCTGGATGGTCAACCGGTCCGGGCGGCGGCGCCAGTGCTTCATGTCGGTGTACGCCGCACGTGCCGCAGCGACGGGAAAGTCGCCGGCATCGGGGGCGAGGCGCATCGGGAAGGTCTCCATGATGTTGAGCATCTGGTTGGCCTCCTGCACCAGTTCCGAAGCCTCCTTCAGAGAAGATCGAGTCGAGTCACTCTCCGAAATCGCTGGACTTTGCTCCAACTTCTCTGTAACGTCCAACACATCTCGCTTGATGTCCTCAAGCTTCTGGGCGATCCCGCGATCCGCAGCCTCGTGACTTGGGCCACCCACGGCCTTGCACTTCTGCTCACTGCCGAAGGGTGCCAGGTTGTCCGCAGGGCTGGAGCCCACCTTCTCGCAGAAGTGGGAGGGGCCACAGACATCGTTCTCCGAGTCGTAGAAGCAGCGGAAAGCACAGGTACTTGGCTTGCCCATACCTTGATCGAGCCCAACGACCCCCCTACACAAAACGACCGTCTACCGTAATTACTTTGTTGGAGGATGGAAACGCGCACCAAACAAAACATCTACGCGGCTTCCAGACGCGACCCGGGAACAGGACATCTCCCCCAGCATGCCGTCTACCAACACCATGAGATCGCGATCGGGCTTTGCCATTTGCTTCGGGGCTTCGCCGGGCAAGCGCAGCTCCATCGTGTCATGAGACTTCGTCGAATGAAACTGCACCTCGTCCTTGGTTGGCCGGCAGTTCGGAAGGGAAACTGGGTATTTCCACTTTGAAGCCTAGCCCCCCAAAACCTAAGTACTGTAGGAGTCTGTCCTGGAACCAGCCAAGCATCTTCTTCCGCGATCTTCTGTGTGCCCCTGCTGTTGATGAAGTAGCGGATGATCTTGCTGCCCTCCTTGTGCTCATAGACCTTATGCCCTTCATCACGGCCAAAGGGCAGCAATTCAGAGAAGATGTTCTCGGTGGTCACTCCAACCACGGGATTCGTCTCAGTGCGGATCCAGAGTGCCTCGTCCTTGGAATAGTGGCTGGAGCCGAAGCGGCCCTTGTTGTCACGCCAAGCCTGCCACCCCGTGATGAAGATGGTGGGCATGCCGTCGATCCTTTGCATCGCCACCACGGCATCAGGCAAGATGCGGTACCTGGTGTCCAGGCCATCGATCTCGACGTACGGAGGCGATTCGTGCTCTTTGAAGCGGAAGGTGACATTGGCGGAAAGCCAATCCAAGGAACTGTGCTTCCCCCGGGCCCACATGGTCGAGATGGAGAAGGATCCAGCATCGGCGACCTTCTCTTGCTGCTGATGCCGATCAGAGGACTCCTTTAGATTGTCTCCCACGATCTGCGCCGCCTTCCCCGCGTGGAAAGTCTCGCGTGCCGCGGAGACGTCCCTCATCGCCAACATAAAAATGAAAGCGCAAGCCAGCCTCTGGCGGGTCACGTGTCGTCCGGCCATGAAAGCTGCAAGAATAGCAAACAACGTTGAGGAGGTTGAGGATGTTTGACAATGCTCGAGCCGTGGCTAACCGGCCATGTTGGTGTAGCAGTAGTGTCGCCGTCGTAGTGTTAGTAGCGGTAGTGGTTGTGACAAACACATTTAAGGTCCCGGCTCAGCTCCCTCAATGTCCATCTTCACCATGACCCAGTCCCCTCCAGAATGGATGGTTTGGATTTCAGGGTTTAGGGGTGCAGACATTGGCGCTTCCGAGTGCATATAAGGTTTTAGAGCTTGCGGTCTTCTGGTTTCGGATCTTCATACAGATGTTGGGAGGGGGACGATGAAGGTTCCAGCGTTCATGGCTTGAGATATATGAGCCCTATCATTTACATAGTTACAAAACAGGGCGTGCATTCCTACTAGAGAGGGACTATATTGAGGCCCTTCCGAATCTTTTGCTAAAGTTCTTGACTGCTCGCGCCACCACGTCCACTTCATCACTACCACTGCACGTCGTATATCCTGCAATTTCCAACAGATAATATTGGACCTCTTGCTTTTCCTTCTACCCCCATATATGGTGTTATGCTCAGAGTTTGGCATACAACATCTACCGACCAGCAGCATACCGACCAAATAAGATTGAGCTGAACAGCTGAAAAACCTGAGTGTTGTGCCCTACCTAGACCCTACGATCGGCTCGGAACGGATATCGTTGTGACAATCACAAGCCAGCGTGCACAGTAGCTTACACGTGATTCATGCCATTTGTGCTGAATAGCCGGAATCAATAATTTATCTTTGATAATCCTACAAAGAAGAGGCCACACAGGAAGAGAGACAGAGAGAACGGGATCGAATCGAGAGATTTAGAGAGAACGAGTGCAAGAAAGACACGCTCAGTCGAAAAAACGAATGTGGAAGTCTGAAAACCACAGTATGCCGCAAGCATGCAAACCTGACATGAACCAAGGCTTAAGACATCGACTGCAACCTCCACAGAGTGGCTTCACAATGCCATGTCAAGACACGAACGGTGTTCCCTGAGTGCCCGTCTGTCTTTGCCGCACCCATGTACGTGGCAATGGATGAGTTCACCTGCACCTGCGTTCAGCAATGCAATACGATAAGTGGCGAAGACTGGACTAGGTGACTCGGCATGCTGCTGCTCGTTGCGGACCATAGCTATGAACTTATCATGTTGCCAAGACATGCGAAAGAGATGTCTCTTGGGGAAGCCGTTAGCCGTCCGGCTAACCGTGTACAACAAAGAAGCAAGCGACTCGACAAATACATCGCGGGAAGATGTGCCAACCGTGCGCCCAAGATCCGCGCCTGCGTACTTCTGCGCCACACCGTTGAGAGACTCTGTCAAGATTGGAGTGGCCTGGGACAAGCGTTCGAATCCAGCTGTCATGCGGCGAATGGTCAGGGCCTGCCTCATGCTCCTGAGAACATAGAGCTGCCACTGGTGGGACTAGGTCACTGGGCTAATCGAATGTGGTCCAGCCTCCCGCCCACGTTATACGAGATGTATACACGGACTAGCAGCTACAGTACCATCGCAGCATTAAACCCCGTGCCGGCTGGACTGTGACACGGGCCCAGAATGCACGATATCTAACAAGAACTCATCTCCGGACGCCTGGCGCATATGACCCAAAGGATCACTCAACAAAAAGCAGCCCTCGCATGAAAATATTCAAAGGCTTAGTTAGTCGATGTTAGTTCGTTGGTTCGGTAGTTCGTGACTTCCCCAGGTTGTTTGTGAATTGATTGAGCCCCGAGCCCCTATGGGCCCCTTCAACGCTGAAGCCTCCTAAACCCTGCCACCCAAGGCTCTACAGGGCGGCGTACCCTAAACATCCCTAAACCCCAACGCCTAAAACATCCTAAACCTGTAACACTAAACCTGGAACCCTAAAACAGCCCCAAACCCCAAACCTTGAACACAAAACCGTGGCCTCCCACTTGCCGCAGAGCCGAACTTCCCGTGGGCCCAGACCTGCCGAAGTCCAAAAGGGCTTCGGGATTTGAGGGCTGCAGGATTTCAGGCTTGTCGGGTTCTTAGGGTTTTGTGGGTCTACTTGCTGCAGCCTTGTTCCGACCCGCTGCAGGTGCTGTGCCAAGGAGGTACGGGCCTATTTGTGGCCAGAACTGGCACTGTGTTGCCACAGCTGGTTCACATGGCGAGATGGGAGATGGCCTTCCAGTTCGGCGGCGGCGGCTTGGTGAACTCGTGCTCCCGGATCTCCAGATGAGCTGCCCTGTAGATCGCCGTCCCGATGAGGACCACGATTGACGCAACGAGCGCGGCGATGCCCACGGGCGTGGCCATCGCGAAGGCACCCCACATGATCAAGCCGCCGATGATCATGCAAACGAAGTAAGCCGCGAAGCAGCCGCTGCGGCTGTTACCATCACCAAAACAGCCATTCAAAGAAGCAAAGCCCATCATGAAGAACAAGGTTGCGAAGATGAAGCAAACGAGGCAAACGAAGATGCACAAGAGGATGAAGCCCACTTCCTGCGCTCTCTCAGATTCGTCCGATGCAAAGTCTGCAGATGTCCCACTCTGCAGGAAGCTGATGCCATCCGGGCCCAAGGCACGGGCCAAGCGCTCAGACTTCACCTGCAGCAAGCCACCTTCACTGCTTTCGCTTGTCGAGTTGGACAAGATCCGCTGCCCTTCTCCGGCGGTCTGTACAATTGATTCGGGATCTGTGGCTTCTTCACTGACGAGAAAGTCTTGGCAGTGTGCGGGGAGATCCAACGTCAGGTCCTTCAAGTCATTGATGTTGTAGCCAGGGACGGACATGTAGTAGTTCACGAAGGTGCCCAGGCGTTCTCGGTCCGACTCCGTCTTGTCACTGAGCATGCACTTATCATTGGTCTCATGCTTGAGGAACCTGATGAGCAAGTGGGGGCGCTTCTTCATGAATTCCACCAAGGTATTGTGCAACTTCGCCGGCACAGAGTAACTCTGAGAGCCGCGCAGAGCCGAGACGCTTTTGCTTCCAGCCTCCTTGTACTGCTGGATGGTCAACCGGTCCGGGCGGCGGCGCCAGTGCTTCATGTCGGTGTACGCCGCACGTGCCGCAGCGACGGGGAAGTCGCCGGCATCGGGGGCGAGGCGCATCGGGAAGGTCTCCATGATGTTGAGCATCTGGTTGGCCTCCTGCACCAGTTCCGAAGCCTCCTTCAGAGAAGATCGAGTCGAGTCACTCTCCGAAATCGCTGGACTTTGCTCCAACTTCTCTGTAACGTCCAACACATCTCGCTTGATGTCCTCAAGCTTCTGGGCGATCCCGCGATCCGCAGCCTCGTGACTTGGGCCGCCCACGGCCTTGCACTTCTGCTCACTGCCGAAGGGTGCCAGGTTGTCCGCAGGGCTGGAGCCCACCTTCTCGCAGAAGTGGGAGGGGCCACAGACATCGTTCTCCGAGTCGTAGAAGCAGCGGAAAGCACAAGTACTTGGCTTGCCCATACCTTGATCGAGCCCAACAACCCCCCTACACAAAACAACTCGTCTACCGTATTTCTTTGCAAAACATCTACGCGGCTTCCAGACGCGGCCCGGGAACAGGACATCTCCCCCAGCATGCCGTCTACCAACACCATGAGATCGCGATCGGGCTTTGCCATTTTCTTCGGGGCTTCGCCGGGCAAGCGCAGCTCCATCGTGTCATGAGACTTCATCGAATGAAACTGCACCTCGTCCTTGGTTGGCCGGCAGTCCGGAAGGGAAACTGGGTATTTCCACTTTGAAGCCTAGCCCCCAAAAACCTAAGTACTGTAGGAGTCTGTCCTGGAACCAGCCAAGCATCTTCTTCCGCGATCTTCTGTGTGCCCCTGCTGTTGATGAAGTAGCGGATGATCTTGCTGCCCTCCTTGTGCTCATAGACCTTATGCCCTTCATCACGGCCAAAGGGCAGCAATTCAGAGAAGATGTTCTCGGTGGTCACTCCAACCACGGGATTCGTCTCAGTGCGGATCCAGAGTGCCTCGTCCTTGGAATAGTGGCTGGAGCCGAAGCGGCCCTTGTTGTCACGCCAAGCCTGCCACCCCGTGATGAAGATGGTGGGCATGCCGTCGATCCTTTGCATCGCCACCACGGCATCAGGCAAGATGCGGTACCTGGTGTCCAGGCCATCGATCTCGACGTACGGAGGCGATTCGTGCTCTTTGAAGCGGAAGGTGACATTGGCGGAAAGCCAATCCAAGGAACTGTGCTTCCCCCGGGCCCACATGGTCGAGATGGAGAAGGATCCAGCATCGGCGACCTTCTCTTGCTGCTGATGCCGATCAGAGGACTCCTTTAGATTGTCTCCCACGATCTGCGCCGCCTTCCCCGCGTGGAAAGTCTCGCGTGCCGCGGAGACGTCCCTCATCGCCAGCATAAAAATGAAAGCGCAAGCCAGCCTCTGGCGGGTCACGTGTCGTCCGGCCATGAGAGCTGCAAGAATAGCAAACAACGTTGAGGAGGTTGAGGATGTTTGACAATGCTCGAGCCGTGGCTAACCGGCCATGTTGGTGTAGCAGTAGTGTCGCCGTCGTAGTGTTAGTAGCGGTAGTGGTTGTGACAAACACATTTAAGGTCCCGGCTCAGCTCCCTCAATGTCCATCTTCACCATGACCCAGTCCCCTCGAGAATGGATGGTTTGGATTTCAGGGTTTAGGGGTGCAGACATTGGCGCTTCCGAGTGCATATAAGGTTTTAGAGCTTGCGGTCTTCTGGCTTCGGATCTTCATACAGATGTTGGGAGGGGGACGATGAAGGTTCCAGCGTTCATGGCTTGAGATATATGAGCCCTATCATTTACATAGTTACAAAACAGGGCGTGCATTCCTACTAGAGAGGGACTATATTGAGGCCCTTCCGAATCTTTTGCTAAAGTTCTTGACTGCTCGCGCCACCACGTCCACTTCATCACTACCACTGCACGTCGTATATCCTGCAATTTCCAACAGATAATATTGGACCTCTTGCTTTTCCTTCTACCCCCATACATGGTGTTATGCCCAGAGTTTGGCATACAACATCTACCGACCAGCAGCATACCGACCAAATAAGATTGAGCTGCACAGCTGAAAAGCCTGAGTGTTGTGCCCTACCTAGACCCTACGATCGGCTCGGAACGGATATCGTTGTGACAATCACAAGCCAGCGTGCACAGTAGCTTACACGTGATTCATGCCATTTGTGCTGAATAGCCGGAATCAATAATTTATCTTTGATAATCCTACAAAGAAGAGGCCACACAGGAAGAGAGACAGAGAGAACGGGACCGAATCGAGAGATTTAGAGAGAACGAGTGCAAGAAAGACACGCTCAGTCGAAATGCCGCAAGCATGCAAACCTGACATGAACCAAGACTTAAGACATCGACTGCAACCTCCACAGAGTGGCTTCACAATGCCATGTCAAGACACGAACGGTGTTCCCTGAGTGCCCGTCTGTCTTTGCCGCACCCATGTACGTGGCCTTGGATGAGTTCACCTGCACCTGCGTTCAGCAATGCAATACGATAAGTGGCGAAGACTGGACTAGGTGACTCGGCATGCTGCTGCTCGTTGCGGACCATAGCTATGAACTTATCATGTTGCCAAGACATGCGAAAGAGATGTCTCTTGGGGAAGCCGTTAGCCGTCCGGCTAACCGTGTACAACAAAGAAGCAAGCGACTCGACAAATACATCGCGGGAAGATGTGCCAACCGTGCGCCCAAGATCCGCGCCTGCATACTTCTGCGCCACACCGTTGAGAGACTCTGTCAAGATTGGAGTGGCCTGGGACAAGCGTTCGAATCCAGCTGTCATGCGGCGAATGGTCAGGGCCTGCCTCATGCTCCTGAGAACATAGAGCTGCCACTGGTGGGACTAGGTCACTGGGCTAATCGAATGTGGTCCAGCCTCCCGCCCACATTATACGAGATGTATACACGGACTAGTGACTAGCAGCTACAGTACCATCGCAGCATTAAACCCCGTGCCGGCTGGACTGTGACACGGGCTCAGAATGCACGATATCTAACAAGAACTCATCTCCGGACGCCTGGCGCATATGACCCAAAGGATCACTCAACAAAAAGCAGCCCTCGCATGAAAATATTCAAAGGCTTAGTTAGTCGATGTTAGTTCGTTGGTTCGGTAGTTCGTGACTTCCCCAGGTTGTTTGTGAATTGATTGAGCCCCGAGCCCCTATGGGCCCCTTCGACGCTGAAGCCTCCTAAACCCTGCCACCCAAGGCTCTACAGGGCGGCGTACCCTAAACATCCCTAAACCCCAACGCCTAAAACATCCTAAACCTGTAACACTAAACCTGGAACCCTAAAACAGCCCCAAACCCCAAACCTTGAACACAAAACCGTGGCCTCCCACTTGCCGCAGAGCCGAACTTCCCGTGGGCCCAGACTTGCCGAAGTCCAAAAGGGCTTCGGGATTTGAGGGCTGCAGGATTTCAGGCTTGTCGGGTTCTTAGGGTTTTGTGGGTCTACTTGCTGCAGCCTTGTTCCGACCCGCTGCAGGTGCTGTGCCAAGGAGGTACGGGCCTATTTGTGGCCAGAACTGGCACTGTGTTGCCACAGCTGGTTCACATGGCGAGATGGGAGATGGCCTTCCAGTTCGGCGGCGGCGGCTTGGTGAACTCGTGCTCCCGGATCTCCAGATGAGCTGCCCTGTAGATCGCCGTCCCGATGAGGACCACGATTGACGCAACGAGCGCGGCGATGCCCACGGGCGTGGCCATCGCGAAGGCACCCCACATGATCAAGCCGCCGATGATCATGCAAACGAAGTAAGCCGCGAAGCAGCCGCCGCCGCTGTTACCATCACCAAAACAGCCATTCAAAGAAGCAAAGCCCATCATGAAGAACAAGGTTGCGAAGATGAAGCAAACGAGGCAAACGAAGATGCACAAGAGGATGAAGCCCACTTCCTGCGCTCTCTCAGATTCGTCCGATGCAAAGTCTGCCGATGTCCCACTCTGCAGGAAGCTGATGCCATCCGGGCCCAAGGCACGGGCCAAGCGCTCAGACTTCACCTGCAGCAAGCCACCTTCACTGCTTTCGCTTGTCGAGTTGGACAAGATCCGCTGCCCTTCTCCGGCGGTCTGTACAATTGATTCGGGATCTGTGGCTTCTTCACTGACGAGAAAGTCTTGGCAGTGTGCGGGGAGATCCAACGTCAGGTCCTTCAAGTCATTGATGTTGTAGCCAGGGACGGACATGTAGTAGTTCACGAAGGTGCCCAGGCGTTCTCGGTCCGACTCCGTCTTGTCACTGAGCACGCACTTATCATTGGTCTCATGCTTGAGGAACCTGATGAGCAAGTGGGGGCGCTTCTTCATGAAGTCCACCAAGGTATTGTGCAACTTCGCCGGCACAGAGTAACTCTGAGAGCCGCGCAGAGCCGAGACGCTTTTGCTTCCAGCCTCCTTGTACTGCTGGATGGTCAACCGGTCCGGGCGGCGGCGCCAGTGCTTCATGTCGGTGTACGCCGCACGTGCCGCAGCGACGGGGAAGTCGCCGGCATCGGGGGCGAGGCGCATCGGGAAGGTCTCCATGATGTTGAGCATCTGGTTGGCCTCCTGCACCAGTTCCGAAGCCTCCTTCAGAGAAGATCGAGTCGAGTCACTCTCCGAAATCGCTGGACTTTGCTCCAACTTCTCTGTAACGTCCAACACATCTCGCTTGATGTCCTCAAGCTTCTGGGCGATCCCGCGATCCGCAGCCTCGTGACTTGGGCCGCCCACGGCCTTGCACTTCTGCTCACTGCCGAAGGGTGCCAGGTTGTCCGCAGGGCTGGAGCCCACCTTCTCGCAGAAGTGGGAGGGGCCACAGACATCGTTCTCCGAGTCGTAGAAGCAGCGGAAAGCACAAGTACTTGGCTTGCCCATACCTTGATCGAGCCCAACAACCCCCCTACACAAAACAACTCGTCTACCGTATTTCTTTGCAAAACATCTACACGGCTTCCAGACGCGACCCGGGAACAGGACATCTCCCCCAGCATGCCGTCTACCAACACCATGAGATCGCGATCGGGCTTTGCCATTTGCTTCGGGGCTTCGCCGGGCAAGCGCAGCTCCATCGTGTCATGAGACTTCGTCGAATGAAACTGCACCTCGTCCTTGGTTGGCCGGAGTCCGGAAGCGAAACTGGGTATTTCCACTTTGAAGCCTAGCCCCCCAAAACCTAAGTACTGTAGGAGTCTGTCCTGGAACCAGCCAAGCATCTTCTTCCGCGATCTTCTGTGTGCCCCTGCTGTTGATGAAGTAGCGGATGATCTTGCTGCCCTCCTTGTGCTCATAGACCTTATGCCCTTCATCACGGCCAAAGGGCAGTAATTCAGAGAAGATGTTCTCGGTGGTCACTCCAACCACGGGATTCGTCTCAGTGCGGATCCAGAGTGCCTCGCCCTTGGAATAGTGGCTGGAGCCGAAGCGGCCCTTGTTGTCACGCCAAGCCTGCCACCCCGTGATGAAGATGGTGGGCATGCCGTCGATCCTTTGCATCGCCACCACGGCATCAGGCAAGATGCGGTACCTGGTGTCCAGGCCATCGATCTCGACGTACGGAGGCGATTCGTGCTCTTTGAAGCGGAAGGTGACATTGGCGGAAAGCCAATCCAAGGAACTGTGCTTCCCCCGGGCCCACATGGTCGAGATGGAGAAGGATCCAGCATCGGCGACCTTCTCTTGCTGCTGATGCCGATCAGAGGACTCCTTTAGATTGTCTCCCACGATCTGCGCCGCCTTCCCCGCGTGGAAAGTCTCGCGTGCCGCGGAGACGTCCCTCATCGCCAACATAAAAATGAAAGCGCAAGCCAGCCTCTGGCGGGTCACGTGTCGTCCGGCCATGAGAGCTGCAAGAATAGCAAACAACGTTGAGGAGGTTGAGGATGTTTGACAATGCTCGAGCCGTGGCTAACCGGCCATGTTGGTGTAGCAGTAGTGTCGCCGTCTTAGTGTTAGTGGCGGTAGTGGTTGTGACAAACACATTTAAGGTCCCGGCTCAGCTCCCTCAATGTCCAGCTTCATCATGACCCAGTCCCCTCGAGAATGGATGGTTTGGATTTCAGGGTTCAGGGGTGCAGACATTTGCGCTTCCGAGTGCATATAAGGTTTTACAGCTTGCGGTCTTCTGGTTTCGGATCTTCATACAGATGTTGGGAGGGGGACGATGAAGGTTCCAGCGTTCATGGCTTGAGACATATGAGCCTTATTATTTACATAGTTACAAAACAGGGCGTGCATTCTTACTAGAGAGGGACTATATTGAGGCCCTTCCGAATCTTTTGCTAAAGTTCTTGACTGCTCGCGCCACCACGTCCACTTCATCACTACCACTGCACGTCGTATATCCTGCAGTTTTCAACTGATAATGCCATTTGTGCTGAATAGCCGGAATCAATAATTTATCTTTGATAATCCTACAAAGAAGAGGCCACACAGGAAGAGAGACAGAGAGAACGGGACCGAATCGAGAGATTTAGAGAGAACGAGTGCAAGAAAGACACGCTCAGTCGAAATGCCGCAAGCATGCAAACCTGACATGAACCAAGACTTAAGACATCGACTGCAACCTCCACAGAGTGGCTTCACAATGCCATGTCAAGACACGAACGGTGTTCCCTGAGTGCCCGTCTGTCTTTGCCGCACCCATGTACGTGGCCTTGGATGAGTTCACCTGCACCTGCGTTCAGCAATGCAATACGATAAGTGGCGAAGACTGGACTAGGTGACTCGGCATGCTGCTGCTCGTTGCGGACCATAGCTATGAACTTATCATGTTGCCAAGACATGCGAAAGAGATGTCTCTTGGGGAAGCCGTTAGCCGTCCGGCTAACCGTGTACAACAAAGAAGCAAGCGACTCGACAGATACATCGCGGGAAGATGTGCCAACCGTGCGCCCAAGATCCGCGCCTGCATACTTCTGCGCCACACCGTTGAGAGACTCTGTCAAGATTGGAGTGGCCTGGGACAAGCGTTCGAATCCAGCTGTCATGCGGCGAATGGTCAGGGCCTGCCTCATGCTCCTGAGAACATAGAGCTGCCACTGGTGGGACTAGGTCACTGGGCTAATCGAATGTGGTCCAGCCTCCCGCCCACATTATACGAGATGTATACACGGACTAGTGACTAGCAGCTACAGTACCATCGCAGCATTAAACCCCGTGCCGGCTGGACTGTGACACGGGCTCAGAATGCACGATATCTAACAAGAACTCATCTCCGGACGCCTGGCGCATATGACCCAAAGGATCACTCAACAAAAAGCAGCCCTCGCATGAAAATATTCAAAGGCTTAGTTAGTCGATGTTAGTTCGTTGGTTCGGTAGTTCGTGACTTCCCCAGGTTGTTTGTGAATCGATTGAGCCCCGAGCCCCTATGGGCCCCTTCGACGCTGAAGCCTCCTAAACCCTGCCACCCAAGGCTCTACAGGGCGGCGTACCCTAAACATCCCTAAACCCCAACGCCTAAAACATCCTAAACCTGTAACACTAAACCTGGAACCCTAAAACAGCCCCAAACCCCAAACCTTGAACACAAAACCGTGGCCTCCCACTTGCCGCAGAGCCGAACTTCCCGTGGGCCCAGACTTGCCGAAGTCCAAAAGGGCTTCGGGATTTGAGGGCTGCAGGATTTCAGGCTTGTCGGGTTCTTAGGGTTTTGTGGGTCTACTTGCTGCAGCCTTGTTCCGACCCGCTGCAGGTGCTGTGCCAAGGAGGTACGGGCCTATTTGTGGCCAGAACTGGCACTGTGTTGCCACAGCTGGTTCACATGGCGAGATGGGAGATGGCCTTCCAGTTCGGCGGCGGCGGCTTGGTGAACTCGTGCTCCCGGATCTCCAGATGAGCTGCCCTGTAGATCGCCGTCCCGATGAGGACCACGATTGACGCAACGAGCGCGGCGATGCCCACGGGCGTGGCCATCGCGAAGGCACCCCACATGATCAAGCCGCCGATGATCATGCAAACGAAGTAAGCCGCGAAGCAGCCGCTGCGGCTGTTACCATCACCAAAACAGCCATTCAAAGAAGCAAAGCCCATCATGAAGAACAAGGTTGCGAAGATGAAGCAAATGAGGCAAACGAAGATGCACAAGAGGATGAAGCCCACTTCCTGCGCTCTCTCAGATTCGTCCGATGCAAAGTCTGCCGTTGTCCCACTCTGCAGGAAGCTGATGCCATCCGGGCCCAAGGCACGGGCCAAGCGCTCAGACTTCACCTGCAGCAAGCCACCTTCACTGCTTTCGCTTGTCGAGTTGGACAAGATCCGCTGCCCTTCTCCGGCGGTCTGTACAATTGATTCGGGATCTGTGGCTTCTTCACTGACGAGAAAGTCTTGGCAGTGTGCGGGGAGATCCAACGTCAGGTCCTTCAAGTCATTGATGTTGTAGCCAGGGACGGACATGTAGTAGTTCACGAAGGTGCCCAGGCGTTCTCGGTCCGACTCCGTCTTGTCACTGAGCACGCACTTATCATTGGTCTCATGCTTGAGGAACCTGATGAGCAAGTGGGGGCGCTTCTTCATGAAGTCCACCAAGGTATTGTGCAACTTCGCCGGCACAGAGTAACTCTGAGAGCGGCGCAGAGCCGAGACGCTTTTGCTTCCAGCCTCCTTGTACTGCTGGATGGTCAACCGGTCCGGGCGGCGGCGCCAGTGCTTCATGTCGGTGTACGCCGCACGTGCCGCAGCGACGGGGAAGTCGCCGGCATCGGGGGCGAGGCGCATCGGGAAGGTCTCCATGATGTTGAGCATCTGGTTGGCCTCCTGCACCAGTTCCGAAGCCTCCTTCAGAGAAGATCGAGTCGAGTCACTCTCCGAAATCGCTGGACTTTGCTCCAACTTCTCTGTAACGTCCAACACATCTCGCTTGATGTCCTCAAGCTTCTGGGCGATCCCGCGATCCGCAGCCTCGTGACTTGGGCCGCCCACGGCCTTGCACTTCTGCTCACTGCCGAAGGGTGCCAGGTTGTCCGCAGGGCTGGAGCCCACCTTCTCGCAGAAGTGGGAGGGGCCACAGACATCGTTCTCCGAGTCGTAGAAGCAGCGGAAAGCACAAGTACTTGGCTTGCCCATACCTTGATCGAGCCCAACAACCCCCCTACACAAAACAACTCGTCTACCGTATTTCTTTGCAAAACATCTACACGGCTTCCAGACGCGACCCGGGAACAGGACATCTCCCCCAGCATGCCGTCTACCAACACCATGAGATCGCGATCGGGCTTTGCCATTTGCTTCGGGGCTTCGCCGGGCAAGCGCAGCTCCATCGTGTCATGAGACTTCGTCGAATGAAACTGCACCTCGTCCTTGGTTGGCCGGAGTCCGGAAGCGAAACTGGGTATTTCCACTTTGAAGCCTAGCCCCCCAAAACCTAAGTACTGTAGGAGTCTGTCCTGGAACCAGCCAAGCATCTTCTTCCGCGATCTTCTGTGTGCCCCTGCTGTTGATGAAGTAGCGGATGATCTTGCTGCCCTCCTTGTGCTCATAGACCTTATGCCCTTCATCACGGCCAAAGGGCAGTAATTCAGAGAAGATGTTCTCGGTGGTCACTCCAACCACGGGATTCGTCTCAGTGCGGATCCAGAGTGCCTCGCCCTTGGAATAGTGGCTGGAGCCGAAGCGGCCCTTGTTGTCACGCCAAGCCTGCCACCCCGTGATGAAGATGGTGGGCATGCCGTCGATCCTTTGCATCGCCACCACGGCATCAGGCAAGATGCGGTACCTGGTGTCCAGGCCATCGATCTCGACGTACGGAGGCGATTCGTGCTCTTTGAAGCGGAAGGTGACATTGGCGGAAAGCCAATCCAAGGAACTGTGCTTCCCCCGGGCCCACATGGTCGAGATGGAGAAGGATCCAGCATCGGCGACCTTCTCTTGCTGCTGATGCCGATCAGAGGACTCCTTTAGATTGTCTCCCACGATCTGCGCCGCCTTCCCCGCGTGGAAAGTCTCGCGTGCCGCGGAGACGTCCCTCATCGCCAACATAAAAATGAAAGCGCAAGCCAGCCTCTGGCGGGTCACGTGTCGTCCGGCCATGAGAGCTGCAAGAATAGCAAACAACGTTGAGGAGGTTGAGGATGTTTGACAATGCTCGAGCCGTGGCTAACCGGCCATGTTGGTGTAGCAGTAGTGTCGCCGTCTTAGTGTTAGTGGCGGTAGTGGTTGTGACAAACACATTTAAGGTCCCGGCTCAGCTCCCTCAATGTCCAGCTTCATCATGACCCAGTCCCCTCGAGAATGGATGGTTTGGATTTCAGGGTTCAGGGGTGCAGACATTTGCGCTTCCGAGTGCATATAAGGTTTTACAGCTTGCGGTCTTCTGGTTTCGGATCTTCATACAGATGTTGGGAGGGGGACGATGAAGGTTCCAGCGTTCATGGCTTGAGACATATGAGCCTTATTATTTACATAGTTACAAAACAGGGCGTGCATTCTTACTAGAGAGGGACTATATTGAGGCCCTTCCGAATCTTTTGCTAAAGTTCTTGACTGCTCGCGCCACCACGTCCACTTCATCACTACCACTGCACGTCGTATATCCTGCAGTTTTCAACTGATAATGCCATTTGTGCTGAATAGCCGGAATCAATAATTTATCTTTGATAATCCTACAAAGAAGAGGCCACACAGGAAGAGAGACAGAGAGAACGGGACCGAATCGAGAGATTTAGAGAGAACGAGTGCAAGAAAGACACGCTCAGTCGAAAAAACGAATGTGGAAGTCTGAAAATCACAGTATGCCGCAAGCATGCAAACCTGACATGAACCAAGACTTAAGACATCGACTGCAACCTCCACAGAGTGGCTTCACAATGCCATGTCAAGACACGAACGGTGTTCCCTGAGTGCCCGTCTGTCTTTGCCGCACCCATGTACGTGGCCTTGGATGAGTTCACCTGCACCTGCGTTCAGCAATGCAATACGATAAGTGGCGAAGACTGGACTAGGTGACTCGGCATGCTGCTGCTCGTTGCGGACCATAGCTATGAACTTATCATGTTGCCAAGACATGCGAAAGAGATGTCTCTTGGGGAAGCCGTTAGCCGTCCGGCTAACCGTGTACAACAAAGAAGCAAGCGACTCGACAAATACATCGCGGGAAGATGTGCCAACCGTGCGCCCAAGATCCGCGCCAGCATACGTCTGCGCTACACCGTTGAGAGACTCTGTCAAGATTGGAGTGGCCTGGGACAAGCGTTCGAATCCAGCTGTCATGCGGCGAATGGTCAGGGCCTGCCTCATGCTCCTGAGAACATAGAGCTGCCACTGGTGGGACTAGGTCACTGGGCTAATCGAATGTGGTCCAGCCTCCCGCCCACGTTATACGAGATGTATACACGGACTAGCAGCTACAGTACCATCGCAGCATTAAACCCCGTGCCGGCTGGACTGTGACACGGGCCCAGAATGCACGATATCTAACAAGAACTCATCTCCGGACGCCTGGCGCATATGACCCAAAGGATCACTCAACAAAAAGCAGCCCTCGCATGAAAATATTCAAAGGCTTAGTTAGTCGATGTTAGTTCGTTGGTTCGGTAGTTCGTGACTTCCCCAGGTTGTTTGTGAATTGATTGAGCCCCGAGCCCCTATGGGCCCCTTCAACGCTGAAGCCTCCTAAACCCTGCCACCCAAGGCTCTACAGGGCGGCGTACCCTAAACATCCCTAAACCCCAACGCCTAAAACATCCTAAACCTGTAACACTAAACCTGGAACCCTAAAACAGCCCCAAACCCCAAACCTTGAACACAAAACCGTGGCCTCCCACTTGCCGCAGAGCCGAACTTCCCGTGGGCCCAGACCTGCCGAAGTCCAAAAGGGCTTCGGGATTTGAGGGCTGCAGGATTTCAGGCTTGTCGGGTTCTTAGGGTTTTGTGGGTCTACTTGCTGCAGCCTTGTTCCGACCCGCCGCAGGTGCTGTGCCAAGGAGGTACGGGCCTATTTGTGGCCAGAACTGGCACTGTGTTGCCACAGCTGGTTCACATGGCGAGATGGGAGATGGCCTTCCAGTTCGGCGGCGGCGGCTTGGTGAACTCGTGCTCCCGGATCTCCAGATGAGCTGCCCTGTAGATCGCCGTCCCGATGAGGACCACGATTGACGCAACGAGCGCGGCGATGCCCACGGGCGTGGCCATCGCGAAGGCACCCCACATGATCAAGCCGCCGATGATCATGCAAACGAAGTAACCCGCGAAGCAGCCGCCGCCGCTGTTACCATCACCAAAACAGCCATTCAAAGAAGCAAAGCCCATCATGAAGAACAAGGTTGCGAAGATGAAGCAAACGAGGCAAACGAAGATGCACAAGAGGATGAAGCCCACTTCCTGCGCTCTCTCAGATTCGTCCGATGCAAAGTCTGCCGATGTCCCACTCTGCAGGAAGCTGATGCCATCCGGGCCCAAGGCACGGGCCAAGCGCTCAGACTTCACCTGCAGCAAGCCACCTTCACTGCTTTCGCTTGTCGAGTTGGACAAGATCCGCTGCCCTTCTCCGGTGGTCTGTACAATTGATTCGGGATCTGTGGCTTCTTCACTGACGAGAAAGTCTTGGCAGTGTGCGGGGAGATCCAACGTCAGGTCCTTCAAGTCATTGATGTTGTAGCCAGGGACGGACATGTAGTAGTTCACGAAGGTGCCCAGGCGTTCTCGGTCCGACTCCGTCTTGTCACTGAGCACGCACTTATCATTGGTCTCATGCTTGAGGAACCTGATGAGCAAGTGGGGGCGCTTCTTCATGAAGTCCACCAAGGTATTGTGCAACTTCGCCGGCACAGAGTAACTCTGAGAGCGGCGCAGAGCCGAGACGCTTTTGCTTCCAGCCTCCTTGTACTGCTGGATGGTCAACCGGTCCGGGCGGCGGCGCCAGTGCTTCATGTCGGTGTACGCCGCACGTGCCGCAGCGACGGGGAAGTCGCCGGCATCGGGGGCGAGGCGCATCGGGAAGGTCTCCATGATGTTGAGCATCTGGTTGGCCTCCTGCACCAGTTCCGAAGCCTCCTTCAGAGAAGATCGAGTCGAGTCACTCTCCGAAATCGCTGGACTTTGCTCCAACTTCTCTGTAACGTCCAACACATCTCGCTTGATGTCCTCAAGCTTCTGGGCGATCCCGCGATCCGCAGCCTCGTGACTTGGGCCGCCCACGGCCTTGCACTTCTGCTCACTGCCGAAGGGTGCCAGGTTGTCCGCAGGGCTGGAGCCCACCTTCTCGCAGAAGTGGGAGGGGCCACAGACATCGTTCTCCGAGTCGTAGAAGCAGCGGAAAGCACAAGTACTTGGCTTGCCCATACCTTGATCGAGCCCAACAACCCCCCTACACAAAACAACTCGTCTACCGTATTTCTTTGCAAAACATCTACACGGCTTCCAGACGCGACCCGGGAACAGGACATCTCCCCCAGCATGCCGTCTACCAACACCATGAGATCGCGATCGGGCTTTGCCATTTGCTTCGGGGCTTCGCCGGGCAAGCGCAGCTCCATCGTGTCATGAGACTTCGTCGAATGAAACTGCACCTCGTCCTTGGTTGGCCGGCAGTCCGGAAGGGAAACTGGGTATTTCCACTTTGAAGCCTAGCCCCCCAAAACCTAAGTACTGTAGGAGTCTGTCCTGGAACCAGCCAAGCATCTTCTTCCGCGATCTTCTGTGTGCCCCTGCTGTTGATGAAGTAGCGGATGATCTTGCTGCCCTCCTTGTGCTCATAGACCTTATGCCCTTCATCACGGCCAAAGGGCAGCAATTCAGAGAAGATGTTCTCGGTGGTCACTCCAACCACGGGATTCGTCTCAGTGCGGATCCAGAGTGCCTCGTCCTTGGAATAGTGGCTGGAGCCGAAGCGGCCCTTGTTGTCACGCCAAGCCTGCCACCCCGTGATGAAGATGGTGGGCATGCCGTCGATCCTTTGCATCGCCACCACGGCATCAGGCAAGATGCGGTACCTGGTGTCCAGGCCATCGATCTCGACGTACGGAGGCGATTCGTGCTCTTTGAAGCGGAAGGTGACATTGGCGGAAAGCCAATCCAAGGAACTGTGCTTCCCCCGGGCCCACATGGTCGAGATGGAGAAGGATCCAGCATCGGCGACCTTCTCTTGCTGCTGATGCCGATCAGAGGACTCCTTTAGATTGTCTCCCACGATCTGCGCCGCATTCCCCGCGTAAAAGGTCTCGCGTGCCGCGGAGACGTCCCTCATCGCCAACATAAAAATGAAAGCACAAGCCAGCCTCTGGCGGGTCACGTGTCGTCCGGCCATGAGAGCTGCAAGAATAGCAAACAACGTTGAGGAGGTTGAGGATGTTTGACAATGCTCGAACCGTGGCTAAACGGCCATGTTGGATGAGTCCTTGCAGGAGTAGTAGTAGTAGTAGTAGTAGTAGTAGTAGTAGTAGTAGTAGTAGTAGTAGTAGTAGTAGTAGTAGTAGTAGTAGTAGTGCTAGTAGTAGTAGTAGTAGTAGTAGTAGTAGCAGTAGTAGTAGTAGTAGTAGTAGTAGTAGTAGTAGTAGTAGTAGTAGTAGTAGTAGTAGTAGTAGTAGTAGTAGTAGTAGTAGTAGTAGTAGTAGTAGTAGTAGTAGTAGTAGTAGTAGTAGTAGTAGTAGTAGTAGTAGTAGTAGTAGTAGTAGTAGTAGTAGTAGTAGTAGTAGTAGTAGTAGTAGTAGTAGTAGTAGTAGTAGTAGTAGTAGTAGTAGTAGTAGTAGTAGTAGTAGTAGTAGTAGTACTAGTAGTACTAGTAGTACTAGTAGTACTAGTAGTAGTAGTAGTAGTAGTAGTAGTAGTTGTAACTACTACTACTACTACACTACTACTACTACTACTACTACTACTACTACTACTACTACTACTACCACTACTACCACTACTACTACTACTACTACTACTAAAACAACAACTGCTACTACTACTACTACTACTACTACTACTACTGCATCTACAAGTACCACTGCTACGGCCACTACTGGTACTAGTACCAGTACTGGCCGTAGCAGCAGTGGTACCTGTAGAAGCAGTAGTAGTGGCAGACTTTGCAGCAGCAGGAGGAGTGGCAGGTCGTAGCATGTCGGAGCCGCATCTGCCTCTTACTAGTACTAGTACTAGTAGTGGCAGTAGCAGCAGTGGTACTAGCAGTCGCAATCGTCGTGGCAGACTTTGTAGCAGTAGGAGGAGTGGTAGGTCGTAGCATGTCGTAGCCGCATCTGCCTCTTGCTAGCGTGCTGGTTCAAATCTTAAGCGAGTGCCGATAGAGGCCATTGAGGCATGGCCTGTTGCCACAGCAATTTCCGAAGAATTATTCGGAGAATTCTCGGCTCCATCACCATGTGGGATTGAGTTCCAAATGCCAGACTTGGATTACAGAAAATGTAACAAGGCCGGCATGCTGAGCTATCTTCCCCACGAAGCATGGCGCCGAGTTCAAGTTGAGTACTACGCTTCAGCATGTTCATGCACCCTGCCTTGCTAGAGTGTCCGGGCCATGGCTGCAGGATAACAAGCCAGACTTCGTGAACCGTGTCTTGACATTGCTGCTGCCAGCAGTGCGATCTGATCTAAGTCCTGCGCAAACTCCAAACGCAAAATCAGGAATGAAGTTCAAC